ATCAAAGAGTTGTCAAACAAGCAAATATTCCCTTTTTCTTTTTTATTTTCTGTATTAAAAAAAATTGGCATTAAGTTTCATAAAACTGAAATGGAAAAAAAAAACTTAAAATTTTCAGATTAAAAGAAATTGTAAAACTTCCTCAAATTATCAAAACCCTAAATTGGCACTCCCCAGAAAAATCGGAAACTCACCAAATTTTGTTGATCTCTTTGAGAATTCGAATTGAAAGGCCGCGGTAGTGGCTGAGATGTGTAGCCAGAAACTGAGGAATTAGCCGGACGGTGATTGAGATTCAAAGTTTTCCGGCGGGAGGTCAGAGTTTGAAGCAAATACCGAGAAGGAGAGGGAGAAAGGAAAGGTCTGTATTTGAGGAAATAATTAAATAATATTATTTCTTTTTTTTGTATTTAAAAAATGGGTTTTGGAATTTTTGAAAAAAATAAATTGCGAAGAGACGGTTATCGTTTGGAGGGAGGGACCGTGAGAGGTCGTTGATTTCGCGCCACCTACTTTGATAAGGCTTTTAGTTAAGTTTAAGCACTGATTATATTATATGGGGCCCTATCTGCTGCGTGCAGTCCCACGTAATCATCCATGACTCAGGACCACATGGCGCAAATCAAAGAATTGCAGAGTGTTCTTTTCTTCTTATGTAAATGGTTTTTTAATCAAAATTTTGAGAGATAAATGTGTGTATTACTCCTTTTGGATATTTTATTTATATTTTTAAATTCCTAAAAAAATATGTATTGGCCCCAATTGTATTAATTAATGAATTAATAGAACACTTGATAGAGGTCCGGGTCAAGATTGTGATGCTGTAACTGATTAGTTTTTCCTTTCATCAATGCTCTTATAATAAGAAATAAATTTTTTTAAGTAATTTTATATCAACACTTCTGCCACGTAGCATAGCTAGGTAAGCAAATTAAACATTAATTTGAGGGAAAAAAAAACATATTTTAAATAGCAAGTTAGCAACTCCTAATCTATCTCACCAACACCAACTAATTTATTTATTTTATTATTTAAAAAGGTGATATAATTTTATTAAATCAATAGGAGTAACAGTACAAAGGACACATACTGCAAAGGAAGTCATCCTAATAACAATATGGCAGACCCGGGTAAAACTTCCCCATTGACCTGAGTCAACCGAAAAGCTAAAATGATCTAGAGATAATCACTATTGAAAACAACTTTTCTATAACCCCTCTTAACCGCCATAATTTCCCCGAATCTAGTCCAATGATATTAATGACAAAACTAGCCACTAACCGGGGCATGAAGAGACTAAGAACACCAAGCAAACTCAACTAAGTTTCTAGAATCATAAGAGAGAGAAAAACACATAAAACTCATAGAGTTTCTGAACTTGATTGAACAAACTAAACTAAAACAATGCTTGCAAAACGAAAACCAACTACCTCTAATCTTCTTTTGGAATATGACATAGAGAGCGCTACCCAGTTATTTCTAGGCCTCAACGCACCAATGAGATAACCTTGTCTCTGGAAACTTATGAGCGAGTTATGCCAATGGCAAATATGTATAGACATTATTTATATGGTTAATGATAGTTTAGTACTATGTAGTTGCTCTTAAGACATGTTAGTCCCTATCTTCTCAATGTTTACAATTACTCACAGCGGGCTTTTAAATTTGTTACAATGTGGTTCTACCGTTAGGATTTCTATCAGATCTCCTCGTTAGTTACCTACGTAACACTATGAGTCTCACATTTCTAAGGACTTATGTTAAAGAAAGATTAATTATTAGACATGGAAAAATGAAATGAAAGGAAGCCTTGTGGAATTAATTATATAAAGTTGATATTGATATATAGCTTGATTTAAGGTAACTCCTTTTGGAACCAGAGCTTAGTCTATTCATTCGGACCTTTAATCTATAGGTATTTCTGAATTTCCGGTGAGGATGGTTGAAGTTAGATTAAGATGTTTCATCTCTAAATTAAGCAATCGAAATATAATAAAGCACTCAACTGCGAGTCTGCTACATGCGGTAGTAAACCAACAAATAGAATAAGTGTTGCTATCTTGTATATTAAACACTAATGATATTTGTAAAAATTCATGACCTAATTTGCTCCTCAATAAATATAATTTGGCAAAAAAGAAAAAAGAAAGCATGCCGTCCCATCTAATTTGGAAATGTACAAGGTTGTGCGAGACCGTAGCAGTTGAGCTGACCGTCCAGAGCATATCACAACCTAAATAAGACTTGGGACGGCCGTCTTCTGTGTCACCATCATTTATATATACAGACCAAGAGCAAGAATATTATTGTTATATTCTCTCCTCTGCTAATTTGTACGGTTCCTTCCTTACGTTTTGGGAAGAAATTAATACTTGGGTTTATCTTCGTAACCTACCAAAAGGCAAACAGGCAACAAGACGACTAGGACATTAGAGCTTCTAAGAGTCAAAATCAAGGGTAACCTTCCATGCCAGAAATCAAGAAGAAGAACAGAAAAAGAAAAAAGAAAAGGTTTCAATCTTAATTTCACTTTTAAAAATAGAAGAATTGACACCAAACCTAAAATAGAAAGATAATCTTCTGTTTCTGTAGTGCAGCAGATGCATCATGCATCAAGAAAAAGAAAAAAGGAAAAGGAAAAGGAAAAAGAAAAAGAGTGATGATGATGATGATGATTACAAGTTACAACAACCCTTATCTTTATTTTCCCTCCAGTTCAGAAAATTTGTATTAAAGGTAAAAGCAACTTCCGCTTGTTCTTCATTTTCTTCTTAATTTTCTTCTTAATTTGCTTTTTGTGTTTCTTCTTAATTTGCTTTTTGCTTCTAAAGAAACCCAAGTCTACAAGCAATCAGGGACCATGACATTGACAGCCGCAAGATCATTAAATTATGATATTGTTTTAACCAGTAAGTAAGGTAAACACAAACCAGTATATATGCGTATATATATATGCTGCTTTTAGCCGAAAGCTGGGACCTCCATTTACAGCTCAGAAGAACCACTTAAATCATTTCAAGCAGTGGAAGCTCATCATCTCCATATATATATATATATATATATACACTGGCCTGCATGCACAGTGCACTGCACTGCATTTAAAGCCATTAAAAAATAAAAAGAAAATTTACCACCCTTGACTGAATACTGAAGCCACACTGTGACACTCACAAATGGCTTTGTGTTCTTAATTAATCTTCAACAGTAAGAGTACGACTAACCATTTGATCTGCAATGCATAATATGACGAATCTATGAAAAAACAAAAACAATAAACTTGGCAATTATGAAGTCTGAAGCAAAAGCACGCAGAATTTTCTTGTGATAGCTGGGAGCCTGGGACGTGTGATGTGATGATTTGGACACATCATATGCTATGCAACACCATGTCTGCTAAAAAGTTAAAAACCATCAACATTTGTCCCATGTCTTTTTGGGTCTACCAATTTTCCTCCTTATTGTCGACTGTCTTCTTCTTGGCTCATTTTGCTTTAATTAGTTTCTTTTTTATTTTATGAATGAATTAATATTAATTGTTCTTATCTTTTCCACCTCCAAATGAGAACAACCGGTCAGAAACAGAGACAACGTTTTGAGGAGGATACGTCCAAAGCAATAATTTCTTAACATGCATGCAGCTGCACAAGCAAGGCAATCCTATTCCTATTATTATCAAGCATGAAAATCAGAAAGAAATGATCTTGTTTTGTTTCGTTATGATTATTGGTTGATTTATACCCTTCAGAAACAATTGCTTTGAAGGGAAACATAATTAATTATGCATCGATTATGAGAACGAATTAATGGACATATATATAATGCCATTTTTGATGAATTAATGAATACAATTTACAAAGACCAAACCAAATGATGGTTGCTCACTCTCATCATGATCATAATCATGATCATGTGGTGTGGTGGAATTATAATAATACAAAATCAAGGAGGAGAATCAAACCCATGATGATGATGATGCATAACATATGATATATTCCATTTCCATGCTCTTTTTCATGTCCTCCCCTAGTGTTGTGTTGCTATGCGTCTAAGAAGAAGAAAGAGAAAACTCTGCTAATTGAATATATTTGTTCCCATGTGGTCAGAGTAGTAGTATTTATTTTATAGGCATAATATGCGAGTAAAGGTTTATTATTTTGGAATATAAATAATTCAGATGGATGATTTTGTCGTTTCTCATATTATTATATATTCACCGATTCTAGTTTTGTTTGGTTTCTTTCTGGTTCACATTGGATGCCTTAGCAGCAACAGTACTTGATATGGGAAGGGAACACAATGCAATGCCTCTCCAACATGTTCATGTTATAATGTCCTCCAGGCTCTATGCATGACGGAGTCAATTCAGACTGGTTGATTTCATTTATTTGACATAGATACACCAAACAAAAATCTCTCTTTCATTCATTTGAACCACATATTACAAATCGGAGAGTTTGTTTTTCTTTTCTTGGCGAGCGAACAAATCGAAGAGTTAGATTTATGAAATAAAGCTCACACTGGAAGTACAAACAAGTTAATGTTGCTTGAAATGTTCTTATACCACCTTACACAGGGATAGAGAACTACGTTCATGTCATGTTAGCAATCAACCTCCTCTAAGCTGCTCTTCGGTGACAACTCATAAATCCCACTTCAGCATGCAAATATAGTAACCCATCATACACAAACCGGTCTCTGGCGGGCAGCAAAATTACATTTTTTCCATCACTTTTCTTCCAAATGCATCAACCAGATTGCTCTACTACAGTACCGAATTTGAATCTTTGATGGAAAAATAAATCTTATCAAGCTGCTGAATAACGTACTAATTCCTTCATGATTTGTTTCTAAAGATGTAAGCACATACTAGCTCAAGTTTCCATAGAAGTCTGAGTTAATGCGAAACCAATGTTAATATCTACCTCAGCTCTTCGATGCAGATGATTGAGCTTCTTTTGCAGGGCACTTGGAATCAACTTTAAGAAACACCAAATATGTTTCTAGTACTCCAAATATCCAGCAGTCCGAGCCTTGCCCAAAATTGACTCTATGCCATCATTACACAGAACAAAATTCTTTGCCACTGCAAAACCAGCATACATGCCATCCACAGCTGCACTTACAATCCCTCCAGCATAACCCGCTCCTTCGCCAACAGGGTAAAGACCTTTCAACGACGTGCTCTCATAAGTGTCAATTCCACGGGGAATCTGGATGGGAGAGCTAGTCCTAGTCTGGAAGCAGATTTAATGATTTTATAATTGATTAAGATACTGACATAAATAACGATAATTCTTTGGTGGCGGTACAGACTATTTATTATGTTACATCCTGTTGACATAAAAAGAAACTAAAAGGGAAAAACAAATATAATTAACTGGGATTACCTCCACTCCATGAAGAAGGGCCTCTTTGGAGATAAAACCTGGTAACTGAAGGCTCCAAAGTCCGCAACAAGCCAAGTATATCAGTAATCTTTTGTGCATTCATCAAAAGTATTAAAGGCAGTTAACAATTACAAGAGAAGTAAAGTAAAACCTCTTGGTCAAATGCTGAGATTGAATTTTGCAAAGTCTCTGTTATATGAATGGGGAATATCTCGTGGAGATTTGCTGCCTTCACTCCTAGTCGATAACTTGAAGGTGGCACAGATGTCACTGGAACAAAAAAAAACAAAGAGCCAAGCTTAGCTTGCTGAACAATTGATGCAAAACTAATAAGAAATGGCATAGCAATCCTACCTGACAACTTATTGTCCAAAAAATCCGTAACTGTCTGCACAGGCACCACAAAATTTCCCCCTCCCATTCTAGCTGCTCTTTGCTCAAATTCCCTCTAAAAAAATTACAACATTAGAACATGTTATAATGCATTTCAGCTGAAATTATGAATGTCCAACCAGGCTGAAAGACCCTTTTCTGCATGTTCTATGACATTAGCACAGCACTCAGAAGAGTTTGTTTCATATCATACAGAAGAAAAAAATTTAGTCATAACAGCTGGTAGGTAAATAAAGGAATACAAAACTGCAGACAAAAGAACATCAGAAATACTAAGGGAAAAGTTACCTGAAACTCAACCCCTGCAAGAGGTCCATGGAGATTCAATGCATCAAAATCTTTCATTGAGACGGTTACAACAAGTGCAGCATTTGCCCACTTTGACGCACGTCTAGAAAATGACATGCCATTGATACAGATTTCAGATGGCTTTGTACCAGTGAGAACAACCTGCAAATACCATCTCAGTGACTCCTAGAGTAATTTATATGATCATTCTTCACCAGACATTTGCAATGCAAATATGATTCTGACCACCAGAAATTCAAAAACAGAAAAACATACCTGACCACCGGGACACATACAGAAGGAATAGCAACTGCGACTTGTTGCCTGTAAAGGTTCATCCCCATCCTTTCCACTTGCATATTTGGCAACCTTGTAATCTGCCACTGGTACTTTACCACGTCCTCTGCGGACCTCAGTTGCCAATCCAGAATACTGCATATTTGTTGTAATAAGGAAAAATCAATAAATAGTTACAAAGGGAAAAAGAATTAGCTTCGCTTAATAACAATACATCCAAAAATTTCAAATGAAGCTGACAATGCAACAAACCTGTAAGCTGTTTATTACTTCTTGAGGATGCTCAATCCGCAAGCCAACCTGTTCAGCCAATTTAAGTTTTAATCAAGCTAACAAAATATTTTGAACCAAGCACTACAACTAATACCAAGGAAAGTGACTTCTCACTAATACATGCCAAATTAGCCACCAAAAGGATGGTGTACATAATTCCAAGAACAAATATGGAAATATGACATCTCATTCTTCTGGCAGGAACACCATATCGAGAGGGCAAAAAAGCTTTCCTTTGTTGCATTTACTCCTCCAACTACACTATGTCAGTATCGGTATAAATGACCTTTCCCTCATGTTCAGCTATATTTAATGGATAAAATTATGTCATCAACTTCCTTAATCCTACACTCTTATCTCATGTGATCTTTGGACACAATAGTAGTGCCAGAAACTTCTGGAAGACAAAGTATTGGATAAATGTAGGTTACAGTGGCCAGTTGATTTGGAGGATTCATGCACACAATAGATCCATAAATAGATAAACAACAAAGTTTCTTTGAATAATCTCTTTGAAAGGGGTTTTGACTATAAATAAATAAAAATCTATATGAAAGGGGGAGAAAATGAACTCACAGCAAAATCTTTTGGGACCAAGTCTATGTTATGAGATAGAAGAGTTTGATAGATATCACGTGCAGAATGCCCAACAGCTAGAACAACAGCATCATATCCCCATTTCTGGGTATTAGACTGTCTGTCAACTGAATCCGAAACTTTGACACCCACAACTTGTCCGTTATCTACAAGGAGATCATCTACCCTCATCCCAAATTTGATGGTAACCTGAGCATGCCAAAAAACAATTATTAAAAGTATAAGAAATGTAAGCCGTAAGCAACATAAATCTAACAATATGCATTTGATTTAGTTAGAAAGAAAAAAAAGTGTCACTAACACCCAGATTTTGTAGATGTTGCCGAAAATTGCGAAGTAATGGAATCAATCTATCTGTCCCCAAATGAGGCTTTCCGTCAACCAAGATTCCCTCAGGAGCTCCGAAGTGAACTAAAGTTTCCATAACCTGAGAAGTAAATAAATCTGAATCAACCCACATAAAGGATGGGTAATGGCGGCTAAGTGATACTAGTCACCTGAAAGAAGAGAGAGAGAGAGAGAAGGCTACATTGTCTATTATCTAAGCCTTGACAGCTCTGTATTTCACCGTCCAAATTACACAAAGGGAAGACAATCAAAATGATATTTTTTTTCTGTCGAAACAAGACAATCAAAAGGATAGAGAATGGTTCTGACCGCCAAAACACTGCCACTGTTTCTTCCAATCCTAGTCACCAGCTTTCCATCACTCCATGTACCTGCACCACCCTGCCATGAATAAGTCCTCGATAAATGACTCAACGGTAAACATGTGTATGTGCGTGTCTGTGTGTAACATAAAGGCACGTGTTTTTATCGAGGCAGGAAAACAGAGATAAGTAAGAGCACAAGGTGAATCAAGTTATAAGTATAACCTCCCCAAAGCAAAAATTGCTTTCCGTTTGCAACATTCGGCGGACAACCAGAGCACCAATGTCGCGGCCCCTTTGTTCAACGGGCTGACCTCTTTCTATTAAGGTGACATCTGCACCAAATTCCGCAAGAACAAGGGAGGCAAACAACCCTGATGGTCCACTACCCACCACTGCAATTTTTGGTTTTCTAGCCGTCGGATGTGTGTATAATCCTTGGGACCCATTGTTCATGTTGCGCGCACTTTCTCTTGAAACTGTACCTTGATGTACATTTTCAAAGCCATGTATGATACTGATCAAATCTCCAGATTTATTTGCTTCAGGCATGTGTTCTACCAGCCCAACTTTAGGCTGCAACTCAGAAATGAAATCCCAAGCCCGAGGCTCTAGACTCAGAAGTTTGTTGACATCCATTTCGACAACGTACACGAATTTGGGTTCTTTCAACCTCTAGATAAGAAATAATAAGAGGAAGAGAAAAGCGCATTACTTGATTGATGGGTAACCAAATTGAAACTAGTCCAACTTTGCTTTTACCAAACAATTTCACAGACAGATAGGATGCAAATGGCCATTTCTGCAAGACTCTAACCTCCTAACATCAATCAAAAAAATTTCCACGACACACAACATATCATACCTTCCTTGCATCAAAAGATTTCCGAACCACCGTGAACGCCTCTGTCGGCAGCATTGAAGCAACCTGAAATGAAAGAGTGGCAACAAGATATGATGAATATAAAAAAAATGTAGCAACTTGCACAAATGCTTCTTCACATAGACAAAAGTGCTGCCCCAAATGCTTTTACCGGAAACTCGAGCACTTTGGCAATCTGTTCAAGCAAGCCCTCGGAGACGCCGAGAAAGTCCTTTCCAGGGTCCTTGTGGACGGGAACTCCGAGCTTGGAAAGCCTCCAAACACCCGCGAACTTGTTCTTCACTTCCCCTACGATTTCCTGGTGCTTCAATTTGAGCTCCTTCTTCTCTGATGGGTACCTCTGTTTGCCGGTCCTCTTGGCGCTAAGGACTCGGAGTGTTTGGCGACGATGATAAGGGAGTGGACGCATAGGGAGAGGGTTTGGAGGTTGGAGACACTGGACATGGAGGTGGACAGAGCCAAGCTTGGAGTTGGAGGGAAGGAGGGACATGGCTTTAGTTTACACAGAGCACTGTGGAGACCGGAGAGTCGCGCTTCTGAGTAGTGAGCTATGGTTTGGGATAAGGAATTAATACGACATGGCGTTTATCCCATATGCCACACATACAGTACGACCCACACATGAGAAGTGAAAAGACAACACCGCCGACCGGCTATACTCTTTTTTATAATAAAGATTGAACGCGGCTATACTATTTATGTAAAAAAGACCAGGCTAGCGCCTAGCGCCTAGCGTGTTCTGGATAGAGTATCGCCGCGGCTATACTCTATAAATAGAATTTTGTATTCTACTTTTTCATTGGTTAAAGAACTTTTGACTCTCAAAATTTTAATTTTAATGTATTTATTCTCCATCATTTAAAGTCAGAATTTTTCTGTATACCCCCAAAGAAAAAGTCAATTTTTTTCTTAATTGTTCATTTAAAGTAGGACTAACTTCTTTTCTCTATTTATCTTATCTCCAATGAGCGGGAGCAATTTTTTCTTGTATCATTGCACATCTTCTTTTGTTATTTCATATAAATACTACTTCATGCTGTCGATTTCATGGATGAAATGTTTCATCTACAGACTTTTAACAGAACTCATTTTTGAAAATTATTGTCCACAAATCCCAGCACGAGCAGGAAACAATCTAAGCAGATGGACTATGGCGGCAATTGATAGGTTGCAGGCTTGCATTGCAGCTCGTAAGCTTTTTCCGGAGCAAGATTTCCGACTTCACCAATTGCCTGCATCTGCATCACGAGATTGATAGAAGTCGTCTGCCCGTACAATGTTGACCTCTTCAAACTCATTGTCATCTGGAGGCAATGGAGAAAAGTTTTATTAGGCTGCTCCCAAGCAAACATAAGATAAAAGACGAGACACAATCTGGTCTACCTAATATAAAAGTAGAGCAGTCGGTCCCATCAAACTTTCAAGCATAAAAACTAGTAGGGCGGATAATAAAAATCAGTAACAAGTCATCTAAAGACGTTGTAACTGTCTTATGAATAAATCCAAGCTCAAGCAATGATAGAACTATACAAAAAATCGTATACAAATTAATCAAACTATTGCAAAGAAAAAAGAAAAAAGAGAAAAGACTGCCTACTCCTTGTCATTTTCACACATCATCAATTGCCGTTCTCATACGATAATGATTGTATGAAAGCTTAATTAATTTGGAAAAGCCAACTTCATCAGAACATTACAAAAACATGACTAAATCAAAATGGTCCTCAAACAGTGTCTGAAATACTTCAGACCATAACCCAACTCTTAAGAAAGAGCACCCCCCCTAAACTTTTTCCCATCAAACTAGGCAACTCCTCAATCTTTGATGTCTCATAACTCAACTCATGGTAAGATGCCTTCTGCCCATGAAACTAGGCAAAGTTATACTTTTCTTTTATATTAGATAATCCAACCTTCTAATCCTTGTTTTCAAATACTAACTTAGATGAGCCAGCAGTGAGAATAATACAAGTAAGATGCATAAAACCAGAAGGACCAAAAAACCAAAAGGATAAGAGATTCAACCTTTTCTCAAGGTCAGTGCCACAATGGCATCATTCTCAACCTGAAAAGACATGAAGATATCATTGAAGACATCATCCACTTTTGAAGCTCAATGAACATAAAATTTTGAAATGTCAATGTGATGAAAATTGGTTGTAGTAGTGAATCTCTAAGTTAAGTGTGTGTGTGTGTGTGTGTGTGTGAGAGAGAGAGAGAGAGAGAGAGGTGAACTGTACTTTTTGTTTCGTACCTTCAGATCTGCCAATGACTTTGAATCCTCCAGTACTTCCCCAGTACTGACTAGGATCAAGCGCTGATCACTTACTGGTTGATCAATAAGATCATGCAACTTTTGCTTAATATCTAAACTTGTCTCAGTTGGTTCACACTGGATAAAGTAAGTTGTCTTACTACGCTTAACACGGATATACATGGCCTGGAAAAGAAAAAAAGATACAAACAAATCAGCATACAGTTTTTTTCCACTAATAATCAACGAAAACCACTAATCTTTTCCTTTAGTCTTATATTCCATACAACTTTCTCTAAAATCAAACCGAAGTAATGGCCAAAATCAACAGCAATTTTAGTCCAAAAGCAAGACTAACATTGCTTTACATGTGAAATTACTTAAACAAAGACACAATGTATCATGTTCCACAAGTTGGCAGCATTTGCTTCCTCCAATAGGGGAAGACGTGGATTTGCTATAAAGTCAGACATGAAAGCCATATTTGAAGGTTGTTCACACATTGTAATTGTTTGAACCTTGTATTTCAATACATTCCCACTCTATCATATATCACGTAACTTTGATCGCCAAAATTTCAATTAGATGATCAAAATGATCCCCCAAGTTTTCTCTAAGCACAATTTCCTTACAATATAATGACTTATTAGCAATTAAATAAATAAACAAAGTCCCTATCCCCTTAACTCACTACAGGATTAATTTATCGATTATCTTATGTGCCAACAATGTAACGAAACGAAAGGGATAAAGAGAATCATGTACACACCATTCTTCAACTCTGAACTGAATAGGGGCAGGAGGACTCAGGAAATCTCTCTTCAATACACTGCCAAGGAAATCCTGTTAAATCAGAACTAAATATGACATGTTGATGTTATGCACCACAAAATTAATCAAATAATCTAACAAGAAGATAACTATTTAATTTACTTCACTTGCAATTGTATCCTACTAATTTTTCACTTCAACATAGTGGCAGATCCAGGATGTTAAAACATAGTATTAATTAATTCCATCCCTTATACTTTTCCTTAATTACTCATAACTAAACAAACATATACAACCTCTTACATACGGAAGGGAGGGATGAAGGAACCGAAGCATGTACATTGTGAAAGGTAAATTTGTTGGTAACTGAATCATTTCCATAGATTACAGACACAAATTATTGCTTCAACTTGGTATTTTCAGGATAATACAGACCCCAAGAGCAATCAGCAAGCATACAAAATTAAACATTACTCTAGAGTCTAGAGTTGCCCAGTGCACAACAGATACAAACTTAAATTTGCAGTGTGGACATGTCGAACTTTGAGTGAGAGTCAAACACCAATCAAGAGAAAGTAAAGGATTGAAAAAAATTCATGAAACAAAATCAAATTCAAACCACTACAGAAATCCAAAGAAACAAGGATTCTGGTAGTAGTGAATTTAGGCGAACACAATAACACAAAGCCGCATATGTTTCAATTGTTGTTTTTGTATAACTTTTTCTCACTCTTTCGCATACTTGCTCTCTTCTGAACCATGGGGAAGCTCTTTGGAGCTTCCCATCGAACATGTGGTGGGCAATTCTTTTGCATATGTTTCACTCTGCCGCATTTGTCTCACGTTTTCTCACTCTTTCGCACATATTTCACTCTGTTGCTGAAACATGGGGAAGCTCTTTGGAGCTTGCCGTCGAACAGCTGGTGGGCAAGTCCAGGGGGTCACACCAGCAGCACACCAGGACCTACACAGCCACTTTCATGGCTGCCAAGGGGTAGCTTGACCCCAGTGAACCCATGGTGGCTCCGCCACCAAAGTTTTATTTTTTATTGAATTGAAAAAAAGAAGTTAAAACATTAAAAAATAATCTGGGTATTTTGTATCCACTATGAACATAGAAAGAGAGAGACGAAAGGATCGATTTTGAGAAATATTAATCTTTTTATTGTTTGCTAGTAATGAGTTAAGATTCTCCTACCTCGAAGCGGTGGCTTTGTTCGCTGGCCAAAGTCTACGGTCAGAAATCAACTTCAGCCTCTTTCTTTCGCTGTCCCTGGCTGCACTCGAATCAGGTTCTCCTACGTCTGACGATTTTTTGGTGTTTGGCTGCTGACTCAGACTTAACCCTCCACCGGTCAGGTTGATTCTTCTCTCGATTTTGAGTCTGGAGTTGTTATCTCAGACGCTAGAGAAAACACAAAAGGGTATATTTTTTCACCGTCACACCGAAAATATTTATTTATTTATTTATTATAGGAGCCAGCTTACCTTCCTAATCTCTTATTTATTAGGGTGATTTTATTAACACCCTATTATTTGCTATTTAAATCTCACATTTTCTTTACACTCAACTGAATTTTAGTAAAATTTAAAATTACTCACTATACCCTATTTTCTTCCTAAATTGCCCTCATGAACCCAATTCCCTAACTTCTTGTGTAAATCCCACCCCACCCATAAAAAACTATCTCCTCTTTTAGACACACCCCACCCCATTAGAAATTACGATCTCTTGCAGACACACCTCATCGCACAACCCATTTGATTTGCAACAAACTCCGTCACACACCCCATCCCATTTGAAGCAGAGCCATTGCACAACTCATCTCAGCAAACCTCAACCCCATCGCCTTAGCCATCGTTGATCTGTCCAATTTTAATAATCCTATCTAACCTCAAAATCCTCCGAAAAGCCAAAATAAGATTTGATTTCAATTTTGAAAAGCCAACGTTTGATTTCAATTTTGTGGATATATAGTTCGAACCTGGTTTTACGAAATGAATTTTAAACATGATAATCGTTGAAAAGCAAATTTAATTAATATTTAAAATTAATATGAGGTGGAAAGAGTCAATAATGGGGTGCCAATAAATAAAATTTCCCCATTTATTATGGGAGCCAGCTTTCCTTCCCCAATCTAAAACACCGGTTTCTTTTTAATTAATTGCTTTTAAGCAAATCTCCCATCTCTCTCTGTTGGTGTTTAGGTAGACAGTAAAAATATCAATCGGTGCCTGGTGTTCTCGGCTGGATTAAGTCTAAACTTCCATCCAAACAAGCCGGAGAAAACCAGTAAACCACATTAACTCCATCACCGGTCAACCTGTGACCTGCTCGGCTGGCTGTTGTACCTACAAAGGTGGCGGCGGCTTTACAAGTGCTTGTCTTGTCAGCTCAGCAGCTTCTCGTTAGGGCTTTCCACTCGGCTTTCTGTAGACTTCACCGCACCCAATCGCCTCTTCCTCGCTACCATGGGCAACACATCCTCGATGCTCACTCAGTACGACATCGAAGAAGTCCAGGACCACTGTAACCACACATGTAAGTTGCTAATCCATTCGCCAATTTCTTAGTTCCCCCTTGTGGATCAAGGAGCTTAGTATTTCTGAGCTGTTGGATTTAATTTGATTTGATTTAATTTGATTTGAAGTTTCGCAGCAGGAGATAGTTTCTCTGTATCAGAGGTTTTGTCAGCTCGATCGCAGTGGCGGAGGTTTCATCTCCGCCGATGAGTTCTTGTCCGTACCTGAATTCGCCGTCAATCCTCTTTCTCAGGTACAAACACATAAAGGATTAAAGGTTAAATCTTTTTATAATGTGACGTAGATCATTGGCTGAAAACTTGGGCAGTAGATTTCAAAGATTGATGCTTTATTTTGATAGAGCACACCATGTGATCATGTATTGGCGAACGATGCAAATATTTTATATGAGTAACAATGAAGTGCTGTAAATCTTTCAGAGATTGCTAAAGATGTTGTATGGATTGAACTTTAAGGAATTCGTAGCTTTCTTGTCAGCATTCAGTTCTCGTGCAACCTTGGAGCAAAAAATTGAGTGTAATATTTCTTTATTAATGTGTCACTTCAGAAATCTGTGGCTACTATGAGCTTTGCTTGCTTGTTTTGTTCTCTATTTCTGAGTTGCAGTTTGGGGTGTCTATCTGTTTTGCAGTTATTTTTAAGGTATATGATTCAGACTGCAATGGGAAAGTCGCATTCAGTGATATGTTGGATGTTTTACGGGATTTGACGGGGCAGTTCATATCTGAGCAACAGAGGGAGGTTGGTTTCTATCAAAAATTTGTCTCCATATTTTATTTCTCTTATGCTCTGATTTGGGCTTGGTAACAAGGCTTGAGGCACTTGAGTTTATGCAATGATTCAATTGTTCAAAAAATTTCTTTTTGTGAAGTGTCTTTACTCATCGCCAATATGTTTATTTGGACTATGTTGAGGTTACCTGTTATATAGCTATTCACCATTTGTTTTAAAGTTATCAATCAAAAGTAGTCTGGTTTTCCATCTAGGATTCAGGTTTCATTTCAGAGATGATGTGACACTCTGTTCTTGGGCAAAGTAGGGGAAAATTATTATAATCAGAAATCAGAAGACTGACTAACTTCATGAAAGTACCTTCTTTGAGACCTAGTTTCCAAATACTACGTATTGGTTTTCTTAATACAAGAAAAAATAAGAAGTGACTGTTGAAAACATGACTTTCATCTTTCTTCATTCAAGATACATTTATGCTGCTCTGAAACTTTTCATTACAATGTCTGAGAAGGTGCCTATTTATGTGTTTGATATAGTGTTTATGCGTTTACATCTTTCTGCAGCAAGTGTTGACCCATGTCCTAGAGGAATCAGGCTATACAAAGGATTCTTTGCTAAGCATATCTGACTTTATGAAGGTACCACAACATTATAAGTTCTGTCTAGTAATTAATGCACGTTATTGTAGATATATAACTAGTCTGGTCTTTGTCTTGCATGACCTCACTTGTATGATTTTCATTACTCCGCTTAGCTTGTTTCATCTTAGTGATTGTGTTATGAATTTTGAATCTCTTGACTTGTATAACTCTGTTTTGACGCTGCCCTTTCTAATCATGCCATAGAAGACAATGAGATGTGCTCTGATTAGTATAACTTGGGTTGCTTTTGGAAGCAATTTTTACAATGTTCATGGAACCATGGATTGAATAAAGGAAAGAGAACTTCGATTTCTCATTTCATTGCCATGCATGGAGTTCAAGGGTATGGGTATGGCATTAACCTGTCAGATTTTCATTAAGGCTAGAAGTAATAGCTGCATTTACTTTTGCAACGGTAGGTTATTCACACAGAGAGAGATATCTCTATGTATGAGAGGGGCTGGGTTGCTGGGGATGGAGGTCCCTCTAAATTTTTTCTGTAGTTATTAAGTTATCCTCATTGAAGTCACACAGTTGTTGGGTCTAGCATAAATGTGATAAAACTTAGTGTCATGCTAGAATGATTTGAAGGTTTATATCCCAAGAAGTTGAGATGTTTTTGTTTCCCCTCTGGTTTGCTTTTCTGTAAACGTGTTTTTAACTTTTGTTGATGTTCCTCTATTTTTACCTTTTTCTTTTCTAATCAGACTAGTAAATACTTTTGCAAACATTATTTGAAGTATGCATCAGCTGATTTGTCATTTCCAATTCACATCTGAAGGGACTTTTCTTCATCTGTCTATGAAATGATTATACTTGCATTAAATTCCTAATTATGCAATAAATTTTGTAGAAAGCATATATATTAGCTGAAAATAAGTAAACAATGTAAAAATGTATTCCTCATTGTTTACAGACTCTTCGCAACTCTGATTTGAAGATGGAGGTTGAGGTTCCTGTGGATTGAAATGAGACTGACAAATCTCAAAGCTAAAGTTGGCCAGGCTTAAAAGCCGGAGGCACAACGTCCACTGTGTGTTCCTTGTAAGTCTGTAGAACAGTGTAAGCACTTATGCGGGAGTGGCATTTCTCGTTTTGCCAACTAGTTCATAGAACAGTAGTACAATGTATTTCTATTACACAGGTTTGAGCCTTTAGAATTACGTGGTAGATGGCAAATGGTTGATTGCTAGTTCTTCTGCTTGTTGAATAACGTAATTTATGGACAGTTTTCTGCCGTTGGACTTAGGGACAAATGGTTCCTTAATTTTCAGATGCATCATCATGCATGGCATTGGCATTCAAATCCGTGTCCACCATTCAATAAAGCTAACCATGCTGATTAAATATTCTTCTTCTTGAATAATTTCTGTTCGTGTATCCTTTTTCTTCCTTTAATAAGATTTGGCTTAAGCAAGGCTTAGCAAAGTGGTTAGGAGTCTGTGGCCCCAGTTCGAGTCCCCCTCCCAATATCGCTTGTATGAAAAAAAATATTTGTCTTTGGCGTAACGTCTCTCTCTCTCGTACTAGGCTTTATCACTGAGTTGGTTAAAGTAAGACCGACTGGAATCTGGATCGGACTGAAGCCCGCCATGATGAATTTATTCTGGGCCATGCTGATTCTTGAATTATTGTTCCCCTTTTTTTCTTTATACTTTGTTGGCCGTTAATGAGGATGTCAAGCACGCCTGTGCTTCTTTCTTTTCTCTGCTAATTACTTTTGCGTAAATTAAATATGAAAAAAGAGAGTATAATCCCATCCAGCCATCCTTAATGTAACATGTCCTACATAATAAGAATATGATGCAGGCAGGTATCATGTTCATAACCAAATAAAACTGAGAAGGAAAAAAAAACGTACTGGACCACGTACAAGAAGCTATTTTTATCATTTATTTTCCCTGTATGGACTTGGACTAAACTTGAGATTTAAAATTTTAAGTGTCACATCACATGTACTAAAATTCCAGGCAATAAAAGAATCGATACAATGTGAAATGAAGATCCAGGGTGTGTTTACTATTACCATCGTGCCCATTGGATTCTGATAAATCATGATTGTTAAAATAGCATAGTTGACCCCTCCATGAGATTCCATCCAGACGGGAAGGGAGATAAGGATTTACCCAAAAGGGGAAAAAATAAGAAAGAAAACTGAGTTGACCAACCTATTTGACCAACCTATATGTAACATATATGAGATGGTCGGTCTGTAGTCGGCAGAAGAAGAAGAAGAAGAAGAAGACCTTCTGCCTCGCCTGCTAGCCCATGTATTCTAATTTGTAGCCGTTAAACTAGCTGCAAACGACTTTTTGAAAAATCGAAAGGACCCTTTTAATGGCGGTTGCGGGACAAAAGGAAGAAGTGGGGGCCCACCTTGCTATGATTAAGACAATTGGATTTTAGTCCATTAAGGAGACAGTGATTGATTGGTGGACAAATTAGAGCTCTAATCGGGCAGGATATGTTTTTATAGGGACGAAAGGTAAGAACGACCTCGTTTCGATTGATCTTTGTATTTGGTTGGTAGAAAATAGATTGTCTTTGGCAATGTCATGTATCAATCATCCACCACCTTCGTGGTTACAAGGAGGCAAAGGGCAGTTTTGTTTCTTAACCTATTCATTCAATTCAATGCCTTTCTGTTTCAGATATTTCAAAATGAATGCTGCTGCTTTATAAGGAAGCCAAACCAAGCGCCAAGCTGTTGCTAGCAAACACAAACATTCATTTTTGGTATGTATACCTTAGCCTTTTCTATACTTTCCATAAACAAAATTACAAAATTAAAAAAATGAATGAAGAATTTAAAACCTGGGAAGCTATTAGCACTCGCGATGTTTCTTTGCTGCTTCCCATTTTGTCATTGAGTGCACATCAGAAAAAGTTGGATTTGTTTTTATGCCTCTTGCATAAGAGAAAAGCATGAATGGGTTTCATTCCATTTTGTAAACCATAGAATTGTCCATTTCTGGTATCTTCTTAATTCATTGGTCCGGAGAAACAAGTTTCATGTAATTTGTTTTCTTCTTCTTCTTCTTGTTGTTGTAGCAGAAAAAATAAAAACTTGACAGGTTTGATTCTTTCTGCAGTGATTTTTCTCAACTGGGTTTTGTTCTGAGGATCAAGTTTAGGCCTTCTTCTGCACAACCATCAGGTAATGTTTTTTGTGTGGAAATCAGGTTCTTGGATTAGGAAAATTAACTGGAGTTGTATTCACTTTATTCTAGGCACTAGTGTCTATCTCATTGTTCCTGTGGCATGTGATTGATTCAATTTTGCTATCTGCTACGTGAATCTTGAAGAAGATAATGGTAATTCTGAATAGCTGATAAATTTGCACTTGTTTTGTTCCTAGAATCCAGTCTGATTTCTCCTCTATTAACTGAGATGGCCGAGGGTAGTATGCCTGGGATGCCTGAAACTGATATAACAGCCCTAACTGAAGCACTTTATGCTCAACAACAACTACTGCAAAAGCTTTACTCTGAACTGGATCAGGAAAGAGAAGCATCATCTACTGCAGCTGATGAAGCTCTATCCATGATACTGCGCCTGCAAGGAGAAAAGTCTGCCATGAAGATGGAAGCAAGTCAATATAAGAGATTGGCAGAGGAAAAGATATGTCATGCTGAGGAAGCTCTTGCAATATTTGAAGATCTCATTTATCAGAAAGAAATGGAAATTGCTTCTCTTGAGTTCCAACTTCAGGCTTATAGGTACAAACTTTTAAGCATGGGTTGCAGCACTGAATTAGGTGCCGGTGAAAATGTATATCCAGAGAATTTGTTGTTTCAAAGAAGTGATCTTGGCAATGCGGAAACAGGTGTTAGTGGGACTATAAGAAGAATCAACTCTCTGCCTCCACTTGAACTCAAGGAATTCCTCAACAAGAAAAGCACTACGGATAAAGACAGAGACAGAGACAGAGACAGAGAGAGAGAAAGAGAAAGAGAAAGAGAAAGAGAAAGAGACAGAGAGAGAGAAAGAGACAGACCCATGATCCCTAAGCCAGAATGTGTTAAAAAAAAGCCAGAGAAAAAGGTGGACCAGGAAGTCAATTTCCAGAGCTTAGATGTAGAGAAGAAATCAATAAATTATGCAGGTGGGAACATGAATACAATCTGGGAGCAGATTAAGAAGTTAGATGCACGAGTGAAAGAGATATCAGATTGTAAAGATTATGGTAGGGAGAAATCTTTACTCTTGAAGGGTCCGTCCAGGACTTGTTCATTACCCTCAGTTCCAAAAGTAAGCGTAAACACATCACGTAACCCAACAAGTGAAGAAATTATTGCCAGTTTGGATAAGCTTAAGCAAAGTGAGATTCTACAGGAAAGGGAGGCAATTGTTAGTCCTTCATGCTCCTCAAGCGTCCATGATGTTTTTGAAGTCCCACAAAGTTATGAGAATGCTAAAGCTTGTGAAGGTGAGAAGAAAGAACTTAGTAAGTTGACTGTGGAAGTCGAGAACAGGCTGGGAAAGCCAGATTTGGTGTTGGATGAGACCAGTGAAATATATGCTAAAGATGAAACAGACAGGGTAAGGAAAATTTTGCATTGCAAGAAGCAAGAGAATAAAATATTTAAACCAAGAGATGGAATAAGTACTGCTGACTCTAATTTGAGGGAGAGATTGGCTGGGGTTACTGAATCTCAGCAAGCCAAATTTCAACAGCTGTGGAGGAGAATAGAGCAGCTTGAGGGAGAGAGAAATAGTATAAGGCAAGAAATTAGTCATGCAGGAGAAGAGGAGTTGAAGCTGTTTCAGGAGATACATGAGCATCTTAATTTAATACAGTCTGAAATGCGTAGTTGGAAGCCTAAGAAACCCCCTCCGCAGGATGACGAGCCCTTGCACTCTGTTATGGAGGTATGACCTTCTTGCTTTTTTCCTTAGGGTATTTACTCACTCTCTCACTCTCTCACTCTCTCTCTCTCTCTCTCTCTCTCTGCTGTGGACTGAGATACACATGCACATACACTTTTAGTTGTGAGGGTCTTTGAGCATGGCTTGCTAAGTATAAGCTGGAATGTTGGTTCACCTTGAATGCAAAGTTAAATGCAAAGTTTGATGACTTTATTCCCAAATCTCAATTTTATGGAACAGGCAATGCTACACTTTTGGCTTTGACCAAGCAATTCGGTGTCGCTGATGAACTTCATGCATCATCAGTTTTAAAGGTGCTATGTAGAAAGGATTCCGTAAGAATATCTTTGACCTTTTCTTCTCCAGTGGGTGGTGTGAACTAATAAATTAGATTCTTTGATTTGATTTGTATAGCTCCTAATACAATGTAAAATTTTCAATCTGTACATTGAGTCTTACTACAGTACAAACAAATCTTTCTTCCAAATTAGGATTGTACAAGGAATGCTTCCATGTACATTTTATTATTTTGAAATCGAAATGCAGGTTGTAAGTGAGTTCTTTCTCAACATAGATACCATGTTTTACATTTTCCCTCCATATAAAAAAAGTTACATGACACATTCAACTTTTGAGCATAACTGCAAGAAAGCTTCTGCATACATTCAACATTAGATCATAGCGGAAATCAGTTGAGTGCCCTTGGTGTATCAGAATTTCCGGCAGAAATCTCCCTACCTCCTTTTGTTTTCTATACAATCTTCATGAGGCTATAGGGAGTGTTTCCATGAAAGAGTAATCATGTAATAGTGACCACAATTAGGTCTTAGAAGACTGTGTCTCATTTTGAGCATGCATAAACACTATGTCAGATTTCAAGGCATGCCATGGCCTGGAGTATTTCCCAGGAAATCTAATTGATGTTTAATTCCAGAAAACTGGAGTGATAAACTTTTAATAGTGGAAAGATATTAACAAAACGTGTGGGAATTTAGTATGTTGGGATAAATTTAATGCAAGAGTTGCTTTCCTATGAGGATCAAGAAGAACTCAGAAAAAGGAGGCTATTCCATAGCCTATTTGTTATCTCATTTCCTCCCAAATGATTAAGTATCTCGACGAACGTTCTAACTTAGAAGTTATGCCTTCAAGATTGTTGGGATCCCTAGCACAGCAAGGATAGGATATAGAAGGGAGAAAATCTAAATTGCAGGTATGCCCATACATTCATCTCTTTGCTCACATGGGCTAATGAAAGTGGGTGATATGTTGGAGGAAGATAGTATAGAACAAGCAGAACTGCTCCAAGGAACATCATTTATTTTGCATGTTTTCATCTTGTCACCTTGTTTGATCATAAGAAGGATTTCACAGTGGTGAAAAGAACAATTACTTAAAAGTTTAAAAGAAAAAGTGAGACTTGTCTTTACAGGGTCCATGTTTATATTGCCAAAATAGTTTGTTTCGGGACATTACATAAGTGATTGGACTAATTCTATTTTCAGTATTGTTGACCTTTATTGCAATGCTTTCTTAGGCATGTAGTCATATATAGATCTTTCATTTTAAAACTCCAGATTTCTTCACAACGTTCCAAACATTGATGAAGGGAAGTTGAAGTTGTGAAGGTTGCATATTGGATTTATGGATTTGCAAGTCTTAACTTGTTCGAATTATTCGCATGGAACTGAATACCTTGTTACCAAAAAACTAACTTTTTTTTGCTAGCGCTTTCATATCAAAGACGTAAAATAAAGATTCTTCATTTGAGGATTACATCATTTGATTAACTTCCACTGAAAGATTGCTGAGTTCCAAAATTTTAGATTATGCATTGCATATGTAAGTCAAGAATAAATTTTAATTTAAAATAAGTGTTTTGCAGTGATTCAAGAGTTAATTTATAATGAAGAGACAGGAGTTTCACTTGCATTGCACATAGTATTAGTGGGGCAGTTTTCTATGGAGATCATCCAAAAACAGATGGATGCTTGAAGTAATATTTGCTTGTGGAGGTCACCATCTTGGAGCACCATGTCACATTGGCCTTCCCCTTTCATGCACAAAGAAGAGTTTGGCATGTAATTCTTTACTGCAAGTGGAACGAGCACTGTGTTTTATCATCATTTGCACCTACCCACCCCTAAAGCTTCTTTTCGTTTCTTTTATTATCTGACCAGCACATCGTTTATTTATAGTTAAACGAAAGTGCCTGAAGTTCTCACTTTCTGCAACAGTATCTGCAATCAAGTGAAGAGTTCCTGCAGTTCTACAAAAGTTCTGCATTTCTAACACGTATGAATACGATGCAGAAATGCCAAGGAGGAGGAGAGGTACGTGATCCAATTGAAGAGGCTGCAAGTAGTGGATATCGAATCATCAGACTCAGTAAAGTTTTTACATAAAATATTTGAACAGATGAAAGAAAGTATGAAAGCATTAGTAGTAGGGTAGGCCAAAAAGAGAACTAAATGCCTTTTTGGACTGTGGATATCAATCTTATTACATGAATTAGTTCTATTATTGAAGTAATGAGCAACAAAGTCTGTGTTTGGATGGTTCTGATATGAAGCAAGCACTAGTTTGTTGACTAGTGAAGAAACTCTTCTTTATGGTTAGCTTAGTATAACATTTTACTGAATTCATGTCAGCTCTTGGACAAAAGGTTACGAGAAGGCAGTGAAATGTAGTCTGAGTTGCATAATAATACGATCAAATAAGTATAAGACATGGTTAAAAGTTAAAACAAGTAAGAAAACAATTGCCAATTGCTTTAACCAAAAATTACAAATAAAAATCAAACAAATGAATTCAATTATCAGACATGAAAGTTCAAACTCAATGAAACGACTTCCATCACCATCCCAGAGTCAGAGTGCATCAACTTTAAGGCCAACTTCTTCAATCAACAGTGATGAAGGATTGGAGATATATTCCTTCACCCGACCCATTTCATGAGCTACATCTTGCATACTTGGTCTCATTGAAGGATTGTACTGTGTGCACATGAGGCCAAGCTCAATCAACTCCAGAACAACATCCCACCATATTTTGTTATATTGCTTAGGCATTGAATCTGGGACACACCTATCTATCGCTTGTTGAACTATAGAATCAACCCTGCTGGGGTAGTGACTTTTTACCCATTCATGCAAGCTTGAACCTTCATGAAAAAGGACGTCGGTTGGTCGCCTTCCGGTAACGATTTCTAACAAAAGGACCCCAAAACTGAATACGTCTCCCTCAATAGAAGCGCATTTTCCCATCCCATACTCTGTATTTGGTCAAGTCATTGAAGGAAAATAGGTACATATTAGAAATGTAAATCACCATTTTAGCGGTAACACTATAATATGACAGGAAAAAAAAAAGTACATACCAGGAGCAATATAGCCAATGGATCCGCATAACAAGCCATCTGCTGAACTGAAGGATGTTGAGTCATTCGGTCGAATATTCTCATCACTGCCTTTCACTAATCTTGCAATTCCAAAATCAGTAACCAAAGCCGTCATGTCATCATCTAGTAGAATATTGCTTGGTTTGAGATCACAGTGTACAACTCTAACAGGAGAATGATGGTGTAAATAGGCCACTCCTTCAGCTACATCATTGCAGATGCTCACCAACTGAATCAAGTTCAACCCATGGCTCAATCCATGGCTTGAGTAAAGATGCCTCTCCAGGCTCCCGTTTGACATCAATGGCAGAACAAGAGCCTTAAAATCCGGCCTACTGCAGGCTGTGATGATTCTAATCAAATTTCTGTGCCTAGTCCTCTTCAGGACTTGGCATTCCCTTTTAAAGCTTCCTAAAATCTCTCTATCTGTCTTCAAATCCAATACCTTCACAGCAATTACTGAGTTATCTTGAAGGACACCCTTATAGACATGCCCAAACCGGCCTGCGCCAATCAAGCTTGAAGCACTGAAACCACCAGTGGCTTCAATGAGCTGTTCATATGAGATTCTTGGGTACTTGAGTTCTTTCTTCTCTTCTTCTTCATCATCCCGCAAATCCCCATGTTCGAAAATTGCCAAGTGCCTTTGGAAATTTGACCTGTGCATGAGGGGGTACCCGAATATGCAAAAGATGGGAGTGATAAGTAATGACAGGAGAATTGACAGAATAGCCAAATGATGAGCATGTTTTTTCCTGCAGTTTGGCAGGCCTTTTATTGATCCACAGAGACCAACATTTCCGAGGAAAGAGTCTATGGTGAGTGAAGAAAAGGCCCCCTTGCTTGACACATTCCCAGAGAAGTTGTTGAAAGAGAAGTTGACTTTCTTCAGAGTTAAAGAATCTTGCAGAGATTCTGGTATTTCTCCAATCAATTGGTTTGAAGATACATCAAGTTTTTGAAGATAAGGCAACTTTCCTATTGAAACCGGAAGAGGTCCTTCTAAGGAATTTACCGAAAGGTTGAGGTACTCAATGGCAATGCAGCTCCCAAGTTGTGATGGGATTGTACCAGAAAGATTATTGGAAGATAGGTCAACTGCTAGCACCATGTCCATTTTGCTCAACTCCATTGGTAATGGTCCATGTAAGTGATTACTAGACAGGTTCAAGTATAGTTTCAAGCTCCTCAGTCCTGCAACTTCACTAGGAATTACCCCTGAAATCTGATTGTGAGAAAGGTCTAGAATCTCTAAATTGATGCACTTTCCCAGACTTGGTGGTATGGTTCCTGAGAGTTGGTTCTCATAGAGCAAGAGCCTTCTTAACTGGGAAAGGTTTGCGAAACTATCTGGAATTGAACCAGAAAGCTTGTTTTTCGATAAATCTAGAAGGCCTAAATGGGGAATGTCACCAAGAGCGGGTGGAATCTCACCAGAGAATGAATTGTTGGACAAATACACCCTTTCCAGCTTTGTCATTTGGCACAGTTTGGGTGGGATGGTTCCATTCAAAAGGTTACTAGACAAGTTTAGCAGGGTGAGATTGACAAGGTTTGAAATTTGAGGAGGAATTGAACCATAAAGAAGATTAGCATCTAAATGAATTTGTACAAGATTGGTAGAAAGATTACCAATAATAGGAGGAATCTCTCCCCCAAGATTATTTCCAGCTAATTCAAGCTCTTGAAAGTTAGAGGCATTAACTAAAGAAGTTAAAAAAGGTTCAAGGTTAGTGTTACCATTATGGCTCACAAAGCCATTGTAGGACAAGTAGAGGTACTGTAATTGTGGCATTTTCTGTATAATCTCCAATGGCAACTCCCCACTTAGCATGTTAGACTCCAAATCAAGCCATTCCAGTCTTGAGGAGTTTGCAAGGGCTCCAGGAACCTGACCTACAAGATGATTGGACCACAGTAGAAGAAACCTCAACTGTTTAAGCTTACAGCCATCTGCTAAAGGGATTTTTCCGCTTAAAGAATTGTTAGAGAGGTCAATGTACTGCAAAGAAGAAGAAGAATGATTGCAGAAAAGCGTCACTGGAATTTCACCCTCGAGCCGGTTGCTTCCCAAATCAAGATATACTAATTTGTGAAGAAAACCAAGTTCAGCAGCAATGTGTCCTTCAAGAAGATTGGAAGATAAGCTGAGCTGTCTAAGGTTAAACAGAGAGCCTAATTCTCCTGGAATGTGACCTTCAAAAAAGTTTCTTGACAAGTCAAGAACGGACAAGGAAGAAAGATTAGCAAGAGCCGGAGAAATGGGGCCCCTGAGAGACCTTCCACTAAGATCAAGCTCTACAACTTGGTCTCTACCCTTGTTGCACCTGATGCCTGACCAATTACAAACATGAACACCCAAAGAATTCCAGTCCTCTAAAGCATGCTCGGGGTCCGAAACAATCGCTGTCTTGAAAGAAAGCAACGATGCCTTATCTCTCATTGTTTGAGCATTTTCTTGGCCCAAAACCACAGCCAAGAAAATGATCAAACAGAGCAAATTAAACAAGGAAACCCTTCGAACACCAATCATGATCATATCAATCTTCTCCATAAATTTTTTGAAGAAATTGATGAAAACAAAGTGATCAGAAAAGAAAAAATATGTATAAAAGAGTAGTTCTGGATGGCACAGGAGAAATGCATGCACCAGCTGCATGAGCTTGAGATTAAGATAATGAAAGCTTGGAGATGTCCAATGCCAATAAGTAAGCAAAGCAACGCTTGGAAAAATTTGAAAATCTTGTGCCTAACTGCCGTTTGATGGAGTGGATGTACGTTTGGCGCCTGTGATCTTTGACTTTAATTACATCCCACCAATAGCGTTCATACAATTGTGTGCGTGTAACATGCCAAGTAAGCAACGTTAATGCAGTACATGTCAGCACCGGCAGGCCTAACCATTTTATTTTATACTTAGCTTTTGTTCATGAATTTATCTAATCATATTAGTATTATGTTGTTGGTTTAGAGATGTGAGCGCAGAGATTAGTGGATGGTGTGCTGTGGGGAAAATATAATAAGCACGCTTGAGGAAGCTGATGGTGAGTGGGTGTTTGGATTTCGGTATATTTGTCGGCCCAGCGCCTCACAGCTCATGCATTTACACACACGCTGTTCATTAATTGGTATTGTAGCACTAAGAAGAGTAATTAAGAAATGTACAGCAGCACAATAACATGCAACCAACATAAACAAATAAAAAGTTTTGATTATAATTTCTAACGTGTTGCATGAGAAATAAATGAAATGTTTACTTATTAGTCGGCCAGAATTAATGTACATTCTTTTAAGCATTTGTAGCAGGGGTTTTAGACAAGCTTGTAAACCCAAGTGTCTCGAGATTGGACTGGATTGGAGTTAAGTGCCAACCCATCTTAAAATTTATAAGAATATTAAATTGGGGTATGATGTAATAAGTTCGGCCTTAATATTTATAAATTCATCAAAGGGGTCAAAATACTTACCTAATTTAATTGAAATAGTTTGAGAGCCACCAAATATGCCCAAAGTTCTATACTCAGCTGATCGGAGAGTAGCACCAAAGATCATCAACACAAGTTCGGAAGATGGAGTTAGGTCTGGTTTTGGACAAAGCCAGATTTGATTAAGACATCAATTACTGAATAATCTTGTAGGAGCCGGTAGTTATCAGAAGATCATACGTCACTTGTCAAGGTTAATCATTAAATTGTGGAAAAAACTTGAACTGATTTTGCTTAAAGAAAAAGTAACAAAAGTTTGAACAGCTTCATATTCGTCTCGTCACACACCTCGCAATGGTCCCCTCCTTTTTTCACCAAACGAATAAGGAACTATAGGAGGAGACGTCGGCGACGGCGGAGATGAGAACTGAACATCAGATCGGCGGTGGAGGGATATTTCGTTGTAGAAGCTCGCCATGAATAGCAAGAAATAGATAATGTCACATCTACCCCAGCTAGCAAACGACGAAATCAGAAAGGGCAATTTAGGTTTTTCAGATTTTATTTTGTTCAAAATGGGCTCAGTTTCACGAGAGTTTGCAAGTTTGCCCTTTCTCACTTCTCTCGTGTTAAGTATGGGCCTTACTTCTGTGTTGCGAATAGAAGTGGGCTTTTCTAAATGTAGGGGAGGCCTCTTTGTTTTTTGTTTTTTATTTTTTTATTTAATTTTTCGCCGCCCCCAAACAAAAAAAAAAAAAAAAAAAAAAAAAAAAAAAAAAAATTAACGTACATGGGAAAATATCTTCAAAATGGAAAACCAAAAAGGTTTAAGCGAGGTTTCATCTCTTCGTTGAGTTGTGCCTCTCTGTGAAATGGCTTCCACAGCCTCATTCTCTCCGAGCCCTCAAGCTCAAGGATACACATGCAGTTCCAGATGGAGTAAACCTCCGAAGCTTAACCACAAGTTTCTCTTCAGCTCAACCTCCAACAGTCTCTTCTTCAAGCCCTCACACTCTTCCTCCACTCATTTCCCGCTAAGCCTTAAACCCCCTCCAGAACCTGTTCATATCCCCCCGTTGAGAGACTCAATACAAGACAATATCGTTGAAAATTCGATGAATTTTCAGATACCCATGAGCGAATTTCATCTAATTACACCTCAGGAATCGGGCCCGAGGATTTTTATCCAAGACCCGCCATGGATTGCCTCACTCTTTTTGAAGGGTATTTACAAAAGAGCCAACCAAGAATTGAAATTGGAGTCTAAGGAAATTGAGAGGAGGAACTATAATTTACTTAGGAGGAGGCAGATAAAGGCCGAGACCGAGGCTTGGGAGAGAATGGTGGACGAATATAAGGATTTGGAAAAAGTAATGCGTGAGAAGAAGTTAGCTCCGAATTTGCCTTATGTAAAGGCCTTGTTTTTGGGTTGGTTTGAGCCGTTGAGGGAGGCGATAGCGAGGGAACAGAAGACGCAGCAAACGAAAAAACACAAGGCAGCGTTTGCGCCCCACATTGATTTGTTGCCGGCTGACAAGATGGCGCTTATTGTTATGCATAAGATGATGGGGTTGGTTATGGTGGGGAATCAAGATGGGTGTGTTCAAGTTGTTCAAGCTGCTGTTCATATTGGCATGGCCATAGAGCAGGAGGTGAGTTCTAAAGTCCTAGTTTCATTTGTGTGTTTGGAGTTTTAGATAATTTGTTGCATATTGGTTTTGAAATGGACCTTTCATAGTTACTAAGTCAATGCGACATGATGTGCATTATAAAAGCTACGGTTTAAGGAGATTTCATCCCTGAAGTGATGCCACGATGATGGGGATTGTGTGTTAATTGGGAACTTCTAATTGGTATATGTATGTACTAGTTTCTAGTTTTAATCATTCTGGTCAGCTCATTTATTTTTATTTCGTTCTAAAGAGAATCATTTCGCTTTAGTTGGTGTATATATCATACTATCATACTAGTACTACTATAATATGAATTGTTATTTAGGAACTTTGATTTTTTTAAATAAAAAAAAGAGGAAAACTTTGCAGATTTGGGAGGATCATGATACTAAAGGCTTAATTTAGAAAGCAGTCCTTCATGGTAAATTTTGGAGTGAAGATTCAGGATCAAGCTTTTTTGTGCTGTAACACTTGCTTGAAATGATAATTCCAATGACCCCTTTACCACTTGAGTAGAGTGCATTAGACTTGGTCTGACCAAAGCTTATCCATTAGCAACCTTGTTGATTGGACATCCTTATACTTATTTTTACTCATATTTTGTAATTTCCGGCAATTCAAGCTTAACGTCAACATTTCCCTGTTTATACTCCATTTCACCAGTATCACTTAATTGAAAATGAGAAATTATATATTGTTACCTCTCGATATTTCAGGTCAGGATCCATAGTTTCTTGGAGAAAACCAAAAATCTCCAGAAAAAGAAGACTGGTGTTGCTGATGAAGATGGTCTGAGCAAGGAGAAGGAGATACTCCGGAAACGTGTTAATGGTTTAATTAGAAGGAAAAGACTGAATGAGGTGCAAAAGCTATTGATAAAGGAAGAAATGAAGCCCTGGGGTCGTGATAAACAGGCTAAGGTTTGTTGCTTTGAGTATTTTGTATTCTTTCAATATGGCAAAGTGTTTTTTTTTTCTTTTCTGTTTTAGATTGTATTGTATATAAAGGGTTTAATTGTTTTTTTTTCTTCTTCTCATGTCATGTTATTTTGCAGCTCGGAAGCCGTCTGATAGAATTATTAACCGAAACAGCTTATGTACAACCTCCACTTAGCCAGTTGGCAGATAGTCCACCTGATGTTAGACCTGCATTTAGGCACAGATTTAAAGCTGTGGCAAAAAGTCCAGGGTAAGACTTTGAAACCTTTTTTAGCCCCAAATTTCCTTCAGAAATTCACTGTTGGGAAAATAGATCACAGTTTAATTGGCTTTTCTTAGGCAGGAGTTGTTTACTTTAGTTAGATATGTCAGGTTAGTTTATTCAATTATCCTGGTGTATCTCGCTCTACCTAATTGAAATATTTTGATTATAGAATATTTGTAGTGATATGCAACCCTATATTTCATAGGTTTTTAAGGGATAGGAAATCATGTGCTTTGACTTTAGCATTTTTCCTTTGTGATAATATAATTTCTTTTGATCCTTAAAGGCAGAAAATTGTGAAGAACTATGGAGTTATAGAATGCGATCCCCTGGTTCTTACTGGCCTTGATAAAACTGTAAGTTGAGATATCTCTTTCCTGTTTGAGTTTACCTGTTCAATACACTTGAAATTAGTTTGCATTGTGAATACAAATTCAAATCTGCTGTCAAGTTTTTGGGTTATGATATAAAAAGGAATGCATATCAATTCAAAGCTCACCTATTTGTTCCCCGTGATTAGACCTCATTATGTGTAATTTTAATGGCCACATATTCTTGCTTTGCATTGTTCTCTGTGAACGTCATTTCAAGTATGAAGAGACTTCAATTGTGGAGTCCTACCAGAAAGGGGTTTCTAGGGGTGAGGGGTGAAGGTTTTTTGTGGAATAATTCATTGTTCACTTTCTTTGTTTTTGCACTGCTTTCTTGTGTGGTTGTGATTGCTACTATCATTGGGTTACTGCTACTAGGCGTTATAACTTATTGTATATGCCAAGTATGTTTTGTATGTTGTACGTGTCTTTACTCTGATTGTGCTACTTAACGGTTATTTTATGTTCTTGTATCTTTACAGGCTAAACATATGTTATTCCTTATGTGCCAATGTTGGTGCCTCCCAAAAGATGGAAAGGGTATGAGATACAATATGTGATATTTATGTAGCATTTTCTGCATTCCATTTTTTTTAATTAAAAAATACATGAAAGAAAAGTTGACAAATAAATGAGATCGTATTGAAGTTGGTGACTGACTAATAAATGTTGAATAAATTAGAAGCCTGCACTCAGTTTCCCATTTGTTATACTGTGCTACTTAATTTTGAAAGATCTTTTGAAAATATTTCCAGGTATGACAAGGGCGGGCATTTGTTCTTACCTTCTTATGTCATGCGTACTCATGGATCTAGGAAGCAGGTAGATGCAATGAGGAACATTTCTAGAAACCAGATGCAGAAAGTATTTGAGGTACATTAATTAGAGTTCCATTTATTGTTCCATTTCATATTTTCCTTGTGAATAGATCAAGGCCAGAGCTTTCCACATGGTGAGAGCACCGTTGTTGCTCCCCCTTCCCTTTCTGATAGAATAATCACTATGATTTTTCAGGATACAGTTATGAACAACAACAAAAACTATTAATCAAAAGTAGTTATGATTTGACAAGTATTTGTTTACTGCTGCATTAGAAACTATCATATTTTACTATAGATAGAGACTGTGATGGGATTTTAGATGATGAACTGAACTTTTTCTTATGCATAGAGGCATACTTTGGTTCTAATTTCTAGTTCTTCAGCATATGTTACCCTGTATCATGAAAATGATATCCGCTTTTGATATGGCATGTGTGCAGGCCCTTGATATGCTTGGAAGCACCAAATGGAGGGTGAATAAGAAAGTACTTAGCGTGGTGGAGAGCATCTGGGCTAGAGGTGGCAACATTGCGGGCCTGGTTAATCGTGAAGACGTGAGGACATAATGATCTCTCACATTTAATAAAAAATTGTTTGTGTTCTACCTTTTTCTTACTTTCTCCGGAGATAGCTCTTAAGAGTAACTAAATTGAATGATCTCTACAACATTCTCCCAAATAACATATTACTCTTGAAATACCTGCCTCACGTTACAGTGATGAAAATGAAAAAAATAAAGAAACTAGAGTATGGATAATTTAGTCAATTTCCTTTGTGGTGGGTTTTCTTTTACAGCTAACTATTTTAGGTTGTTAACATTATTATGTTCACCTTTTGCTTGTAAAAATCATGTGGCCTGAATATTCTCGTGGGCTTGTAGGTTCCTGTACCGGATAAATCACCATCTGAGGATTTAAAAGAAATTCAGGAATGGAAATGGAGTGTCAGAAAAGCAAAGAAGATTAACCAAGAGAGGCATTCTCTACGATGTGACACTGAACTTAAGCTCTCTGTAAGGTCTCCTTCTGATTATATAATATTTATTTCGTAATGTTGCAATTTTTTAGTACCCTGTTAATTTGCAGTGCTGTTTGATCCAGTCATTGAACTAGTCAAGAGTAATGTTCTTGTGACCCTTGCCTGATATTTGTGGACTAGTGAACAAAAGATACATAGGTTCAATTAGATATTAGTGAACCACCAGGTTTTACATATGTTTAATAACTTTGACGGGTCTTTGGGTTTCTGAAACTATAACCACAGTAATGACATTTGACAATATATCACCTCCGGACGATCTCTGGAACATATATATGTTCACCACCTTTAGATTTCACTATGTGAGAAATAATATCGAGTGAACTGATTTTAATATAGGTTGCTCGCAAAATGAAAGATGAGGAAGGCTTTTATTATCCCCACAATCTTGATTTCCGAGGCCGAGCATACCCAATGCATCCACATTTGAATCATTTGAGTTCTGATCTCTGTCGAGGAGTCCTTGAATTTGCTGAAGGACGACCATTAGGGAAGTCTGGATTACGTTGGCTGAAGATTCATTTAGCAAACCTGTATGCTGGCGGTGTTGAAAAGCTTTCATATGAGGGGCGACTAGCATTTGTGGATAATCACATTGATGATATATTTGATTCAGCAACAAACCCTGTTAATGGAAACCGTTGGTGGTTAACAGCTGAAGATCCTTTACAGTGCCTAGCTGCTTGTATCAATCTCTCAGAAGCGTTAAATAGCCCATCACCACATACTGTCATTTCTCATTTGCCCATCCATCAGGTAAATTACTTATTCAAGATTTTTAGGTTTGTTCTTTTATTTAATATTCAAACCCATATATATATGATGCATGATGATGATCTGTTACTCATTTTTATATTGTTCTCCTTTCATTGGCCATCTTTAAATTTCCATGAGCATAATTCCTAACTCTTGCCTTGTCCATGTTTATCTTACTAATGAGCTTAATCTTTTTAGGATGGTTCATGCAATGGCTTACAGCACTATGCAGCCTTGGGAAGAGATAGCGTACGTGGTTTTGTACCTGTTAATGTCATTGCACTTTAAATTCGACTTTTTTTTTCAATGTTTCTGGAATAGTAGTTCAAGAACTTATCATGTTGTTATAGTTGTATTATAAAATTTTATAATCTCTGCCAATATTAGTGCTTTGGTTGGCAGTGGCCAGTGGGGAAATTTTTATTTTGGTTACCCTCAACATTAACTGTTTGAGGGAAAATATTATTTCTGTTCAAGAACTCTCTGTTATATGTTTTGCTTATTATAGCACTTTCGATCTATAGGGCTTGTTATGTGCTGACGTTCTTAAATTTTCCTAACATTCTTTTTGTTCCCGTAGTAAAAAAATTCAACGTGTTTTGTTATATTTCAAAGTTCCCCGTATTTCTTATTATGATGTAAATGTCTTGCTCTGCTGATTGATTTGAATTGCTGTTATGTTCTCAGTTGGAAGCAGCTGCAGTCAACTTAGTTGATGGAGATAAACCTGCTGATGTTTACTCAGAAATTGCTGCGAGGTATATTAAAAAGAAAAATTCTGTCATCTTCTATCATGAGATTGAAACTGATGAAATATTTAATCTGATGACTCATTTTAATGTTGTACTGTGTCATATGAACTGTATTTGATTGCATTTTACTCCTTTGTTTACATTAACTTGTTTTCATTGTTAAGAATTCAATTACTAAGATTTGAAAGCATGTACAAATATCTTTCAGATTGAGTGCATAACAGAATTAAGATGCAAAAATAACATTGAATCAAGCAATGATTGTACACAGAAATGTTAATTCAGAAAAAAGGAAAAGGAGAAACATGTTTTGAAGATATTCAATACATACAATTCATTCAAATTTTCAATACATACAATTCATTCAATATTAACATTGAATATGGTTCTTGGGAAGGCAATTTATAATCCATAGGTCCAATTTCCAAAGCAACTTCATGTAAAAGTACTGAAATAAGAACATTTCAGTACTTTTCATTTCAGTACTTTTACATGAAGTACAAAGTTTTAACAAAAGACCATTCTTACAAGCCAAGGTATACAAAAGGTGAGAAATAATCACCTGGTACTAAACTCTTGCATGCATGTGCCTCACTAGTTCTGGACACTATGTATGAACTGCACAGTGATTTTATAATTTCTTTGCTAGAGATGCACATAGTGCACTCCATCCATGTAACTGCTTCGTTCCTGATCTGTTTATTAGTCTTTTCTTCTGCAAGCTCCTCTTACTCAGGCTTATCTTCTCTATGTATATGTTGTCAGGGTACATGAGATTATGAAAAGAGACAGCAATAAAGACCCAACTACGAGTCCAAACGCTTTATTGGCCAGAATCTTAGTCAATCAGGTTGATTTTCCTAGATTCTTCTCGAGTTCAGAGTTGCAATATACTATAAAATGGACTTTTACTTGTCAACCGTGGATACTTAAACTTCATGTACAAGTATGTATGCATTCATGCATGTACATACAGGCACACACGCATACAAACATACACATAGACAACAAAAATTAAATATGGGTAATATTTGTAGATAAACAAGTCCATATTGCATACGTATATCTGACAATGTATGGTTTTGGAATCTTTCAGATTGATAGGAAATTGGTGAAGCAGACTGTAATGACTTCAGTATATGGTGTTACTTATGTTGGGGCACGTGAACAAATAAAAAGAAGATTAGAAGAGAAAGGTCTTATTACCGATGACAGACTACTGTTCACTGCAGCTTGCTATGCTGCTAAAGTAAGTGAACAACCTCCTAAGTGTTCCAACCACCAAATTTCATCCTTATATATGTGAATCAAGAATTAACTGCAGAAATTTCTTGGTTTGATCATTTGGATTATGAGCTAAAATTTAAAAACGTCCTTCAACATTTGTTATTAAATCTAGATTATCTTTACTAAATTTCATCATTGCCACAGGTTACTCTGGCTGCCCTCGGAGAGATATTCCAAGCTGCTCGTGGCATAATGAGCTGGCTTGGTGATTGTGCTAAGGTATGTAATTTTTTGGTCATGTTTCAGACACTAAATGATAGGCTGGACTGCCTGGTAGATCTGAGAGTTAAGTTGTGTTATGAAACTTTTGCAGGTAATTGCTTCAGAAAATCAACCTGTGCGTTGGACTACTCCTCTAGGTCTTCCTGTTGTGCAACCCTATTGTAAAAGTGAAAGGCATCTTGTAAGTTTGACAGCTTAGTTAAAGATTAATTTTCATTGACACGCAAACCTGCATTTGGCTGAATTCCCTCACAGATGAAATTGTTTAGTACACGATATCCGGATAGGTTGCATCTGGTCTTTGTCTTCTTGTCTCTAATGGGTTCATGTACTTTTTTATTAACTATTCTTCCCCTGGAGTTGCAGATAAGAACATCCCTTCAAGTTTTAGCCTTGCAACGGGAGAGTAGCTCAGTAAGCTTACAAATCTTCTCTGGCCTTATCTTTTATGAATTGCTATAGATTTGATATATTCTCCAACTCCAGGTAGATATTAGAAAACAAAGAACTGCATTTCCGCCAAATTTTGTACACTCACTTGACGGTTCACACATGATGATGACAGCTCTTGCCTGCAGGGACGCTGGCCTACGTTTTGCAGGTTTGTCTCAGTAGTGTAGTCTGTAACTCTGCATTAGACTGGGCTTGAAATATACTGTTAGTCATTGATGTAACATACATGCTCAAAACCAAAGTTTCAGTGTAATGGTTTTCAAATATGAGGATAAGACACTAACCCAAAATAAAATAAAATGGAAGAAGACAATTTTTCCTAAACCATTGAACTTTTGTCAGAAGATATTGGAACTTACATCCTGCTGAAGTGCTTTGTACGTAGAGGATTAGAGGGCATAGATTCATCAAAATAAAATCTCTTTTTTATATTGGTTTAAGTTCTCACTTACATATTGAAGCATGTTTGAAGTCTCACATATGTGTTAAAATGTGCTTCCAGGGGTGCATGATTCCTTCTGGACTCATCCGTGTGATGTGGACCAAATGAACGAGATACTTCGGGAAAAATTTGTGGAGCTTTATAGCATGCCGATACTTGAAAGTGTAAGTGAACTACGTCCTGTTTCTCTTCATGAAATTAGGTCTCATAAATTCAGATCTTTCTCTGGCTTGTTTAAAAGCAACTTGAGTGGAATGACTTGTATTTGACACAATGATTTCTCAAGGCTACTTAAGTTCATTTTGATGTCTCCTCACAAGGTTTCAAGATGAAGTTTAAGAAGTTACGAATGCATCTTCATTGTAGAAAACTTGTGCATTGAAAGACTTTTCAGCTTCTCCCTAATTTTTACTTTATGATATAATGAAATGGTCAAACTGCTTCTAATTGTTTGAGAACTTGCATTTAGAAAGTTGCTTTACACACATTTTATATGTAGACCTGAATTAAACTGTTTGTTTATTTCCATTGATTTCCTGATAACTCTGCCTCTTCCCAGTTGCTTGAAAGTTTCCAAGCATCATATCCAGCATTGACTTTTCCTCCACTCCCAGAAAGAGGCGACTTTGACTTGCTACAGGTTCTAGAATCTCCATACTTTTTCAACTGAATTTCCAGTCATGAGCAGCGATGATAACAATATGTGGAAAGCATTGTCACTTGTATCATATGCAATCCAAAATTGACCAAGAAGCTTTGTTAAAAGTACATTTGGATACCCCAAAATTGACCAAGAAGCTTTGTTAAAAGTTCATTTGGATAGGGGCAGCAAGTTGAACTGGGAAACAGAAGCCTAAGGTTTCTTTTTTGAAAAGTGAAAGGACTAATTCTGATTCCCATGATCAGCAAGTCTGTGATTCTGATGGGGTGGTGATCATCGTAAATGTTAATGATCTGGCTCTATTTTAGAAGCGACCCATGTACAGTAAAGGAGACGCTTCTACTGAAATTCAAAGCTGTTTAGAAGTTCTTTAATGTGGAACAATTTTTTCGGAGGCAAGAGAGGCAGACACAAAGCGGCAAGTGCGTCCTGGCTGTTGGAGCTAATTTTGTGGAGTTCATCTTAATGGTGCAAAAATCATGTATTGTTTCCTTTCTATGTATTCCGATGCATTACATATGTTGTATCTATAGAAGGGGGAAAAGGTCACTCTCTAAATACATGTAAAACTGTGAGTGAAAAGTTCTTGCAAATTTTTGGGCAAGAACTGTAAAGAAATGAAGGAACTTCATTGATGGTTCTATCAAAATGTTGTGAATCACTTTAAATCTACTCATTCATTCGGAACATCTTGGGCTAGTATATGCGCATGGGCAGCATGGGCAGCTTTTCCTTCCAAGCTTGTTTTGCAAGGGTAAGCTTCGAAGCCTGCTTGGGCCAGAAAAACACATAATCGTATAGCCGGGCGGTTATACTTACCTCTGTTTTCTTTTTAATAAATAGTATCGTGGGACGGCTATACTTGGCTCCTTTTTAAAAAATAAATAGTATAGCTGCACGGCAATACAGGAAAAAAATAAATCGTAGGCTATACTTGTTCCTTTTTTTAAAAATAAATAGTATAGCAACGCGGCTATACTTGTTTCCTTTTTAAAAAAAGAACAATATACTGATCGGCTGTACATGGTCCTCTTTTAAAAAGGGGCTAAGTATAGCCGCTAGGCGATACTATCTATTTAAAAAGAAAGAGCACAGTATAGCCAAACCACAGTATAGTCGCGCGGCTAGACTTGGATCCTATTTTTAAAAAATAAATCGTATAGCCGGCCGGCTATACGTGGCACCTTTTTTAAAAAGTATAGCCGATAAATAGTATAGCCGAGCGGCTATACTTGAGTTCTTTTTTCGTAAAGCCAAACGACTGTATACATGGGTACTTTTAAAATAAATAAAAAATCGTATAGCCGTGCGGCTATACTTGGGTCCGTTTTCTTTTTTAATAAATCGCATTGCCCTTTTTTTTCAATAAATAGTATAGCCGCGCGGCGATACGTGGCACCTTCTATTAAAATAAATCGTATAGCCGCGCGGCTATACGGGGCTGGTTTTTATATTTAAAAAAAAGTGTAGCCGATCGGCTTTACGGTGCACCTTTTTTAAATAAATAGTATAGCCGATCGGCTATACCCATTTCCTTTATAAAAAAAAAGGGTTTAGCCGCGCGGCCATACGTGGCTCCTATTTGTTTAAAATAAATGGTATAGCCGCCCGGCTATACGTGGCACCTCTTTTGAAAACTTGCATTTAGACAGTTGCTTTACACACATTTTATATGTAGACCTGAATTAAACTGTTTGTTTATTTCCATTGATTTCCTGATAACTCTGCCTCTTCCCATTTGCTTGAAAATTACCAGGCATCATTATCCAAATGTACAATTATCCAAATATTGTGAATCACTTTAAATCTACTCATTCATTCAGAACATCTTGGGCTAGTATATGAGCATGGGCACCCTTTCCTTCCAAGCTTGTTTTGCAAGGGCAAGTTTGGAAGACAGCTCAGGCCAGAAAAATACATAACCAAAGGACAGTGGTTTCGGACTGCGTAACTTAATTCAAGAATGACATATATTGTAAGAGAAGGCACGATGGCTAGCTCAACTAGCGAATAAATAAGTAAATCAAAACGGATTTTATTTATTTATAAGACCACAAAGCCATGTCTTATCAGTATTATTGAGAGGCATAAAAGGAAAATTGCCGTAAATTATATACATGAGCAATGAGCAATGTTAACTTTACAACCCCATCTGCTTCATCCACAGGGACCACTTTACAGCCTCCAAATATTCATCATTTTTTCGCAGTGCATTAATGAGATTGATGTAGGTTATCTTATCGGGCTGTATACCATTTTCTCTCATTTCCTTGACCAAATGTACAGCATCTTCGACCATTCCCGCAATTCCATATGCCTTAATCAACGTGTTATAGCTGCACAGATCAGGTCCGAGTCCACATTCTTTCAACTCAGTCAGCACGTCAGCAACTTCATCAATCCATCCTTGCTCTCCATAGATATTGATCATAATGTTGTACGTGTAGTGATCCGAAGCACAGCTTGTTTCCTTCATTCTCTGCAAAACGCTTCTAAATCTCTCCATTTGGCTCTCTTTCCCATAAGCATCCAACATAGTATTGTATGCTTCAAGGGAAACTGAAAATCCTTTAAACTGCATCTCTCCAAATGTCGAAGACATGTTTCTTAAGTCTTTATTTCGCCCATAAGCAGCTATAATAGTATTGTAAGAGATCATATCAACCAAACCCCACTTTTGGGCCATCCAGAACAACTTCCTAGCCTTCTTCAGAAGCTTTGCTTTCCCATATACATCGAGCATGACATTGAAGGTGATGGTATTAGGAACAAACCCACGTTGAAGCATCTCATCAAAAATCTCCGAGATCTCATCAACTGGCAAAGCACGAGAACAGCAGTTTATGACACAATTGTACATTTCCTGATCCCAAGTCACTCCACTCTTCAAGAGTTTGTAGTAGAGATCTTTCAACTTATCAAGCCTTCCACATCGCTGATAAATACGAAGCATATCTCGGAACATATAAATGTCTGGAACAATGCCCTCCTGTTTGTCCATTGTGTCTAGAACAGAGCAAGCATCTTTCAAAGCACCAGCTTTTACATACATTCTTACAGCAATGCTATAGGCAATCATGTCCAAGGCGACTCCAGAAGATTTCAACTCGACATAAATTTTCTCTGCTTCAGTGAATAGACCCATGATGATATAGATGTCAATCATTGTGCACATGATGTGCATGTTTGGCTTGTCATCATATCTGGGCATTTGCTTGTATATTTTAACAGCATTCTCTAGATGACCCAACTCTTTACACGAGCAAATTAACAAATGATACAAGTTATCTTCGAAAGGTGGATCCTTCCACAGTTTCTCCCTCAACACTTTCATAGTATCATCCACTAAGCAGTGTTTCACATAAGCCATGACAAGAATGGAACAAGAAGTCTGGCTGACAAGAATGTGTTGATAAAAAGAACCTCTCAAAAGGCGAGGCACTTTATCAACCCTTCCAGCCTTCTCATATGCTTGCAGAAGAGTACCAAGAATTGAGGAATATTGGCACCCCATTGTCAGCATATCATCAAGCGTCCTTATGGCCCCCTCTTCATCCTCATGTTTGGCTTGCAAGTTTATTAGTGTGTACAGGTTAGACGAATTAGGCTTGTACCCTAACCGCTTGAGCTCTTTATAATACCATTCTGCTTCCTTATAATTGTCAGCTCGACCCCAACCTTCAATCATGGAACGGTAAGTTGTTTCATCGGGCTCTAATCCAGCATTCTTTATGCCCTGAAATAGGTGATCAGCAGCATCCATTTTAGATGCCTTCCCATATCCAGTTATCAATGTATTGTATGCAATAATGTTTGGAGAAAACCCTGCTTCTTGCATGGAGACCAATACCAGTTCAGCATCATCTACTTTACCCTGCTGACAATAAGCATTAATCATTACCAACCAATTATCCAGATTCAGTCTCACTCTATCTTCTTTCAATAAGCCAATGATCTCTTCTGCTTTTTCAAATAAATTCAAGCGGGTGTAAATTGTGATCATTGACGAGTACGCAGATTGACATAAAATTCCAAAGTTCCTCATTTGAAAAAAAGTAAACTCTGCCTCCTCAACATTCCATCCCTTCTGGTAAAGTACCATTAGCATACCAAATGTTGCAATGTTCGGCTGGACCCCATGTTCCAGCATCATTCGAAACCACTTTCCTCCCAACTCAAGTCGCCCCAGTTACAACATGCATAAATAAGCGTGTTGAAAACCTGATAATTCAGTTCACATCCCAAATCAGCAATCACTTCCTGAACCAATTTTTCAGCTCCATCCCAATCTTCTCTCCTACCCATTACCCGCAAAACTAAATTGAAAGCACTCACATTGCGTTCTAATTTCCCATTGCTTCTCATCCACTCAAAGAATCTGAGAGTTTTGACATCACTACACCTCTCGAGCCGTTTCAAATATCATTGCAATGCTCCAAGCTCAAGTCAGACCCAATAACAGAGTAATCAACATCAAGTTCCCCATCATTCACAAACAAATTCTCCAATTCCCGTACCCACCTACTCTTTCTTGAACTAGACTTCAAACCCTTTTCTCTTTTGACCTCATTCTTTGGGCCGCGAGACCCCTTCACACTTGCTTGTCTGAAATCCAGGTTTTGTTCAGCCAAACTCTCATCTACTCTATTTTATTCGAGGACAGAGACAGAGTGGTTTCTTCACTCATTTGATTCAGTTCCGAAATGCTCGACAATTCAAATTTGAACCCAGAGACTCTATTCGAAGAATTGACTACCGATGCTCTACTAACATGACTGTAGCAAAGAGAATTGACTGCAGAGAAATTGAACTTCTTTGAAGAATCAAATGTCTCCAGAGAAACAGAAAACCTCAGTGAGGTCATGATACAAAAGCAAGTTCAATGCATCAATTACTCACCCGAATGAATAGTCGGTGCAGAAGAAGTGTAATTTCAGTTTATGAAGTGCGGTGGGAGAAAGAAATGAGAAACCCGAATACCCAAATGCCCAAATGACGGAGTGGGTGAAGGTGAAGCAGTAGAGTTGGAGATAATGGAGTTTGAAGCAGTGGAGGAAAGGAAAGTTAGCGCTTTCAGGATTTTATTGGTCGGTAATTCTTAACGGTCCTACACCCGTTATTCTTTGTTAGCTAGCAAGTGCATTGGCCTGTTTTTCGTTTTCCCGTTGAAATTTTTTTTTCTCCTCAAAGCCCTTTTGGGGTGATTATGCCATAGAGAAAATTTTAGGTGGATAAACTTTAAAAGGCTAAAATATACAAGCATGAGATGAGAAAATACAAAAGTATTTTGAGATGAGAAAGTATCTGCTTCATTAATTTGTTGTAGAACCTCAAAAACACATGAACATCCAAAAATATAATTACTTGTAGAACTCAGCCAAAAATCTGGTTTTTGTACTGATAATATCTTTATCCTCATTTGTTATCCCTCACCCCACAGCCAACAATCTGAAACTTCTTTTAGATATAAGAAAGAACACAGGTTGCTGCTCTTTCATGAAAGGCCATATATTACATTACAGAGTTTAATAACACTATGATCCTACGAAACCCAAATGCTACTGAAGGCTTCTTCGAGTGCCCTCTTCCTGCTTATCTCTACACTCCACCCTCCTGCTCTACCACCTCTCTCTGCTCGGAGCTTTATCATTTCTTCATCGTCAACAGCATATCCATGCATATCATGCCCCCCTCCAAGTGGTAGTGGTTGTGGACCCATGCCAGTTGGTCGTGGTTGTCCTGCAACTGTAGGGGCATACTGCCCCTGTGTACCAGTACCAAATCCTGCTTGAGAGCCTTGGCTCAGAGCCTGTCAATAAACACATAAAATCAGTTTAAAAAATTATGTACTTCCCTTTGGGCTGGAAAACTGGCACAATTTAGAAAAATAAACTCATAAAAGAGATGAAATGTCTATTGAAAATAGCTTATCAGTACAATCATTACATTTGGAAATTATACAACTGAACAATCAATAGCATAAGTGTGGTTTTTCTTCGGTGCTTCACTGCACTGTGTGTGCTTGAAGTGTTAGTGTTGGTGCTTGGAGTGGTCGTGTACCAGATTCAAGTGTTGTGTACCAGACTCAAGTGTTGGTGCTTGCAGCACAATTACGAACTCAGAAGGAAACGATGATACATGAAATAACTCCATTCTTACCGCATCAGTATCATTCTGTGCAGGATGTCCCTTGCTTGCTGCTAGAGCTGCAGCAAGCTCTTCAGCCTATTCAATTAATAACACCAGCATCAGAACCTTGGCACAGATTTTGCAGAAAAATATTAAATAGTTCACTATTGCCAGCATTGGGAGCTTCTTCTTTTTTTTCAAGTAATGTGGAGGCAGCATTACGACTTAAATCTCATAAAGCAAAGCCAGCAGGTTAGGAACCAAAAAAAGAAAGGAAAGGATAAAACACTGATTTTATTTTGAAGTACCTTACGGGCTCTATTAATCATTATTTGTTCAGCATTTTCTTCCTGATACTTTGCAATTTTTGCTTCAATAGCAGGGACATCTATTCCATCGATCAAGTTAAATGCTACCAGAGAATGATTTTTTTTTGTCAGCCTAACTCTTTTCATAAAAAATATAAGAAATACCTAAGCTGAAAAACTTACTCATGTCCTCCACTTCCTCCAAGTAATCATTGTATTCTTTCAAGGACGGAAAATCCTCTTCCCGTTTATTGAATCTAGACAGTGAACCATCTCCATCAGAGATGCATAATATATTGGCTAAGAGAGAAGCAAATAGTATAACTAACAGTACATATTACTGAATATACCACTTTATGCCAAAAAGAAAAACAGTGCTTAAAAATTACAGTTCAATAAATGAGCACTAACAATCACTTCCAATACTTAATACACCAAAGGATTCTAAACTTTCTTAATCCTTAAGCTTGAATGCCTTTTAAAAGCAGACCCATTGTTTTTACTCATTCATACAAACTACAAAGTAAACACCCACCACACAACAAATTTTTCTCCAATAAGTATTTAAGTTAAGGATTGGTTACACACTTCTAATCTCGGCTGTTGAATTGCATCTAAGAAGCTACCAACACATTTAATGAATGCAATCCAACGGCCAAGATAAGAAGTATGTAACCAATCTTTAACATAAAATACTTATTGGAGAATCTCCCTATATATATATATATATATATAAAGAGAGAGAGAGAGAGAGAGAGAGAGAGATATATATATATACATGCTCGCAATCCTCTTCCTGACAACAATCTCCTTGTTGTGGGGATTAGAACTGGTAACCACCATTTTGTTGCCCCTCAGCCTTTTTCCTTTTTGTTCCTGCAACATCAATGGTATCTTAAGTCCCATTCTGTGTTTTAAGTTTTAACTGCAATAAGATGGAGTTATATATACACTGGAACAAATTCTTGGAAAAGTTTACACTGACCTCTATTTGGTGCCCTTTTCCGAAAAAATAGCGCCCTCAATGTTCAATCATCAAAGGTAACATATCTGGGCAATGAAAGATTAAGTCAATTAGGCAGCCCAGGTTACAGTAGCATGAAGCGCAATCACTTTGCACCACTCATAGAGGAATTGGATTCTACATCCTTAAGATGAATACGGACTTAAATATGGAACTGTAATAATAAAATATAACATCAAACTGTGATACAAAAAAACACCAATCTCCATATGCCTACCAGAATCTATAACAAAGCTTGTAACCTAAAAAGAGAAAGAAATTACCGATCCCTACTTATTTACTGATAACATAATCCTGCTGGCCTACCATACCTCAGAATGACGACATAGTAATCTTTAACACAAACCATCCAACTTTTTGAGCTTTACTTGGCGAAATTTTTCATCATCTAAACGATGGGGTGTTCTTAGTGCATTTAACGATTCACTTTTTCCGTTTCACTCCCTGAAGACGTAATTTGTAAATGCACTAAGAACACCCCACCCCCAAAAGAAAATAAAGATAGAAATTTTTTATAATATTTAGGCACTTTGATTCCAATATGAAACATTCCGTACGAGAATTATCGAACAGGTAATGAGCATTACTAAAAGTTTAGTAAGTAGAGTTAATTGAGCATGCAGTTTGTTTAAATAAGATGAAGGCATTCAATTTAACAAAGAAGAAGAAGATTGGTTAGACTTAATGACCATGTTGGTCGGACCCATGAACATATGCGTACCAATCCAGCTTGATCAGAACCTGGGTCATGCATGACTTGCACAAATCGACAATTTAGAGAGAGAGAGAGAGAGAGAGAGAGATGCATACCTAGCTTGGTTAGGATGAGTAAGCTCCCAGCACCATTGGTATTGAAAAGAGGAGGACTGGAGGAGGTACCGTTTTACATAGGAGGAGATAGTTGTGGTGAAATACAGAGAGAGAGAGAGAGAGCCGACAAGAAGGGAAGCATTGGAAAGCCTCGGGTAGGGCTGATGATGACAAACCAATGAATGCTCATTCTCATTTCGGCCCAAACTTGTAGACCTGAATTGGGCCTGTGATTAAATTATGGGCTTTTCTATTTCGTAGGCCCCATTAACCTCCGCGATTGTTTTTGGGTATGCATCTGCGGCTAATTTCCTGTTTTTCCAACTCTTTTTATTTCTTCTTGGTAAGAGCATTCACCCCCCTTCAGTATTCAAATCTCCCGCCCCCAATATCACTCACTCATGTTGTTCTTCAATTCAAGGTCCATTAGGACAAGTTAATTAGTATTTTTCTTGGTTCTTGATGAACTTATTCACTTCAAAAACTCATGTTCAAGAAAAATAAAGATTTGTGGAAATGTCGTAGACAAGGGGAAAATCTTGCATGGCAGTACATGATTATTGAATGGAAGCCACTCTCAAGTTCCTTTATTTTGGTTTCTTCTTCTTAAATTACAACAACGTAAAACCCTAAAGTTTATCTTTATTGTTTCCCAGAGAAACAATGTGTACTGGATCCTTGGGTGTTAAATGTGACCACTTCCGCAGTAATGCATAGTAAGTAACCAAGCATAACACTGCATGAATTTTTCCTGCCAATTCAGGGGCCAATTGCGAAAAGAAACCTTCAAGAGTCACTGACAAGTTCTGAAGAAGGCATTGAAGATCCTGACAAGAAAGCTTTGATGAGTGTGAGCGCTTGCTTGGGTTTGTGCAAAGGGACTTCATGGCCTGCTCCCCTCACCGACACAAATGTCAGCCCAGCATATTCTTGTGTCCATCCTCCAACCTGTTAACGAGGCCTAATTGTATTAATGCCTACTTCCATAAGTTGGGAAAATTTCAAAGAAATACTTGTATAATTGACAAGACTTGGGTATCCCATTTCAGTATTCTGTTTATAATGAGTACAGATATAGGAAGAAAATAGTTCCCAAAAGCTGCTTTACCTGCCCATCATCATACCAGGGACGCCAGGGCTTGACAGTTGGAAGCTTAAGAGCGTCTATACTGTATCGGGTAGATGTAACTGGGATCACAGAATCTGTATCACCACTGCCATAGACGCAAAAAACGCAAAAATAGGATGATTACCAACATGTTAGTTATATGAAAATGGCTCCTGTAAATTATGCAAACTACTCATATAAAGACAATGGTAAAGAAAAGTATTGAGTGAATATTTTGGTCTACCAGATGAAATTCATATGTGTAATCATTTAATTAGAATATAAAACTGTGATGTGACTAATCAAAAAGTTTAAACAAGTAATCATCAAATCTATATCTGCAAGGTGTTGAGAGGGACCTGAACATCCATATACGAAGTCCTGAATGTATCAGCTCCTTGTAGACGTCCAGCACTGTCCTAGGAGAATCCTGCCAAGTGGTGTATACCACATCACTGCAAAACAGCAAAAAAAATGGATAAACATAATATGTCAACTTTTCCACCGTGCCTTGTCAATCAAGGTCATCACTTTTAAAACCAAAAATATGGTAGTATTGTACAGGTCATCACTTTTAAAGCAAAGTCCCTACTGAATTTTCAGTTTCTTGCTCTTGCAAACCAGAACTGGTAGTATTGTACGGGTGTAGCAATTCAGTAGGGATGAATTTCCAGATAGCCAAAGCAATCTTGAGCTAGCGATGGACTAGCTCATTTGAAACCGTAAGTTCTAAACAAAAGCTTTGAAGCACTCTTTTCATTGGTTTATACCTGCAGGTTGCCCACTTAGATGGTGCATGATTTGGATTAACATGGAGAGCCTTTTGAACCTCGGGTAGATTGAAGTATACAGCTGAGTGTGCCTCTGTGCAAGGATCATAGTTCCCACTGATGCGGCCCACCTTCTATCAAATGGCATCACATTCCATCATCAGTATGACAATAAGTCAACTATCATTGAAAGATTTGAGACCTCAGTTTGAGGTAAATACAGTCATTCACGAGGCTAAATTAAAATTCATAAGTTCATGAAACCCACAACACAAACTTAAGCACAAAGAGAGAGTGAAATCATTTGGGGATTGTTCTTACAAACATATATTTTGAAAAAGAACCTTTTGAAGAATTGGCAGTTGATAAATCAAGAAACCCCAGCTAGTTACTATTCTGATCCACAACTTTCCGTTAAACTGAACCATATTAAACAAACTTGGAAAAGAGAGTAGAAGTAAAAGAGGCCATAGTATTATGTAAACCATTTTCACCTGGTTGGCAATTTGAAACATTTGGAATGTGCTGAATACATCTAGCAAGGAGATTCGTTTTACATTTTTTCCTTTGGTGGGAAGGGGGAGGGGGAGGGGGAAGAAAAGAAATTTAATGTAAAAAATAGCTCGCATGGAATGTAGTAGACAATTTATTGCACTCACATGCATTCGTTTCTGCAGCCGATTTGACTGGCTAACATTAGCAGGGCATGCAGGGGTGTAGATGCTGTAAGGGTCAATGTTTCCAAGTTCTGCACTAGCAATGTCTAGAATATTGTCACATGAATTTGATGTGTGTATAAATGACTGGAAATCACAAAGAAGGTTCAGCGACTTGTATGTTTGATCAGAAATCAAACCAGCCGACCACATAAACTGGAAAACCCCCAAATGATCATGATAATCATCAGTCAGAGCATTGCCCACCTGCATAACACATACTTTGTTATTTTAATGTGTTTACACAATGTACAACATCCCCAAACCTTTGCGATAGAAAATCACCAAGTCTATACCATATAACCCTTCAGATTAATTGCTTTTTCCTTAGTTTCCAAGTTGTACTTCACAATTGCTTGACTTAGCTGAGGAAACATAATGTCCTGGTACACAAGTTTTGGGTGGTTAAAACTAGAATACAGAACCAAGTCGTACAAAATATACCAAAATACAACACAAGAAATTCGAACATGCATGAATTAGATAAATAAACGTAGAGCTGCTACTGATTTTGCATATGCGTTGTTAGGCTTCTATCTCAAACCCCATTCCTCTTGTCCTAAAACCACTAACTGAAGTCACTTTCTAGTTGTTACAATATCCAGACTGAAAAGCTGCAATTCTGTAATTAGTTTTCTTTTTTAATGGTGGGAAGGGAGCCCTGATGAGGTTGCTTTAGTCAACCAATGTTCCGAGTGAACATGATATACTGCATCCCAAAGCAATAAGTATACTAAGAGAACCAAATGATGGGAGGCAATAATGTACCACTCCTCTACCTCACCAACATACTAAGTAATAAAAATAGAATAAAACATGAAATGGAACGAAGTACTCCCTTTACAACACACACGCAAAGACATGAGAATAGAGATATATTGCATTTAGTTTAAGTTTTACATGTTTACTATTGGAAGGGAAAAAGGTGAATGACATAATGTAAAAGCAAACAAGCAAAGTAGGTTTGTCTACCTCCATAGCTCTCTCCAGTGATATAAAATTCTCTTCCCTTGTACTGGGGAAAGCGCTCAAACCATTTCAATAGAAATGCTAGAGAGTCTTCGGCTGCAAAACAACATAATTATAATCTAATGTGCATAAGAAGCTAACAACATAAATAGCTCAAAGCATAAAAATGAGACATGGAAAATTACCTGTTCTTTTATCTCCATTGGATAGCAAATCAGAGGAAGTGTTTGAATAAGAAAAACCAACTCCAACAGGTGAATCAAGAAATAGAATGTTAGCAACTGCAAAAAGGTAAAAGTAATTAGACATTTTGTAAAGAACTACTAAGATGTGGTTTTATCATTCTAAAAATATATTCTACAGTCACTGTAAGTACCACGCTTGATGCAGTGGAATAAAGCAACTTCAAGCATAAAGTAAGAGATAAACAAGAGAGACACAAAGAAAAAGGTGCATGCACGCTTGCTCAGCAATCATGTGCTTACTGAGAGGAACACATATGCTCATTTGCTAAGATGCTTTCAAACAAGTAAGAGAACAACCTATTTGAAGCACTAATCCGAGTAAAATGATGCTATAGTCCTGAGACCTATAATTCACATTATGTTTTTTTTTTTTTTTTGGGTTTTGGTTTTAATACAAGGGGTATTGGGGAAGGAGGATTTCGAACAGGGGACCTCAGGTGCAGGGGTAATGACTCTTAACCACTTGAACTCCAAGCCCCTTACATCCGCAACAAGTATTATAAAGGGGAACTCACATATATAATTGATAATACACATCTTGAAATATTTCTCACATACACAATTCACACATAAAACAACCTGTAACCTCTGGCTGGTATCTTTTTATATCTGTTAAGTTTTGGCTGACATAATTCATTACGATAATTAAAATGAAAAAATCCTAATAACCTCCTCTAACAAGTTATGAGAAGCTTCTCACCTTGATTCCAAGAGTAAGGATTCAAATATAGGGTCTTCCCGTCTGCCTTAATATGAAATGGACCAACTTCCTCTGCCTCCCCATAAGCAATTGATGAACATCCAGGTCCTAAGGAGGTGAGAAACCATTCAGAAAGAAAAAATTCTAAATCAATAAAAATACCAAATTGGGAAACAAAACAGTAATAGCCAAAGAGCACTCGAGAGATAAATACAAAGCTTTCATAAAAACGAAGCAACCATTAATAAACGAATAGGAAATTAAGCAAGTTTATTCGATCACTAGAAAGATTTCTGACCGCCTTCAAAAAAAAAAAATTCCAGAAATGTATTCCAAATATTACAGAACATAACACAAATAGTAAACAAAATGGACGGACGTACAACATTTAACAGCAACAGAAGTCAAAACAGCACTATCACAAAGATAAACGAGAAGCTTATGCAAAAATTTGAAGCTCAACCTCCATTTAGCCAGAGAACAATAGGCTTAGAACCAGGGTCCTCAGCAGCTTCAACAAGCCAGTAGAAGAGAGCCCTCCCAGAATCTTCATTGACAGTGGCATACCCAGCATAGTGTGCAAAGCTCAGGTTGAAGGTCTGACCAGGCAGCTCAAGAACTTTGTCCAATTTCTGTTGGGCAAGTGCGTCTGTGGGAATAGTTGCAAAAACACTGCCCAGATGAAGGTTGAGGAGGATAATGAAGTAGGTGAGAACAGATGCCCAACTGGGTTTGACCATTTTTGCGGTTGAGAGAGACGGAGGAGGAGGGGGAGTGGGTCAATAAAAGAGTGCTCCTGAAAACGCTGGTTTTTGCTAGTTTTGTAGATAAACCATCATGGAATGTCTCTATCTCTGCAAGTCTGACCTGTGCAATAACAGTTTTAAAGGCAACAACTAATATTAGAAAAGGCTACCGAAAATGGTACACCAAAATTATTTCCGAGTATATATGTCATTTCCAAGTACCTTTCTGTTTCGACCAAAAGAAAAAGGAAACCTTTCTGTTTCTGAGTCTTCTTGTCTCTAATCAAAACCTTTCTAATAATTCTAATTTAACTTTTGGGGAAAAAAAGTACCTAACCAGATCAAATTTTATTGAATTAGTCTCTGAAATTATGATGTATGGAAAGTGATGGCATGTTTCGTTCTGCAAAAAGATAAAACAAAACAAAACAAAACATGATTTGTTATTTGTGAAAGCTCTTATTTTTATCTAGGCTTATTTATTGTAGTGCCCCTTGAAATTTTGGTTATTCTCTGAAAGTTAAAATGGCTCACTTTGTCCTATTAACTGATGTTTTGCATCTCAATTTACCTTCCACCATCAAGTCGGTCAAAAACTCTGTAAGAAATGCTGACATGACAAGAATGGGACCCATAATTTTGTTGAATTAGATATCACGTAGGTGCCAAGTGTAAAAAATAAAAAGAAAAATTTTCTTTTTAAAAACTTAACTCAATTATTAATAATAATATTTATAAATAATAAATAAATAAACCCAATCCCCTCCTCCCTGCCCTGTTACGCATCTACCCAACCTCTCCATATCCCCAAAGGTGGCCCTATCATCCTTCCTCCTCCCTCTGCAACTAACCATCACCCCCAACATCATCCATAAGCACCCAAACCCACCACAAGCCATGCCCCCATTAGCCTTCCTCCTTCCCCCTTCCCCCTTCCTTTGCAACCAACCACCACCCACCATCATCCATATCCACCTAGACCAACCACAAGTCATTCCCACCACAAAAAATACAAATAAATAATAAAGAATAAAGAAAGAAAGAACAAGAACAATGCACACATTTGTGGTGGGGATGGGTTTTTGGGTTGCAGGGGCAAAACGCTTGGTGATGAAGATGGTGGCATGGCCTTGGTCTTCAAGATTTAGATATGGTATTGTGGATAGGTTGAGTTTGCGACGAATCTAGGATGGCGGTTGGGTTGAATCCTCAGCGAATTTGAAGTTTTGGATTGTCGGATCTGGAGAAAGAGAGAATGGTTGGCTTGGGGTTGGGGCGTTGGAATGGAGGCCCTTCCTCTCCCCTTTGCCTTGAAAGTCCAACCCACCTTTTACACCATCATCATCAAAATCACAATCATGAAGGACAATCATGATCTAGGCAATATTTTAAGGCAATTCCTTATTACAAGGAGACCACATTTTATAGATACTAGGTACGAAGGGATGGGGTGGGATGAGGGAGGAGATCTGTTACTTATGACGGTGAAGGGGTGGCGAGGTGTGGAGAAGACGATGTTGCTGGTTTTTTTTTAATTTCCTGTTAATTTTTTCATTTTTTTCCTTCTATTAATAATAATTTAATTAAGTTTTTGAAAAGAAAATCTTTCTTTTTATTTTTTTACACATGGCACCTCCATGGAATCCAATTCAAAAAAATTGTGGGTCTCATTCATACCACGTCGACATTTTTAACAGAGCTTTGACTGACTTGACGTTGGGGGGGGGGGGGGGGGGTAAATTGAGATGCAAAACATTGGTCAATGGGGCAAAGTGGGTCATTTTAACTTTCAGAGGTTAAAGTGAGATTTGACCAAAGTTTCAAGGGGCATTATAGTAAATAAGCCTATTATCTATCGTATAAAGAAAAAAGTTTTATTGGTTGGGAGTCGGAAAACTGGTTTTGAAAGAGAAGTGAACAACATCCTTATTCTTAGAAGTTTTATTGGTTGGTTCGTCTCCAATAGAATTAGCGGGTAAAGATTAACTGCCGTGTAAACGGATGAAACTTGAGAGACCCAACTTGCCTGGTTGGCTTTTGAATAAACAAGCATCCTTATTCTTATAGTATGTACGGGTTACAGTTTACTTTTAATCAACTACAAAAGGAAAAAAAATAAAAATTTGATATCTCATCGGAAAATCTATGACAATGTGGTTGCTTAGCATTTGTTGATTGGCGTGGCGTGTAATGAGTCACCTGAGAATAACTTTAAGCTTTTAAGTTTTCAAGTTGAAATGAGTCTTACTATAACCATATATTGACTGCTACCAAAATCTGTACATGACGACGGCTTCCCTATATATCCATGTTGGTGCTTGTTTGTTGGCATCAACTGAAAATTGAATAATTGTTTTATGCAAGATGCACAAAACTCACTTCAGTTCATTAGGATGAAACATAACGACTATGCTATAATTCTGCACAAAAGCCCAATCACCATATAGTGCATCTTCTTAGAGAATCATCAGTTAATTAACTCAACCTTCATTCACTGCTAATACAGCTCAGATCACATTTCAAGCTACAGCATGAGGCTCTAATGGAAGGAGTGCCTACTGCTAGAAAATATCAACCTTTGTTCTTTGTTGGCTGCTGAAATATCAACTTATGCTTCGGAGAGATCTACACTGTCATTGACCGGAATTGTTGATTCAGGAGATGACTCTTGGATACCTTCAGTATCAGACGGTTGAGATTCATGCTTTGCAGCAGCCTGCAATACCCGGTTTTTAACATCTAAGGATGAAGGAGATGTTGGTAGTCCAATGCCGTTTGATTCCAATTTTCCAGCAGCCCACGAAAATGCCTGAGCTCCAACTCTAACAGGCACAAGCAGCAGCCTTCACGGAACATAGAGACCACAATCAGACCACATTTTGAATCAACAAAATTTATATTAAGCAGCATTTGGCTGTTGATAGGACTCCAACAGCACTGTGAAAGGTGCAATCTAGTGTTAAAAGGACAATCTGTCACATCATTTCTTCTGAACAAGACATTAAATTCACATTTAAAAAAATGATAAATTTTGTGGTTTTACCTCACATCTTGCTTAAAATCTTCAGCATTCTCATAAGTTGCCACCCGTCGGTAAATGGTCTGGTGTAGTCAATGAAAAGAGCAATGAGAAGGGGAAGAACCAGAGACTATATGAATTTCTTAAATGTAAGTTTCTTATCAGTATTCAGTTTTTTTGGCACAAATGCCCACCCCTATGTCACTATGTGAACTTAAATAGAATTCAGCAACTAATCCAGACTTTTTATCATTTGACATCTACCATATGATAGTTATATTTCTGAACAACAAACAACCGGGGACAGAAACAAAACAGACATTCCAAAAACTTTAGGAACATGTTGAAAATTTGATTCAACATAAACTGAGATATGGAAGTAAATACTTTGACTTAAGCACTCATTCTAGGAAGATTCTAATACCTGACCAAGGCCAACAACGCCAATCAATTGCAATGTCTTCTCCCACTCTGAAATAGGATGGATCATGCTTAATTAGGAAAGAAGAAGAAACCCCAAACCAAAAAAGAACAAGCAAATGAATACGATAAAATTTTACTGCCACTCCCCATCTTTTGAAACCACCCTCTTTAAAAAAAAACCCTAAAATGCCAACTTTACTCTCCACTAAAATAAAATATAAAACAAAAATAAACAAAAATTAATAGAAAAATAACACCCAGCCCCAACCCCTCACCACCCGACAGCCACCCATCCCATCACCTCTGTCGCCGGCAACTACCCTTTCCTCTCTCTCTCTCTCTCTCTCTCTCTCACGCACCAGATCTGTGAGGTTCTGAACATTAAATATTTCCCAAATGCTGAAAAAGAAGTTGCAGAGGGTTTAAATGCAGAGTATTTGTACATCATTTTTGTCTCATGTGCTTTACATCAATTCTAAATCTAACATGGGCTTTCTCTCACTTGGTCACAGAAGCCAAAGATTGGTCAGAAAGCACTCGGAGAAAAGGACATTGGGAGAGGAACCATAACGAGAGAGAGAGAGGTGGCCGGAGTGGGCCGACGTCGGCAATGGAGATGATGGGGGTGAGGTGGCTATCAGGTGGTGAGTTGGGGTTGGGATTTTTCTTATTGGGGAAGTGGGGTAAAGCTGGAATGTTATAGAATAATTTTAAAGAACATAACATATATACTCGCCTAATAGTGCATACGATGCCGCAATCAGTCCCTGTACAGAAAGTAATTGCATTTATTAGTACAGAATTGCACTTGAAATTTCCTGGGAATCAAACATTTTTATAACATACAGAAAACCCAAGAGGTCAGATAACCATTAGCCTCTATGAAATCCCACTCATCGTCAATCTATCCTGATGTGTTTCATAGATCATTCTGAAGATATTTTGATTAAGTTGGAATTTAAGGTACCACACAGGCAATTTATCTTACCACACCATACCCAAGAACTTGAGCTCGAGAAGGATTGATATTCTCCAGAATTGCCTCAGCTTCCTGAAATGATACAATTTTTGCAACTCTGCTTAAGTGAAAAGCTCAAACGTGGTATTATGAAAAGAGAAAAAAAGGAGAAAACACCATTAGAACTTAAAAGAAGAAGCAGCATCCGAGTGATAAATACCTCATTGAGTATGGTAAGTGTCGTCTCAGGTTTGAGTTCCTTAATACGAAGACCATGTTTCACCCAAGACTGAAAGCCACCTTGAACCAAGTAAGGTTTCTGTCATTTTAAACATCACCAGGTTATTAGTATCTAAGAAGTTGCTTACCAATTCCAGAATACCAAAAATTATCATGCATTTGAGTGGTTCTCTTAATATTTGGAACATACTAATTTCCATAATAAAAGTCCTAATAACTTTAAGTAATGAGAATATGAATCTTTATCTTGCATTACATACTTCAGAGTCCTAATTTACAAACCAGTTACTCAACCATCCACATTTGCTAAATCATCATGTTGAGCCCTACTAATGGTTGTGAAAAAACTAATGTACCTGTTATTTAACTTTGTATGAATAAACATTTACTTATTATCTTCTCAGTAAAAAATATATATGTGCTATCTTTTCTTATGAACAATAATGTATCTACGTTAGTTCCAATGCATCCAAGATGACCATAGGTCTTTCAGTATAGAGAAAAAAAACTAATAGATATATAGTTCACTCCTCAGGCTTTTCATTTCCATGTCTTCTGTACGTCTATCATTAAAGAATCATCAAAGACTTGCTACTTGCCTTAAGCCCAAGCTTTCTCAAGGATCTTGCAATTCCTTTGGAACGAGTACCATCACCATCCATAATAATGACCTTGGACCTGTCCTACACAGAGTAGAAAACAATATAGACCTCATTATTCATTACTCAAGCCAATCAGGGAAAAATCAGAAGATGGTGCATGATAGAGGGATCCTGGAGAACCATTATTCATTACGAAATCATCATATTTTCCCATGGTTTTAGGCAACAGATCCTGTTGTTGGATATGAAGTTTTTAAGCACATGTCAAATCAACCAAGTCCTTGGACAAATATGGTAATAGATCTAAAGTCACCAGGCTGGTGCTAAGAACTTGAATATGAATGTTCTATATAATTAGCATTTTCTTTCTCGCATAATTGTGGGCCAAGAAAATCAAATAGTGATTGAAGTTCTTGAGATGGAGAAGATTGCAGGATACTTTCAGGTCTCCTTGGTGACCAATTATGGTACTAACACCAAAGCACGGAGAGTTGCTAGGTCCCAGTCCAAGATCTTCCTTTGAACTTTTAGCTTGGTATAGTTTTAAGCGATATAAAGCCTAAAACTAGTTACCTGAACAATCTTCAAGTTCCGAATAACAGCAGCAGTTAAGGTATCATCAAGATCTTTTCCACTCTTCAATAACTTCCATAAAGAGCCATCAACCTGAAAAATCATTAAATAATATTGAAAACAAAATTGCAGAAAGTGTATGGAGCTAAGCTCCAGAATACATCATTACAACTGTTTTAGCATAACCCCAAATCATTAGTACAATATGGCTTCTTTCACCCTGTAAAAGTTATGATACAATTGTACGTCATATTGTCAAATAACATGCTAGTAATAAGCCAACCTCAGGTAGAGTCACACTTGCATAACGAAAGCGAGCTGTTCGTCGAAGATCAGGAATACCCTCTTTTTCTCTAATAACCTTCACAAATGAAATTCCAAGAACCAATCATTGGCAAATTTGAGAAGAAAACACTTACAAAGAATATTTCATTATAAGTCTTATAAAGGAAATACCAAGGAGCATGAATTTGAACACTGGAGGTTGTGTCTTTGGGCAATTAAAAGAATTTTGGTTGTTTTAGCCTCTGTTAGGCAAAGATTTTATAACATTATCAGCTCAGCCAAATATAAAGGCCAACAAATATGCAATATCTTGCCTCGGGTCGGACATCAATGAGCACAGCATTCTCCTTCCCTGTCAAGAGCTCCAATGTCGATTCAGGAGATAAATCTCCAGCATAACCACTGAATGTCCGCACCAGATAAATGACCCTGCAGCATATCTGATAGGAAATATAAATTTCTCACACGGCAGGATACTTGTATTCCTATATGTATAAATAGAAAAGGAAAAACAACCTTCAAAGAACAAAAGGATATCCATACCATAAAGTGGCTGAGGTGCCAAGGAATATAACAAATGGAATGATTGGATCATTTGGATCCAAGCCAAGATTTTCCTCCAACCCCTCAATAGCAATATAAACCTGCTTTCAACATGTTATTGAGTTCACAGAATATTATTCAGAAAACTGTCATTGTAATAGGAAAAAACTCAGCATATACATGGTTGAATAGATAATCTAAGCTTATAATGGAAAGTTTACTTTCTAACGTAATCTGTCAAACAGAAAATACAGGACCACTATAACAAAAATGGGGCTGATGTCTTGACAAAAAAAGCATCCATTCACAAATTAACCAACCAGTTTTTTTATGTAACGAGTTTCAAAGTTACGAAATATTATGAATTGTTTAGAATAACTCTGGAAATCTGGAAACCACAATCAATTTTTATTTTTTCACTGAAGATTACTATCAACTCTGGAATCATTCAAAAGCATTAAGCCATGAAAGGGAAGTGTATACCAAAGTTTAAAAATACCTGCTGAAAAGCACTCTTGGCAGGCCCCAGGAACTCTGCTGCTCGCTTTTCAGACAAATTTAGTGCATCACTAACGTCAGGAGGAAGAAAGTCCTTGGCAGACTGGTAAGAACTAACAACAAAGGAAGCCCCATTTGATAGAGAATCCTCCACCACAACAAATGTACGTCTCAAAATATCAATAGCAATAGCAGTTCCTTTACTTGTGGCTTCCTTAAAGTCGCTTGAAAAATTTGCCATTTTACTGCCACCTAATTGTCCCGTTTGATCAATTGTTGAAAACATTCTGCCAACAGCATTATCCACTGCTTCATTAGCACTTTTAACAACAGAAGATACTGATGAAGTGATTGCGTCTAGTGAGCTTTTAACAGAACTTTCTCCCTTATCGACTGAAGCACTGAAAGACTTACTAACCCCATCAATAAAATCCTCAATACTAGTTTTCACACTGGATAATTGATCACTATCAATGTCTAGGGAGTCAGATGCAGAGGTGACATTTTCTGGTGTTAAATCAGCAGCTGAAATGGATTCAGGTTCTACGGGTCCTGATAAAATACTTGCATTCTCAGTCGACTGATTAGTAAAGTCCATGAGTCCCTCATCAGGGGCCAAAAGGCTAGAGCTTTCTACATATTTCAGTTCCACCATTCCCAACGGATGTTGTTTATATAAAGTTGCAGTAGAAGAACTCCACATATCTGAATACTTGCAATTAAGATAGTCTGATTCATTTGAGCAGGAACTCCTATTAACAAAATCCATGGAGACTGATTGTTCTGTGCTTTTCACAAAGTTAGAATACAAAGACTTTGTAGCATGTGCTTTGAAGGAATCTCTTTGGAAATGCATTGCAAATGACAAGCCCAGAGAGCCCCTGCATTCCGCAATGTATCTGGCCTCAAAATCCTTCTGGAATGGGGAACTGGCATGCAATCCTCCATGTAAGGAAATCTGTAAGATCCATTTATATACATGTAAATTTGAAATTGGAAATTTCATAATTAATATTGACCCAAATGATGACATGATGCAAAACAAATTAGTTGTTTTTTAATTCTCAAAAAATAATGTGGTCATACGCCAGCAAGCTGATGTTCACGTGCTTATGAGGAAAAAAAACCCAATAATAACTTTACTTATGGCTCTACAGATTAGAATTACACAAATCATGAAACACAAATAACTCGCTAAGATGATATGAGGAGAGAAAACAATGCAACCACTTATTATTTTCTGTGAAAAGTACCTAGACGTTTTCATTGTTCTTTCAACGGTTTTTAATTTTGACTAGCTATTTATGTTCAATGGATAGTAGCCAAGTTTTCTGATGAGACCCATTGATTCATGGAATTAATTAATAAACCTTGGATGAACAATTAGCAACTTCATTAATTGTTCAGACTTCATAAGAACGATAGATACAATTAATATATGGGAACTTAAAAGGTTTCTTTGCACAGAAATTACCTGTATATATTAGAATTTAGAAGCAAAATAACATGGAAGGATCACAACTCAGCATGTAAGATCTTACCTGGGAATGATAAGAACAGCTTGAGGTGGCTGAGCAAACAGGCAACATTGTAATGTGATGTCAACCAGCCCAACAAAACTCGATTGCTCAAGAAGAAATACTATCAAGTTCCACCAACACTTAGCTAAAATAATCCACCCTATCAAATGGGATTTTACCAATTCAACAAGTTACGAACCATTGCATCAAAATGGGAGTTTTTCAAATATAGTTACTTCTGTAGCTTCTCCTCAGTGAGATCTACGGTATCCTGAAAATGGGTTTCAATTTTGTCTTACAATTGTCCAATGAAATAATATAGATATGATGATATGACAAGGAAAATCGTGTGGCTTGTTGTATCCGGTATCTTCATCGCCTTTGGCACTCCAGCCTCTTCTTTGCCTCTCGTTTTTTGGTGGGGACATGCTTGTCTTTGGAATTCTTGTGGGGTTTTGGCGCAATGTCCCTATACTTTTCTGTATTCATTTTCATCCCCTCAAGTTTGTCGGGAAGGACCTACCTGGCGAATCTTTGACGGGAACCTATGGCCGCGAAAATATTATCAGGATAGACCTCTCTGTGAAAATTTATCGGGATAGACCTACCTAGCGAAAGTTATGAAGGGATAACATTATGTCGGGATAGACTTATCTCGGCTATCCCGACGAATATTTTGTCGGGAAAAACCCGACATTGGCTGACACAAAGTTCACCGGATAGATCAATCCTGACAACACGTTGTCGGCAAAGGTTGATTCCGTCAAACTTTCGCTGGGAAAGGTCTATCTCGGACCCAAAAAAAAAATTATTGGGAAAGGTATGCTATTTATCATTTTTTTTTAATCCCTAAAATTTTGACCAAAAATATTTTATAATATATTATTCCTATAATTTTTTTACTCAAGTTAATAAAGTAAAGGTGTACTCAACTAACTAGGGTTAGGTCCGGTTATGTCGGACTAACTGTACATTCAAATCAAAACCCCAGGTCGAGTTACGAGAATATCCAAGCCTATCGAGTCATAAGTGCCCTAAAGTAGCCTTATTGTTAGGGTTCGAGTAGGGATGGTAACAAGCTAGGTAAGAGTCAAGTATGGCAATACCATCTCCATCCCCACTCCTCATCCCCGCCCCCATCCCCGTCCAATCCCCGATAAGAAACTTTTAGGGAATCCCCGTCCCTGTCCCCGTTCATTAGCCATAATTTTTTACACCCCACTAAATTTTAATAAAATTCCAAATTACTCATTATACCCTCTCTTTTTTTTCCTAAATTGCCCTAATGAACCTCATCCCCTAACTCACCGTGTAAACCCCATCCCATATCATACACCACCCATCGAAAACCCTCTTCCCTTTCAGACACACCCCATCTGAAATCAAACCTCACCCCATCTGATATCAAGCCCCACCCCATCGAAAACTCCCTCCTCTTGAAGACACACCCCATCAAATTTACAACAAGCTCCACCGCACACCCCATCCCTTTTGAAACAGAGTCATCGCACAACCCATCTCTGCAAACCACGAAACCTCATCGCACAACCAGAGGCGGCCCATGGGGTGTGCGAGGTGTGCGACCGCACAGGGCCCCAAAAATTTAGGGGCCTCCAAATTTGTCCAAGTCAACCCATTAAATTAACTAAAATATGAAAATAAAAATGAAATATTAAATATCACCCCACAACACCACATGCAAGGCACCAAAACTAAAATTGAATTGAATATTAATTATCAACAAATTGTACGACTTAGAGAGTAGAGGCCCAAATTTAATTCATTTTCCTCTTCCCAACTCTCACGCTGCAACTCTTCTTTTTATTTATTTATTATCGTTTGAAACCTGTGTTTTCCTCTTCCCAACTCTCAAGCTGCAAAACCATTCTAATATTCTTTTCTCTTTCTGTAAGTTTTTCTCACTCTCCTCCATCAAAATAAAGTCATTTCTCTTCAGTACCAGTGTACCACCCTCTTCCATCAAATTTTGGATTGTAAAAACCTAAGCTTTAGCCATTTCCCTAAAATCACAGTTCTTTTCTCCCTCCCTTATTCACATGAGAATTCACCAAGCATTGAAATTGGAAAATCAATTTATCAGCTCTGTGATTTGGAAGGGTGACTAAAGAAATTTTTCTAGGAAGCTCTTTCCAAATGTGTTCTTCCCGTGTTAGAAATTTTTGTTTCTATATGGATTTTTTTTTTTCCTACTTGTATATATAGGGCCTCGACATCCATATTTGCACAGGGCCTCCAAAATCAATGGACCGGTTCTACGCACAACCCATATGTGCAAACTCAAACCCATCTCTGAAACAGAGCCATCACATCCCCACAGCCAACCCCAAACGCCTCACCCCCTCGCAAACCACCATCTCCTCAGCCATCTCAAGCATCCATCACGAATTTGTCAAGTTTTCACAAATCCTTCGAAGAGCCAAGTTTTGATTTCAATTTTGATTTCTATATTTACGTTTCTAAGTGTTGATTAAGACTATGTTTGATTTCACTTTTGAAAAACCAAAGTCTAATTTTAATTTTTGATTTCAACTTGGTGGGTGTATGGTTCGAACCGGGTTTTGCGAAACTGGATTTTAGTTTCAGTGGATTACCACCGAAATGGTTACATTGCTTCAGTGGTAGTCCACCGAATTTGAACATGATCTGTACATTTTACTTTCTGTGGGTTACCATCGAAATTGTTACCTTGTTTTGGTGGTAGTTCACCGAATTTGTTTCTAATTTTCAGGAGATTCCCACCGAATGTATTTCAGTTTTTCAGTGGTATTCCACCGAATATGTGTTCTTTTTTCAGTGATAGTCCACCGAATTTGTTTCCATTTTTCAGTGATCATCTACCGAATACGTTACTGAGTGTGTACTTAATATTGTTTGTTTTTAGATATGAAGATGACTCGCAGAGGTACTACTGAGGCTTTATCATCTCGACTGAATAGACAGCGTCCCACGGCCTCAACGAGGAGACAGAGAACGGCTCCCCAAGATCACTTTGAGGATACTACAGAGGTTGAAGATGTAGCTCCTACTCATGTGCCCATGTGTAATTGTCTTCCTTCTCGACATTCATATACACGTTCGCAACAGAGAATGTCATATTAGTATATGTCACCCCCACAATTTGCAATAGTGAAAAACGATACATATTAGTCTTATAGGTGCAATCCATGATAAATACATGTGGAAATGCATGAAAAATATCAATATTAATGAGGTGCGTCCAAAATAGGTCAGTTCAAATATCACCAGAAGTCCTATGCCACTCAATATAATTGTGTTCGGATAACTTAGTAAGCAATTGTTGCATTTGGGTTCTTTTAGCAAATTCTTTGGTTCTATTTCGGATCCTAGCATTGTATATTGTCTTCATAGTTGAAACATTCATTGCATCTCTATCTTTAAGGGTGACCAAAATATCTCTGGATTTCACCAAACTCTTAGACATGTCCACCAACAAGGCATTCTCTTATTCAGAAAGTCGCCCCACAAATGAATTACCTTGAAAATACTCTGAAATAGGATGGTTGTATACTCCACAAACCACCTCTAACTTCCAATCATCCCCATCACCAATATTGATATCTTTTAACAAGAATGGGCATCCACATTTCTTGGTACCAGTGTCCCTAGCACATTTTTTCATATCACTATTTGCATCCGACCTTATATTAGTTGTCTCACTAGACTTGCAAGACTTATAGTTACCGTTCCTCTCACAAGCAAGTATTACACAAGGTCTCCTCTTGCTCTTACCTCCATAATCAGACATTTTAATTACAATGATAATATTATTCATTTTTCCTTGTGCACGAGCCTATCTAAGTAATGCATCTATATTATTGAATATTTACACATAAAACTCATATTATTTAAAAATAAAATTTGAAACATTAATGCCACGTTAATGATATTAAAAAGGATTTCAGACAAATAATTACTGAATAAGTTGTGAATTGATCACTATAGTCCATTACATTATGTTCCCACATTGTTGCCTTCAGTATAGGCGTCACCTTGTTTTTGTTCCTTCAATAGGAGTAAGATCAAAATAGCTTGCATTAAATTTGTGGTCGGCAATAAGTTATTGAAAAAATAAATAAATTTCGGTTTGATGCCACTAAAATGCAGGTAAATGTTTGGCAGTGAACCACTGAACTATGTTCCATGTTACAGTGGATCTCCACCGAATATTAAGTTCATGACTGGTCAAACCCAATCGAAAAAGGTGCAACGTTTCGGTGGCATCCCACTGAATTTACCTGTCGCGTTCGGTACTGATGTGTTGAACGCAACCAGTGACCATTATGAAATACTAAACTTGCAAAATGCCAAAAAATAAACTCGGACCTCATTCGAAGCCTCTCTAACTTCAATCTCACCCTTCATGAATAAATACAAGATATTTTTTCACCAATATAAACGTATAAATCTAGGGTTTAGGGTTTAGGAACATAATAGTTTGAGAAAAAAGTCAAACTAGGGTTACAGGAACATATATGGGGTGTAGTGAGCAATTTAATTTTTAATTTTTAATTTTTTTTGTCCTTAACGGTAATTGTGTACAAGGGTAAAATAGGTTATTCATGTTTAAAATTAGTATGGGGTGTAAAGAGCAAATAATGGGGTGCCAATAAAATCTCCCCAATATCATATTTTCCTTACTATCCCAATAATAAACCACTTAAAGAAAAGAAAAAAAAACATTGTAAAAACAATCTAAAATGTGTCTTTTGTTTTTAGTAAATTTAGGTTTTAGCCACAAAAAAAATTTACAAATTTATAAATAAACCCAATCCTAAACATGTATTTATAAAAAAAACCCAGACACTATTTAAACATAGAAACACACCCAAAATCAACAATTGTATATTTTTTGGGTGTGTTTATAAATGGGTTTTGAGTGTGTGTAATGATGGGTTTTGAGTGTGTTTATAAAGTATTTTGGGTGTTGGGTTTTTTTATAATTTCAGCCCCAATTTTTGGTGTTTTAGTGAAACTTCCAAAAAAATTTCACTTTTAGAAAAGCAAAAGTTTTTCAAAAAAGACAGAAAAACCTCTCAACTTTCAAATCAAAGACATGCAAATATAAAGGATTTCTTAAGAAATCCAAAAATAAATAAGGACAATTTTGTCCATTTTAGCTTCTTTTAACAATTTTTTCTTTCCTTTTGTCTTTTCCAAAGTCTCCCAAAAAACAAGTCATCGTTTATATCTTGTTCTCTATGTTGCTATGCGCATAGCGACTTGATTTTTCTGATGACATTTGGTAAGACAGGAGAAGTGATGAGTTCTGCAGAGCTGGCAGCATCCAAATAACGCTCTCCGCTCTCTAATGGTCGAAATTCTGCGGTGCGTTCAATAACCATTTCTCTCTCTCCATCAGATCGAATTCCTCCAGCATCGCGCAGTAACAAAGGAGATCTCATGGAATCACCTGGTCACCTACTTCAGTCTTCAATAATCTTTGATGTGATTTATCGCTTTTCAATTTTGAATGTGATCTTGATTATTTATTTTGATTTTCAACTTGCATATTCTTCTCGATTGTATATGCATCTCCATGTATATGTAGTGGTGTTGCAAGATTATATACTCTTAGTTTTCATTCTTGCTTACAAGCTTTGTATTTCATCTTCCTGTGTTTGGGGCATTTCAAATCGGAACATACTTCAGCCTGATACACACACATGTATATGTAAACTTAAACATCTCAACACTGTGAATCTTGTATTTTAAATTGAAATTGAAATCTGATTTTTGGTCTTGCATAAGCCATAAATGCGAATAGTTGTTTTTCACTTGTTAGAGAATATCTGGGTGTTTATAAATATCATATACACACACTTTTATGTTCTCTTTCTTTACAAGATTGCTTATGTTTCTGTTTTTATTTTACATGCTTATACTTATGGTGTTTCTTTCAGGTGGTGGTACAAGGGGGACATCTGTTATAGTTGTGACATTGGATACTGGTGAAGTGTATATAATTGTGAGCTTGTCTTCTAGGCTTGACACTCAGGTCATACATGTTGATCCCACAACTGGTGCACTTCGCTACAATGCGAAGCCAGGATTTGATGTCTTCAAATCCGAAAAGGAAGCTTTGGATTACATTACAAATGGGTCGCACTGGTTGCTTAAGAGTACGACTTATGCTCATGCAATATTGGGTTATGCTGCTTTGGGCAGCTTTGGGATGCTTCTTGTGGCTACCAAGTTGACTGCTAGTGTTCCAAATTTGCCGGGTGGAGGGTGTGTGTATACAGTGACTGAGAGCCAATGGATCAAGATTTCACTTCAGAATCCACAACCACAAGGGAAAGGAGAAGTAAAGAATGTTAATGAATTGACTGATCTTGATATTGATGGGAAACACTACTTTTGTGATGCAAGGGACATCACTAGGCCATTTCCTAGCCGTATGTGCTTGCATGAGCCTGATGATGAATTCGTTTGGAATGCCTGGTTCTCGATGCCTTTCAAAAACATTGGGCTGCCACAGCATTGTGTGACACTTCTGCAGGTTTTGCTTCATTCTTGGTATCTTCAAATTGATGCTCATGTGACTCTTATCTTCTTTCACCTGAAGTTTATTTTTTAACCATCTGATTTCTAAGCCTACTGCCTCAAATTATTGATGCTGATTTGTTCAAGTCTATGCATTATATGTTCATTATAGCCAATTGTTTCCAATCTGCTTTCACATATACTTATATTTCTATGCAGCTCTGTGAGTATATATTATTACTACTGATTTTTGTTAGTTTGGTTAGGAGTTTTGTTGTTTTACCCAAATTTCTTTTTATTACAGTTTTCTTCCTGCTTTCTGATCACAGTTTTATACCAGCACTACAATTATAAGAAATTAAATTGTGGTTAAGATCTTAAGATAGCATATGGAATTATGTGGTTAGATGTGAAGTTAACCTGTTCATACTGTTCTCTTACTTGATATTAATGTGTAGGGTTTTGCAGAATGTCGAAGTTTTGGAACCTTAGGGAAACTAGAAGGGATTGTCGCTCTCATAGCTCGTCGTAGCAGGCTGCATCCTGGTACTCGATACTTGGCTAGGGGATTAAATTCATGTTTTAGCACAGGTAACATGACACTTTGAAGTTATTAACAAATCTCAAGTTTTTCTTCTTCAAAACATACCCATGGTTGTGGCATTTTGTCATTAACTACAGCATAGTTCCTCAAAATATTGAGAACAGAAAGTAATATAGAAAAAACAACATATGAATTATTTTGTTTATTCAAATTTTTTATCCATGTTATTTCGTTTTCATTTGGTTTGTATACTTTTGTTTTTGTTTTGCTTATTTAGTCGTAAGAATGTACTTTCTGAATACAGATTATTCTCCTCTTACTTCTTTATGTTTTAATTGAATTTTTCATACTTACAAAGAATGTGAGTCTGACAGGAAATGAAGTGGAGTGTGAGCAAATTGTGTGGGTCCCTAGAAGGGCTGGTCAAACTGTTCCTTTTAACACATACGTATGGCGACGGGGCACAATTCCAATCTGGTGGGGTGCAGAGTTAAAGATAACTGCTGCAGAAGCAGAAATATACGTTTCAGATCGTGATCCTTATAAAGGGAGTTCTGAGTACTACCAGAGGTTGAGTAAACGGTATGATGCACGAAATTTAGATGTAGCTGTTGGCGGGAGTCAGAATAGAAAAGCGTTGGTTCCAATTGTCTGCATCAACTTGCTTAGGAATGGAGAAGGAAAATCGGAATGCATTTTAGTTCAGCATTTTGAAGAATCTTTAAACTACATCAGGTCAACAGGAAAACTTCCGTATACCCGAATTCATTTAATAAATTATGATTGGCATGCCAGTATAAAGTTAAAAGGTGAACAGCAAACCATCGAAGGATTATGGAAACATTTAAAAGCACCCACTGTTTCTATAGGCATTTCTGAAGGAGATTTTTTGCCTTCACGAGAAAGAATTAAGGAATGCAGAGGAGAAATTATCTGCAATGATGACTTTAAAGGTGCCTTCTGCTTAAGATCACATCAAAATGGTGTGATACGTTTCAACTGTGCTGATTCTTTGGATAGGACAAATGCTGCAAGTTATTTTGGCTCCCTCCAGGTTTTTGTGGAGCAGTGCAGGCGGCTTGGTATATCACTTGATAGTGATTTGGCATATGGTTATCAGTCAATGACTAATTATGGTGGCTATATTGCTCCTTTGCCACCAGGCTGGGAGAAGAGATCTGATGCAGTAACAGGGAAAACATTTTATATTGATCACAATACTAGGACCACAACATGGACGCATCCATGTCCTGATAAGCCTTGGAAGAGATTTGATATGGCATTTGAGGAGTTCAAGAGGACAACAATTTTACCACCAGTATCCCAGCTAGCTGATCTTTTTCTGCTTGCGGGTGATATTCATGCAACACTTTATACTGGTTCTAAAGCTATGCATAGCCAAATCCTCAGCATTTTCAACGAAGATGCAGGAAAGTATAAACAATTTTCTGCAGCACAGAATATGAAAATCACTTTGCAGAGGAGATATAAAAATGCAGTTGTAGACAGCTCTCGTCAAAAGCAACTGGAAATGTTCCTTGGAATGAGACTATTCAAGCATCTTCCATCAGTTTCTTTTCACCCTCTTAATGTATGTTATTCTGAGACTTGTCTGGATCAATTGTAGTGATAATAATTTCATTTATATCTCTATGCTTCTTTTTGAGCTTGGCACATCTAGCAAGTTGCAACTACAGCTCTTAACTTGCATAGATTAACTGGCAAGTTTTTTGATTCTAAGTTTGCATAACTCTTTAAGGATTGTCACATGGTACGGAGTCACCAGCTGCATATCAGAAGGCCTTTTTGTTACTTGTCACACTCAGCAGAGGATTTTTATCTGTTTAGGAAACACTCCAATGATTCCAGTTTTGGCATTGGATTTAAACTGCAGACTGGTGACTGTTCACAAAGTGTTGGCTTTCCCTGGAAAGTTCCTTTCAGTCTTGGTTTTAGAGCTGAGCATATTTTATATTTAACTTGACCTTTGCATTTTGAATTTCAGTTTTCATTTGTTTTCCTGTATACTATCATAGCATTAGGTCTCTCAACTTAGCATTATGCATGCTGATATTGCAGGTAGTCTCTCGACCATCCGGTTTCTTTCTTAAGCCAGTTGCTAACATGTTTCCAAGTTCCAATGGTGGAGCCAGTCTTCTGAGTTTCAAGAGAAAAGATCTAGTCTGGGTACTTTTCTTTTCAGTTTTCATTGCGTGGAACATTGGACTGTACCATAATGGTCTTTTCTGGTGAATCCTTTTATGTTTCTTCATTTAAATTATTTTCCATGAATTTACCAATTCTTATTTGGAATAGTTTTTGTGACACAGGTTTGCCCACAGGCTGCAGACGTGATTGAACTTTTTATCTATCTAGGTGAACCTTGCCATGTTTGTCAGCTTCTTCTCACTATATCCCATGGTGCAGATGATTCAACCTATCCGTCAACAGTTGATGTAAGGACGGGACGCTCTTTAGATGGGCTAAAACTGGTCTTGGAGGTCTGTAATCTTTCTTCCACTTCACCTACAACTTTAATTTTCTCTGAACTTGATTTTAATGTAGAATTGATGGTCCCAGGTATCTATCTAAAATAGGATGAGGATCCTTTTAGTTCCTATGTAATGTAATGACTAACAACTAGATTAAGCTATGAATTGCAAGGGCGTCACCTAGTTCCTAAACTAAACTATGTAAAATAAAAAAGAAATTCATGGCTCTGGTTCGGGTATTTTTTTTAGTTTCTTGTACTCTTGTGCATAACGGGGGAATCTACTTGTGGGAAGTTAATATAATTTCTCCTGTAGTTTCTAATCTTTTATTGGATTCTGATGACAGGGTGCGTCAATACCTCAGTGTGTAAATGGAACAAACCTTTTGATACCCTTACCAGGGCTAATTAGTCCAGAGGATATGGCTGTAACTGGAGCTGGTGCACGCCTTCATGCTCAAGATACATCTACCCTTCCATTACTGTATGATTTTGAAGAACTGGAAGGAGAACTTGACTTTCTTACTCGTGTAGTTGCCCTTACATTTTATCCTGCTGTCTCTGGAAGAAGCCCTATCACTCTTGGTGAGGTAGAAAGCAACTTTTGGAATTATTAATTGATATGTCATTGTCATTGTCTTTGGTTCACGACCGTTCCATTAGTTATTTGAGCTCTGAATGGTAGCTCTAGCTTGGTTGAAGCTTAGGCCTTTTGGTTTTTTTGGCACATGATATAGTAGAGGATCCATGAATGTTGCAAATTTGCAATTAAATCTATTCTATATATGTGTGCATGTATTATCTTATGTTCTGTTTCTGGTTGACTTTTGCTCAATCTCATATTTATTAGGTTTGATCCTTGTATTCGTTCAGTCTTGTGGCAAATATTCTTAGTCCATAACTTTTCAAAACTCTGATGTGGAAGAGTATACTAATTTATCTTAGTCCAGTATTCTAATGGGATGTAGTTTTGCAAAAACTGCTAGTGGATGATAATTCTTTTGTGAATTTGTTTGTAGATAGAAGTCCTTGGAGTTTCTCTTCCTTGGAGGGGTGTATTTACTAACGAAGGCCCTGGTGCAACATTACCTGAACATACTAAAAAAATTCAGAATGAAACCAATCCTTTCTCCTCTGGGTTAGATACGAATCCATTTTCCGGTGCTTCTTCTAATGAAAATGTGCCACCACCAGTGCAACCAAGTGCATCTGGCAACAATTTGGTTGACCTATTGACTGGAGAGGTCATGCTTTCAGAACACGTTGCTCAGCCAGTGATAGGAAATACTGAGGACAAGGGAGGTGACTTGCTTGATTTCTTGGACCAAGCTATTGTTGAATATCATGGTGCTGAAACTGATCATAAATTCCCTTCATCGCATGATGGAAGGTCTTCAGATAGCAGTTCCCAGAAGTATATTGATTGTTTGAAATCCTGTGCTGGGCCACGTATGGTATGATACTAACTCTTCTGTTATTTCCTTGAACCACTATGCTATATCGTGCTTTATCCTTATAAATTATGTTCAAGGAAGTCCTTTGAAATCCTTCTCTTCAAAAGCATTTAATCAATTTAATTTTTAAAATCTCATATACAATGTTTCCATGTCTTGACTCAATCTCTTTGTTGAGGTTATTGTGTTTCAATGTCAGTATCCGATCACTTTTTTTCATTTGAAATTTATTTCTATCACTTCTGGCTTTACATCCATAATTTTTAAGTCTTTGCATTTGTTGGCAGTATAGATATCAAGTAAGCTTTTTATGACCCTCTGCACCCTTTCTCCATCTCACTCCAATGCCACTTCAGCTAAAGCTTGTAAGCTTGACCACTGTGCATATCTATCTCCAATAGCATTCCAAACCACACCCCTCCCTCACCACTGTCCTCACCAACACCCCCCGCCCCCTTTTTATTCTCCCTCCTCAGGATAACCCTCACTTTTTCCGACTTCATAAATTGCTTCTTAGACCCTTTCACGTTCCAAGTAGCTAAGCCTCTTGAAGTGTGACTTTATATTATTTCAATGCATCGGCCTAGCTTGTTGACCAAAACATCCCTAAAGGTCAAACAAGGTTCCTACTTTGATGGATTAGGTCAGCCCAACCCAGTCTATTGACGACCTCTATTGTTTGCAGGAAAGAAAACTAGACTTCATGGGAGCTATGAAACTTGAAATTGAACGCCTCCGGCTGAACATTTCTGCTGCTGAAAGGGATACAGCTTTATTATCAATAGGAACTGATCCTGCTACTATAAACCCTAATGTTTTACTTGATGAACGATACATGGGAAGATTGTGCAGAGTTGCAAACTCCCTTGCACTGCTTGGACAAGCTTCCTTGGAAGACAAAATTACATCTGCTGTTGCTCTTGAGACTACTGATGATAATGTGATAGATTTCTGGAATATAACTGGATTTGGGGAGTGCTGTTATGGTGGCACGTGTGAGGTGCGTGCTGAAACTAATGCACCTACACGCGCCTCCTTTATGGAATCATCAGCAGGAGTTCCTCCGTCTGTCTTGTTATGTTCCCAATGTGAAAGGAAAGTTTGTAAAGTTTGTTGTGCTGGGAGAGGGGCCCTTCTGGTTGCAGGCTATGGCTCAAGGGAGGCCAATGGTGTGGTAAGTCAGGGGGGATCAAGCCATGGTTTCCAGGTTGATGTATCCACAAATCGTTCAGTAGTGCTGGATAGTGTTATTTGCAAAAGATGCTGCAATGATATTGTGCTTGATGCGTTGATCTTGGACTACGTCAGGGTCTTGATTAGCATGAGGAGAAGTGCCCGTGCAGATTCTGCTGCGCATGAGGCCTTGAACCAGGTGATTGGATTTTCGTTAAAGAATTCTCTTTCTGAAAGGAAGCATTCTTCTGATAGACAGGGAGCTATTAAAGTTCAGCAACAATTACTTGACGGAGAGGAATCCCTAGCTGAGTTTCCGTTCGCCAGCTTTTTACACTCGGTAATGTTTTGGCATATATTACGCTCTTGTTTCAGGCTTCCCACAGCAGATTTGTGTCTTATTGCTATGTCTATGTGCTTTCTGGATTATATATTGTTGTTGTTACCACTGTAGGTTGAAACGGCGACTGATTCAGCACCTTTCTTGTCATTGCTTGCTCCTCTTGATTGTGGACCACGACATTCATACTGGAAAGCTCCTCCTAGTGCCACCTCTGTTGAATTTATTATTGTTCTTGGTAGCCTTTCTGATGTTGGTGGGGTTGTTTGGCTTATTAGTCCATGTGGTTATTCTGAGGCTGATGCTCCCACCGTAAGTTTTCCTCTATACACTCTCTTATCTATTGAAATTTGGTAAATGAAAAGTCATCAGTTTTTGGTATGTTTCCCTTATAGTAGGCTTACTGTGACTTAATAGTGAATAATCCTCTTAAAATAATTTTGAAATGCCAAATGTGTCAGAAATCTTGCTTTGTAGTAGATTGTTGCTTTTGCTCCTAAATTTATTTAGCAACGACAGATTGTTAAATTTTGCAACTTTTTATGCTGCTCCTTCATTGCTTTCTGTACATTCTGTTTTGACTAATTCACTCCTGTTGTTAGTACAGGTTCAGATCTGGGCCAGCAATAAAATACACAAGGAAGAAAGGTCATGCATGGGAAAATGGGATATGCAGTCCCAGATCATGTCTTCCTCTGACTATTATGGACCAGAAAAGTTGGTTAGAGAAGACGAAGTACCTAGGCATGTGAAGTTTGAATTCAGGAATCCAGTTAGATGCCGCATTCTTTGGATAACATTACGTCTTCAGCGAGCTGGTTCTAGTTCTCTTAATTTGGGGAACTTGAATCTGTCGTCTCTTGACGAAAATCCATTTGCAGAAGTAACTCGGCGTGCCTCTTTTGGAGGAGAAGTTGACAGAGACCCCTGTATTCATGCCAGAAGGATACTGGTAGTAGGAAGCCCGGTAAATAAAGAGATGGCAGATACATCAGCACAAGGCTCAGATCAGATGAATTTGAAAGGCTGGCTGGAGAGAGCTCCACCACTAAATAGATTTAGGGTATCATATCATGCTTAGCTGCTTTATTCAATCAAAACTCTTGCTTCCTTATTGAATTTGTATCATGGGCAAATTCATTTTTTGTCATTTTTTGTTCTTCCAGGTTCCGATTGAGGCTGAGAGGCTGTTGGACAATGATATTGTTTTGGAACAATATTTATCTCCTGCTTCACCTTTGCTTGCTGGATTTCGTCTTGATGCTTTTGGTGCAATAAAGCCTCTGGTTACCCATTCACCCTCTTCAAATGCGCATATCTGGGATATGTCAGCAAGACTTGTAGATGAGAGACACATCTCTCCAGCCGTGCTTCATATACAAGTATCTGTTGTCCAGGTACTCACTAGACCTGCTTTATTGTTATGCTATTGGTGAGGGTGAAGGGGGGTTAGGTAGGGTATTTCCATGTGGCTCAATTAGCCCAATGGGTATGAAGACGTTAATATGCACATCCACATCAGTTTAGCGAAATTTGTATCATATATCATATTGGAAAATCAATATTGTATATGATAAGTTTCATTCTGTGATAACTTGGGTGAATTTCAAAGTCCATTTGAACTTATTGGAGACAATAATTATTACAGGAACCCCACAGCTTGTTAACGATTGCAGAATATCGGTTGCCAGAGGCTAAGGCTGGAACACCTATGTACTTTGATTTCCCCCGAGAGATACAAACCCGTAGAATCACATTTAAACTTCTTGGAGATATTACAGCATTTGCAGATGACCCAACAGAACAGGATGATCCCAGTTCTAGAGTTCTACCAGTGGCAGCAGGCTTGTCACTGTCCAATAGAATCAAGTTGTATTACTATGCTGATCCATACGAACTTGGAAAATGGGCAAGCCTTTCAGCAGTTTGAATTATAGTGTTGCTGTAACAGGGAAGGAGGGGGGCAAAGAAAGGGGTTTTGGGTCTTGAGGATTGATTTTTTATCGATTTTGTGGCTGTGTATTCTTCTTCAATTTGTTTTCATTTTTTCCTTGTTGTAATGTTATTATATTAACATTCATTGATGTAATAATATCAGTAGTGTTGTTTATCTTATTCGTTGAGATAAGATCATCGGTAGTGTTAGGGAATCAGAAACACGTCTGTCTCTATTGTGCAAGTCTGGTGAGATTATGTTATGTTGTTCAAAACCATAGTCTTTAGTGTGTATTTGGAGCCAAAGAACCTTGTAAACTGACTTGTTTGGTTGAGCTAATTAGTTGATGGGATTCGATTGTGGCATTTTCTAATGTTTCTCTTTTCTTTTCTTTTTTAATCAAATCTTAAATGTAAGATAAAAAGGTTTCGGATGCAAACGACATTTTAACAGGCGAAGAAGAACAAACTTGTTCATTTCCGTTAGGCCATAAGGGATGAGTGAATTGGTGACACTCAGCGCGGGGCTTCTTCTAGCATTGTCAATCCCAATGCTTTCATGGGTGGATGTCAGTGGGGGTGGCACTGTAGTAGCTGCCCAAGGTCCTCTTGCCCTTGTTCTTCATCTTCACTTTCCGGCCATCGATTTAAGTCTATGACAAGAATCTTGTTTTCAGTTTGCTACCCTATGTATGTTCTGATTAATTATGTTATTATCTGTTCCTATTATAAATTAAGACTGGACGGACACACAATAATTGTGGATGAGATATTCAACAAGAACATATATATAAACAAGAAGAAAAGATGACATATATATATATTTATTGTCTTGTTTGTACACATACAATACAACCAGTGACAGTCGACAGGGAGGGTCACACTTCATTGGTGTTGTTTCATTTATTTAATTACTTTAAAATATAGGGTACTGTCAGGCAAGCTTGCATAGTCTTGCCTAATCAATAATAATATAATTGAAATCAAAGACCACAGAAGTTGTTAACACAAACCCTGTAGTTTTGACCGAGCTGTGAGGCCAGATACTGAAGATGGTTCAATGGCTTATATCGTAAAGGGTGTTGATCATCGATGAGCTCCTCCGGCACACTTATGGTTCCACTGTGAAATGTCGACAGCAACACCGAGTATCTCACTTCCTTGTCGCTCATCATCACTCGATGCACGCAAGGTTTTATTCTGTCATTGCTCCACACCTGGAAGCCATCGCCGGTCATGAATATAAACGAATTAGGCGATACATCAAAAGGAACCCAGTCACCGTTTGCAATCTTCACCTCCAAGCCATTGACATGATTCTGATGAATTATGGTGGTGAGGTTCATGTCGGTGTGCTCAGGAAGCGCCATGTGCTCCTCACCTGCTGCTGCTGCTCCATCATATTTGTGCAGTCGCAGTACATAATCAGTTGCTCCAATATGACTCTCGCACCATTTGTTGTCCACGCCGTAGTGTTCAAATATCATTCTCGTCACAGTCTCATCTAGCCTCACCACCACTTTCGCATACCCATCAGCACTTTCACTACGTATATTATTATTAATTCATTAATTAACTAAACCAAGATTAACATGCATGTAATTAATCCCCTAATTCCAACAACTTACGAGAAGTTAGGGTGATTTCCATTGGGCCAAAAGAGGTTGGCGAAGTTGTGAATTGCTTGAGGGTCTGTTGGATCATCGATCCCCAAGCCTTCATGGACGTCATTAGGGGAATGGTAGCCGCGGAAAGGCTTGTCATAAGTGTTTTGCAGTTTGATTTCTTTTGGGAAACCAAACAGCTCGTCTAAGCTCCCAAAGATTTTGTTGTACTCATCAGCATCAGCATCAGCATCTGACAGTGTTGCTACAAAACAGCCGTACTCTTCCAGTGCCTGGCAGACTTGCGCCCGCGCTTCCACCCAACAACTACTACTACTAGTAGTACTACTTGTATGGTTGATTATCTTGGAAAAATCTACAACCGGAATCTTGGCCTCCTGTGTATTTCTCCCGGTAACACCCATATTTCCTGTACCAGCTGATTGATCGATCAATTTCCCTAATTAAATTTCTCATCACTTTTTGTACTCTTAAGGCCGCGCCCAGACTAGCCACCACATTTGACTTCAATTATTCGATATTTGACTTTTATGCCCAATTCAGCTGCTCAGCGTTGATTATAGACTTGTTTGGGAGAGCTTCTGATAGCGTTTGTTAAAAAAGTCTAGGTCATAGAAGTGGTTCTTAGAAAAGCACCGTACTTTTCGCATGGGCATGTGATGAAGTGAATAAATTATTGTAGGTATTGAAATACAGCTCAATTAAGATTTCTTATTATTAGGATATAATATCAATAAATATCACCTTATATATATATATAACATTATAATTACTCTCATTAAATTGAATTAATGAAGCTAATTGGGGGTCGTTTTGTCTTTTTCTTTTTATTATTATTTTAATTAATGAAGGCCTAATCTATTTTTATATCCAATTGGGCCACGGGCTCATATGATATGCCCGCACGAAAATATTAAGTTTTAGCCAGAGACTAACCCAAATTCATATGGCCTCTTTCTTTGCCAGAGGCCTAATGTGTGTGACCCAAAACATTGTTTGGTCCCCGAACTAGCGGTCTTAAAAGGTTAAAATGAGTGAAATGCCCCTACATACTTTTTTGTAAAGACCAAAAGACCTTAAACGACTCATCTAATCGCACCCGTCCATCACACCACAAAACCCTACTAAACCTCACATCAGTCCACAGCCGTTGATCCTAAAATCCATCAGGGAAGCTCACTATATAAAACGCCAGCCTCTCAGTCCAAACCCTAGCCGAGTCTCTCTCTCACTTCCCCTTGTTTCGTTCGGCAGCTGATCCTCTGCAATGGTGAGTTTCCTGACATGTGCTCTGTTTCCTCCATCCCAAATACACACTCTGTACCTGTTCATTTCGTTCCGTTTGATATCTTAATAGTAATTATTTGATGTACGGCTACTCTGGAATTTGGCTAAATAGGTGCATTTTGCAATCTATGAATGGCGCTGGGCTTTAGTTCATTTTAGCGAATGATATGCGTTTCTTATTTCCTTTTGGTTCAGTTGAATTCTGGGCTTTAATATTTGATTCTTCATTCCATCGCTGTATACAATGGAGACGTATGTTGTGTTTTTCAGTTTCAACTTGTGTATGCATTTTTTATGATTAAATTTATTTTTTTTTTTTTTTTTTACATTTTACTGCATAATTTCTCCTTGTTACCTTTGGTAGGTACTGTTTTTTTCTATCTCAGTCAATTAGATCTGTCTGCATTGTAGAATCATTTACTTAAAAACACTGTGATTTGGGTTGGCAATGACCTGATGTTTATACATTATTTTCAAGGGAATTAAAAAGTTTGTTCAATTATTCGTTGTAGGCCTTCGTCAAAGCTCAAAAGTCCAAGGCCTACTACAAGCGGTTTCAAGTCAAGTACAAGAGAAGGCGAGGTATTTATTTCGTGTTTCATGGTAAATGGTCTTGACATTTTTGTCATATTTTGTGCGCATGATAATTTTATTTTCTATTATTGTCCGCAGAGGGAAAGACTGATTACCGAGCCAGAATTAGGCTCATTAACCAAGACAAAAACAAGTACAACACACCCAAGTATCGGTTTGTTGTGAGATTTGTATCCTGAAAATTGTCTGCCAACTTATGCGCTTTTGGGTCTTGTTTTTCATTTTATATTTGTCTTTTCCAGGTACCTTCTCCAGGTACCGAGTTAAATTTTAAATGGGCATTTGTTTAATTATTGTTTATTGGTGATCTTAATTTTTTTCCATTATCTATGTTTTCAAACTTAACTTGGTTGTTAGACCAACAAGGATATTGTTGCCCAAATTTTATCTGCCAGCATTGCTGGCGATTTGGTTCTTGCTGCAGCCTATGCCCATGAGCTGCCAAGCTATGGACTTGAAGTCGGCCTCACAAACTATGCGGCAGGTATTTGACCATTGTCTTTTACTAGATTAATCCATTCTGGCTCCTTGCTTGAGTTCAGCTTGTGGGGGTAGTAACGGTATATTTTATGATCAGCTTACTGCACTGGCCTTCTCTTGGCTCGTCGTGTCTTGAAGAAGCTTGAGATGGATGATGAATATGAGGGCAATGTTGAGGTAGTATGAATTGATTATCATCATCTCTGTTGCCTTATCTCAAAGGAAATCCCTTCATTTCCCTCTTGCTTATGTGATTGTATTTTTAAAATTTATGTGGTATTCCAGGCTACTGGTGAGGACTATTCTGTAGAGCCAGCTGAGAGCAGAAGGCCATTCCGTGCTCTTCTTGATGTTGGCTTGATTAGGACAACCACTGGAAATCGTGTGTTTGGTGCCTTGAAGGTAAGGTAGCTGATTATGATTTTAGGTTCTGAGCTGTTTTTGTGATGACGAGAATCAAGTTTTTGTTTTTGATTTTTTTTGTCTAAATTTATTATAATGCATGAGGTTTGCATAATTCTGTTGTGTGCATGGTGTGCCCTCTTGCTTATGCTTTTCTGGTGGTACCAAGGGGCTTAATTTTTTTAATAACCAAATACAGGGTGCGTTGGATGGTGGGTTGGATATCCCACACAGTGAGAAGAGATTTGCTGGTTTCTCCAAGGATAGCAAGCAGCTTGACCCTGAGGTGCATCGCAAGTATATCTATGGCGGTCATGTTGCTGCATACATGAGGGTGAGAGTTGAAAGTTCATATCATGCATGCCCATTTCACTTTTCTGGTGAAAAGCATTGATATTTTTGGCTCAAATTCTTAAGTGTTTGTTTTCTAGACCTTGATTGAGAATGAGTTGAGGAAAAGAGTTGAGAAGTCAGGTTATGCATGCCCATTTTACTTTACTGGCCATAGGACATCATAATTGCTTGCTTAAACTTGTATTTGTCTGTTTTTAAGACTTTGATGGAGGATGAGCCCGAGAAATATCAGACTCACTTCAGTGACTATATCAAGAAAGGAATTGAAGCAGATAACATTGAGGCCGTGTACAAGAAAGTTCATGCTGCCATCCGTGCTGATCCTACAGCAAAGAAGATTGAAAAGCAACCTCCCAAAGAACACAAGAGGTAAAAATGGATTTTGTTTAATGTTTCACAGTTATGGATGTGTTTATATGGATCATAGTTTCAGTGCCTGCATGGTATGATCAGCTGATTATGCGTTCAAATTTATTAATCATTTGAAGGATTGAATATTGGAAAGTTGCTTGCCCTTGTTTACTTCAATGGTACTTCAATGGTACAAGTATATACCACCAATACAAAATCATTATAGGTGTTGGTGAGCATTATAGTGTCAAATCATTTTAGTTATTGGTAGGCTAAAGTGTTGAATCATTTTGGATCCTTATTTTTTGTGTTTGAAACTGGTTCTATCACATCCAACCAAATTTGCTTTTTCGGGTAACAGGTACAACCTCAAGAAGCTTACATATGAGGAAAGGAAGAACAAGTTGATTGAGCGATTGAATGCCTTTAACTCAGCTGCTCAAGACCATGACGATGATGAGTGAAAGTATTAATTGGGATTCGAGATCTAGTTTGTTTCCCCTTAGGACATCTTTTTGAACTATCGGCCATAATATCTATATTCTCTTTATATATTTTAGACGTTTGGATAATGTTCTTGTTTGGAGGTTCAAACCAGAAATCCGACTAAAGTTTTGACGATGTTATTTAAGTTTTCGTGTTGGCTTTGCTACCTGGAGTATTATTTTTGTGTTGGTTTGCTTATTTTCAAACAGTGGTTTTCCTAATAGGAAGTATCCATTAGGTTAACGGGAATGAAAAAAATAGGGGAATGAAATTATGATGGGCTCCTAAGGAATGAGTGTAATATATCCCCCAAGGAATAAGCGTAGAACCTATTTTGTAAGGTCAATCGAACTTGCTGGTGGTGGCTGTCTTCTTGAAAGGGGTGCCTCCACTAATTCTATCTAATTTCATTTGTTTTGGATTTCTAATGAAATTACAAGACGAAAAGGTTATGAAGTTCAAGTAAGATGGAATCTGTCTGTAATTTCATTAGAAGGGAATATGATATCCAAATTTTGGCATCAGCATTCAGCAGCAATTGGGACGAATGGCATATGCAATTGATGCGTTTGTAAGTCAGAAATAAATCATCAGCCACCTTAGCTTAGAGACGGTTGGAGGCGAGGAGGAAGGGGGTCCACAACAGGTGAACCTTATCTAGTGCCAGCCAATAGACTTGTATACTAAAAGCTTGAAAATCCAAACAAGTCTACTCGCAACACACGCTCACAATTGGATCTCTTCAAAAATTCGAGTACCCTGACCTGACCTGACCTGAGTGAGCACCCACAGTGAGATAGAGATAGAGATAGAGATACAGAGGCTATGGCTCATTCACTAGCCTCACCACCACCACAACCACCGCCCGCTACCGCAACAACAACTAAGAACATCTCCTGTTTCCAATATTGTGTGGGTTTCCAGAAAGTCAGGGCTTGCTATCATCAAGTATCCGACGGTGCCAATGCCAATGCCCATGCCCGCAATAACAGACTTGTTATCAACAGCCGCAGGTTGGTTGGTTACTATTTGATTCATTATTCTCTCCATTCAATTATGTATATGTATGTGTTTATTATGTGAGGTGAGGACATGAAATGCTGCAACTTGGAAACTTGAAACACACGATGATGGTATGTGTGTGTTTGCAGGAGTTTGGGATTGGGTTTGGCTGGTGCACTTATCAGCTTCAATGTGAGTGACCCAAGTCCGATTGCAAATGCGGCAGCCAGACGGCCTCCACCGCCTCCAGCAGAGGAGAAGGAGAAAAAGGACCCCAATGTGAGTGGAGTTTTAGCCAAAGTACTGGCCAGCAAAAAGAGGAAGGAAGCCATGAAAGAATCCGTGGCAAAGCTAAGAGACAAGGGGAAGCTCATTGAACAACCATCCCAATCCCAACCCTAGTTTCTTTCTTTCTCTCTCTTCTTTTTCAAGGACCGAAGGAATGCAGAAGAGGGTTTTGTCCCTTCATTGTTGTGTATGCTCTTCCAGTATTATTATTGGACAGGCTTTCATTCGCATTTTTGTCTTGTCTTGTTAGTGCCACTGCCAGCCAAACCAACTTGTTGCTGCTGCTGGTAAATGACATATCATATGTAATCTAATCAGGGTCTTTTTCATTCATCAAATTGGATCATCTTCTTAAAAACCATCTCCAATACATTTGTTTATTGGCCAGTTGTAGTTGACAAGACTTTCCAAACTTGAAAAATTAAAAGATGGATGGTTCACCTTCAGAATTCCCCAAGCAAATTCAACACTAGTCTAGTTCCAATTTCCACAGAGAGAGAGAGAGAGAGAGAGAAGAGTTTTGAAATTCCACAAAATACGACTGAATATGCAAACCGACATCTCTGCAAAATCCATCTTAACTTAACAATGGTGCTTTCTTTCATTGTCTGCTTCAACTGAGGACCACTTTTCTCTGTTTGTTCAAATAGAACTTACTGCTTTTAATTCAAAACCTTCATCCACTAAGATTACTTCTTTTTCCTTTTTCTCTCTGGCACAAGTTTGAAGCATACGACTCAAATGGTTCCGTTGTTTCGGGAGACAAATCAAAGGAGGTCTTTGATTAAATTTTGTTCTCATCTTCTGTGACTTACCAAGTTACCATGATAAAGCTTTCTGGCGTCTTTGTGGGAGGATTTCTCTCTAAGCAAGCTATCATTCACCATTAGATCTCAATTTATCGTACTAATTCTGTGTATGTAGCTACGTTTTTGGTTGTTAAATTCAAGTTTTAGCTTGAGTCACGCAGGAATATAATACTCAGAGCATTCTTCTAGCAATTATTTGTTTTCATTCTTTTGCAATTCTTCAGAAACTGTCCTTTTGTCTTCCAAGAATTTGCAAGGATAATGACATGCTCATCTGATCTCACATTGCAGCTCTCTCCATGGGAAATCTCAAATCTAAAACATCAAATATCTCTTTGATGTACAATACATTTTCTCATTCCACCCAATATCTCTTTTGATTTGTTAAGCAACGGCCCACATTGGGTGTTTGGGTATCAAGAAAGAAAACACCTGGACACGTCTTCATTTCAGTCTAAAACATCAAGGATAAGAAGGTCTTTTTGCCATGGTAAAAGGACTATAACTATCGGGACCCGCCTTGGGCCATTCATAAGGCCGACTCCGTGGCCTCATTCTACTATCTATTGTGGTTTTCCAATCTAGGCCGAGGGGCTAGGTTTCTTCAGTCAATCAGGGCCCAAGGATAAGATTTCTCCAGAAATTCAAGGCTCGAGTTTATGATTTGCTAGAGAAAATTTTGCTTCTGTCTTGTTCTAGGAATTCATTTTTACATTCGCAACTATGTCGACGATGCTAGCTTCCTGAGAATTACGACACAGTTTGGGTTTAGGGCTTTTCGATGGCTAAGGAGAACGAATCGGCTTCGCAGGCCACCGTCAATGGAGACAATACACTCACGAGATCTACGATGTCGTCCATCGGGGTGAGCGTCGTTACCCTATCTTTTTGTTCGCACATTTTTCCTGTATTAATTCTAGGGTTTTTTTATTTAGATAGGAAGAGGATGCGTTTTGCTTAGGGAAACACATGGAGAATGTACGAGATATCGATGGTGCCGTCCGAGGGTTCCTCATTCTTGGCGTGATGATAGACTTGTGTTAATAATGGTGAGCATTTTTGCCCTATTCCTCTGTTCGCACCTTTTTCTTGTATTAATTCTAGGGTTCCTTTGCATGATAGAAGAACGCTTAGGGTTTCACTACACGTTGTGATACCTGATTGGCTTTAAATCTAATAGTTGTAGAAATAATAGCATTTAAACAATAAATGAAGTTTATGGAGTGGAGTCGAATTAGGGTCCATCAGATGCATTTTTTAAAGATTTGGGATCACAGAGAGCAGAGAGCGTTATTCTGATCACCAACTTCGTATCCTCCCTTATTTTGAGGACAAGAAATTGGTGGTGAAAAGGGAGAGCATAAATGAGTTTTCCTTTTCTATTTTTCTGTTTATATTTCCAACTTTATCTCGATCGAGAGTGAAAAAAATGGGGAAAAAATAGAAAAACCATTTTTACATTATCTACATCTCAAGTATAGTTAAATTTCTGCTGAATCCAAATTTAAGTTTCTTTGAGGTCATTGTACAAACTATGTATTTTTTAAAGAGGTTTTGATTTTGCATTTTCTCTTGTAACTTGTGTTTGAAAAAACGTATGAATCTGGAAGTTTCAAGGATCCTTTATTGCGAAGGATGCTCCAAGAAATTTCTCATACAGGCACGTTTATTTTATACTACCACCATTTGTTCCTGTTTCTTTACAATTTGTAGAATGATCTTATGTCTGCTCTTTAAGTGAGCTGCCCTTTAAGCCTTATGATAGTTTCTTATGTCGTAAACTTTAAAGCATAACAAGATGTGGTACTTCTGTAGAATTTTTGTGACAAGCCCGTGGGAAGGAAAAGAGAAGCCTTAGTAAAAGGACCTTCATCCTTCCATTCATATTTTTCCTCTCTCACTCACACACACACATGCAGACAGTGACATTTCAATACATATAGGACTTTGTAAAAATATTCAATTTATCATTTAAGATTAAATCATACCATTATTTATATAGGATATTATTAACCCTGCTTCCCTTAAGCATTTCATTCAACTTCCTAGAGTTTGTTAGGGGCAACTGAAGAACCTTTTGGGTTTGAGTTATTCAAATAGATCCTATCTTATGTGGTGCCAATGGGTAACCCATAGCCTGTCCCTACCTGCTTTACAAGTGGCGCCACAACACAGGGACAAGTATGATTTCTTTGCATTGCAGGCTCCAAAATATAGCAAGGAATTCTTCATGGGGTCTTGGACACACCCAATCTGCAATCTGGGTTTGATACTTTTAACTTTCTCCTATCACAAATTATGTTAAACCTTCTATATGATAGAATTTTACCACTCATCTTTAGGGCTGTAGTACTAAATGGACAATGCTGACTTTCATGATTTGCTGAGATCTGTATCTGTGGTCTTCTTCTTTTGTGTGTCCATGTGTGAATGCTCAAACGTCCGGTTTCATATGTGACGCACATCAAACCTTAGTTGATTGCATAACATGAATTTATAGTAATAAATTTTATTAATTTCCAAACATGATTTTGATAAGTCATGGGTGATGAGAAGACTGTCTTTTGCAGCACTGGATTAATTCTTAATGATGTCAAAATACTGTTTTCTAACTAACTGAGGGTTATCAGTTTTCCTTTACTATTTGCCCTTTTTTAACATCTTTAGATTGTAAACTGACTGTCATTGCAGGGATATGTGAGTTGCAGAATCATGGTCATATTCTCATCAGTGGAACATTAGTATGTTGCAGTATATTCCTCAGTTTGATGTCAAATTTCTTCAAATAGAATTAAAGGTTTTATAAAAACTGACATTTTTTTAAGTAGGGGGTTAAATTTTGGCTATTTTTTTTATATAATCTCCTCCAAAGGAGATGTCAAATCAGCAGAAAAAATAATAGAAAACCCACTCAACCAAATAGCTTTAAGCCCACATGGATTGGCGTTCTTGTTCAAAAAGTAAAAAATGACGCCCGATGCTTTACATGTCTTTTTCGTACTTTACGTAATCTCATGGGTTGTTTTATGGCCATAAAAGCCCATCCTTGTATTTGACCCCAAAAGAAAAAAAAGAGACGGAGAGAGAGACTGTGGATTAACTAGGCATGGGCGAAGAAAACTGTTAAAAAATGGGTTTTACCAATCGTGAATAGCTTTGGACTCACTGATCTGACGAAAGAGACAGAGAATTGGGCCACGGTATGAGCTATAAACGTACGAATAAGACCACCTAACAGCCCATGAACAACAAAATTGGGCCAATTAATGAGCCATGAATGATCAAAAAGGCCCACTGGAAAACCCATACAAAGTAAACATGCCCAATGAACGGCCGATAAACTAAAAACGGGCCCCACGAATGGTCACTAAACGACAAAGTAGTCCCAATGTAGGGCCACCGAACGACAAAGTAAGCCCAAAGAAGAGTCACTAGAAGACGAAACAGGCCTTGTATAGCACTAAACGACAAAATATAGGCCCAATGAAGGCAAATAAATGACAAGAGGCCCAATAAGTGGCCACTAAACGACAAAAATAGGCCCAATGAAAGACCGCTAAAAGACAAAATAAGCACCAATAAAGTATGACTAAACGACAAAATTTGGAAATACAAAGGACCGCTAAAAGACAAAACAGGCCCAATGATGGCCACTAAACGACAAATTTTGGCCCACTGAAGCACTGCTAAAAGACAAAATAGGCCCATTAACAAGCTCGAAAACGACAAAATGGTCATGGGCCTTTGTTGGGCCTATTTTGTCGTTTATTGTCCCTCTGGGCCTATTTTGTCTTTTAGTGGTCCTTCATTGGGCTAGATTTTGTCGTTTAGTGTACCTCATTGGGCCTATTTTGTCGTTTAGTAACCCATTTATGGGCCTATTTTGTCTTTTAGCGGCCCGTAAAATGGTCTAGTTTTTGTCGTTTAGTGGACCTCATGGGCTATGTTTTGTCGTTTAGTGTACTTCATTGGGCCTATTTTGTCTTTTAGCGGCCCGTAAAATGGTCTAGTTTTTGTCGTTTAGTGGAACTCATTGGGCTATGTTTTGTCGTTTAGTGTACTTCAGTGGGCCTATTTTGTCGTTTAGTGCTCCATTTTGGGCCCGTCTTTTAGCGGCCCTTAAAATGGTCTAGTTTTTGTCGTTTAGTGGACCTCATTGGGCCTATTTTGTCTTGTAGTGCACCTTCCTTGGGCTTATTTTGCCGTTTAGTGCTCCATTTTCTGGGCCTATTTTGTCTTTTAGCGGTCCTTAAATGGTTTTGTTTTTGTCCTTTAGTGCACCTCATTGGGCCTATTTTGTCGTTTAGTGTTCCATTTCTGGGCCTATTTTGTCTTTTAGCGGCCCGTAAAATGGTCTAGTTTTTGTCGTTTAGTGGATGTCATGGCTATTTTGTCTTTAAGTGTGCCTTCCTTGGGCCTATTTTGTCTTTTAGTGGCGCTTCATTGGGCTTTTTTGTCGTTTAGTTGCCGTCATGGCCCATTTTGTCTTTTAGTGATTCTTTTTTGGGCCAAATTTTATCGCTTAGTAGCCTATTTTGTTTTTAGTGTGCCTTCGTGGGGCCATTTTTGTCGTTTAGTAGCCTTTATTGGGCTTCTTTGTCCTTTTTTGCCTTCATTGGGCCTATTTTGTCGTTTTGTGATTTACATGGCTTGTTTAGTCATCTAGTGACTCTTCTTTAGGATTACTTTGTCATTCAGTGGCCCTTCATTGGGACTACTTTATCGTTTAGTGGCCATTCGTCGGGCCCATTTTGTAGTTTACTGGCCCTACATTCGGCCTATTTACCTTGTATGGGTTTTCCAGTGGGCCTTTTTGATCGTTTATGGCTCATTCATTGGCCCAATTTTGTCTTTCATGGGGCTTCAGGTGTCCTATTTGGACGTTGATAATAAACCTTAAACTTGACGACGCCCAATTCAGTATTGCTGGTCGGAATTATATCCAAGTAATAACTACAATCCGCAGCACTCAAATAAAAGAATTGATATTATACAGACCTGTTTTGATTGAAATTAGATCAAATTAGTCAAAAAAACAAAAGGGAAATTTGAGGCGAACCTGGGAGAAAAAAAACAGTTAAACAATTAATAAAATAATATCAAGACTCAAAAGTTGAGACAAAATTAAACAATTAGAATCATCAGAAATAATAACAATTGGAATAAAGACTGAAATAAACCAGATGGTCAGTGTGCAAAATAATAAGTTGAACCGAAGCAGAACTACTGAATGTGCAAGTGTACGACACAACAAACATAAGAAAGTCGCACTAACGAACTAACTGACAAAAAAAAAAATCATTGCACGTCTCTAGAAGAAACATCAATCCTAAAAAATTACCTACAAAATAAAAAGCTGGCATTTCAGGAACGATAATGTTTTTAAAATGTGGACAAACTTGAAAGGTAGTTATATAAAAGCATATCAAAAAAACCATTGAAAAAAAAAATTTTAAGTTAAAATGCAACAAGTGGGAATGATAGGAAGAACAGTTTGTTATGTCAATAACAAAAAAGAACATAGAACAACAGGTTCTTTTATTTAAAATGCAAGATGCTGCAACTCATAGGAAGAACGTTTGGTGTGGGCTAACCACTGAATTCGCAAACCAGAACACAACATCCTGAAGAAACATTTTAAAATACTCTATTACTACATTTGTACATTCATAACTTCATTTTAAACACCATTTTACTACCAAAAAGAATACCTGCCAATACACGGAAAACAATTAAAACAGAAATTATATATGTTTTATATCTTCCAGCTTGTACACAATCCAAAGGTATTGTCAATAGATAACAAAATGTGAATGATAAACAGCTACAATGAGAAATTATATCAAATTAAGATTGATATGTACCAACTACAACTAGGAAATATAACAGAACACCAGAGAGAGATAGAGTGAACAGACTTCTAAATTTATAACTGCCAATCTATCCTCGGTATATGTTTGACAATGTGGGCAGATAAATTTTAGTTCTACGAAATTTACTGCTTCAAATTTTATTTCCATGGTAATAACCTATAAACATTGCTTGGGTGCATAGATGCAAAAGCAAATACTGAGAACTTCTCAGACTCCTTGCATTCTCATCCTAACTTGAAAAGTTGAGAAGGGGAGAGTCTAATTAAAACACTCAGATTACTGACATTGCCTAGAACATTGTGTGCGACAATATTTGAATAATGCACTAACCCATTTATGATTTTTTACGTTCTAATGTCTTCCAACTCATGTTACATTGAAAGTTAGAGAAACACCATCATCCGATGTTCTCTTTTTGTCAGAACATCAAGTTGCCGAACAGTCTAGTTATGCATGGTTATTAGACCATTCGATATTGCTACAAATGATTACTTTTAAATTCACCACGCCACCGTGTATCACTGATGTAATGTCACAATGTTCCCGATTTCACATGTAAGATACCGTCCCCCACTACCTCATATCAGAATACATCATTCAACAAAAATTTGCTATTTCAAAGCGCTCCCATAATGTGTGTCAATTATGTTTGTCAGATATATCGTTCAAGTTTTCAACAATACTATGCTATTGTCTCTGGAAACTTATTTTTGTTCATTTTGTTTCCATTTAAAAACAAAAAATGAAATTTTACAAAAGAAAGACATAAATCCACATGCTTGAATGAGTAAGGAGTAAAACCTTAAAGATATGGAAGGCCCGCTGCCAGTGCCTCTATCAGTCCACATCGCACCCTATCGCATCTTGAGCAAGCAGACAGGAAGTGTACCTGGAATGGAAGCAAACAGCGAACGCATTAATGCATTGAATTAAAGACCGACCTACTAATTAATTCCTCAGGCATGTCGCTCTATCAAATAAAAAACAATTATCTCAGTAAACCCTAAATTTCAAAATCAACTTTGACGGGTCCTGGAAACCGCATACCTAGCCCCATCAGATCTCTGGTCTTGGTGTTAATTACTACGCGATTTCAACGGTGAGCTCTTGAACGGATCCGATCGTGGATCAATGGCGGTCATCGAGGCGTTAAACCTCGAAAAACAAGAATCGCATTGGAGGAGCTTCTCTTCATGCCCCGTCGTCTCTCTCTTTCTTCACGCTCATGTCTCTGATCTACAGCGAAGGCTCCGATCACAGAGAAAATGCCATTGTTAGGGTTTCCAGACCTTCTGTGTGTTTCACATCTCTAATTTTCACAGATCTGCTCTCACTCGCGTTTGGGACTCTGAGGGCCCGAGGGTTAAGGTTTTATCATTTGCGAGATCAGGCGCCTTTTTGGATAAGAAGGTTTTCTTCTTCATACGATGTCGTTTCCTTTTGTATTATAATTTAGAATTTATAGAGTAGTGGACTGGACTGGTTTGCTTAATTGCCTCGACCCTGGACTTGGCCGCGTGTCCTCACTTTCAATTCGCATTGGCCCATCCCTTCTTCTTCTTTTTTTAAGAAATTGGCCCATCCTCTTGTATTAGTCCAGAAAATGTCTGCCCACTCGGTTAAATGTCTGTATACATTCCTTACTTGCAACAAAATAAAATGTAATGGATTTGAAATACTTGCAATGACAACCCTTTCTTGTTATTTTCTCGAACCAAATTGTTTGCCCACTCTATCAAATGTGAATTCATTTTGGCTGCCTCAGTTTGACGTTCATGGAATCACTTTTGAAGTATATTCATTCTTAAATACTCCATAAAATTGGTAATAGCTAGTTTACGAGCATCTTTGGTGATTGAGTTGAGACATTCGGCAATATTTATTGTCATTAGGTTGTACCGCTTCCTATTAAAGTGTGCACGAGCCCACTTTTCATATCCAGCGGCATAAGATAATCACCCACTTTATAATCAACATTAAATATTTGCACCATAAGATGATCAAATTCATGAACAAGACATGCATCAACACACCAACTTCAAATCTTTCTTTATTGGATCTCTTCACTTTGAACTCATAATTTTTCGTCATAGCATCAATACCCAACTTTATGATTATATCCTCCTTAGTCTCATGCCCTTGACCTACATTTATATCTGCACTTACGTTGCATAGCTATGTCATGTCTGATCCATTTACATAATTTTTATCCTTGTTCCAAGCATTTGGTTTGTTGGGGTTGGGTTCATCAGAGTGCACATTGATAGCTGGAACATCATCACATCCCATGTTTTCACGAGGCAAGTCATTGAATTCAACATTATCTTGGAACATATTATCAACCTCTACATGTAGCATATCCTCAAATTGCATGCTCTCACAAGCAACTCATCTAGCTGTGTTGTAGTGTTTTCCACTTCATATTATGAGTCCTCAATTTCTGCATTTCCCAAGTCATTTTCTGAATCATGCTATTGATCATTATCTTCTAAATCATCTTGAGTACCCAAATTGAGGTCTATTGTCATTGGTTGATTGCTTCCACTTCCATAAGAAAATATTTTACGCTTCAATGTAATGCACAATGAAATCTTGTAAATCCTTGAAAGACTTTGAAAAATAAAAGCTCTCATATCATCATCATGAACTATTTCTGCAGGCCATGTACTTTTCATTGCATCGTATGACTTTCATATTTATCTCATACTCATTTTGATCCACATTTACAATGTCATATACCTTATTCTAAAGCTATTCTATCATAATTTTATCCGAAACAAGTAGTCCTTTAGTTTTGCAATTTTTATACATTGAGTCAACCCACTTCCTATTGTAGTTAATCAAAATGGTCAAATTAGACATTATCCTGAAAGGTAAGCCAACATAATAAATAATACATTACACATTGAGAAAACAATGTCCATACCCTAATATATATTTGTTTTGTCAGAATAGCAAATATATATATGATTTATCTATGATGATATCAAATATCAATTGTGCATTAATGTTATTCAGTAAGTTAGAATGTAAGAGTATTAATTAATCAACCACAACATTAGTAAATGACTCATTTTTATATTTTCCAGTTACAAACAAAAAGAAGTACAAATAAGACCATAAAAGTTATTGGTCTACACAAGTGCAATACAAATAAGACTACAAATGTGGAGAACCAAAAGTAAACGTAGTTGACTAAATAGAGTTATGTATTTGATCTATAATATAGTCTATGTAAAAGCTTTTACACTATTATCCATGAGATCAGTCCCAAGTTTGTATAGTGTTCAAACTTCTACTATAATAGGCTTACTTCTTCCTAAATTTCTTAGTTTTTGTTTAAATTTTAAAATTTGTGGAACTTTCATGACATAACAAGTTTTGAGATCGAGAAGAGAGAATAGAAAGTAGAACCCACTCCTCCCCCCTCCCCCCAAAACACTATCACACCATCAAAATACACCTAAACTGATGAATATTTCAATTTATTGTTCCTACCAAGCCAAAGAAATGAAGAAACAATTAAAAGAAAGAAGTAACTACACGAGTAAGCACAAAATATGCAGAAAGAAAATGATGAACATCATTCGCCAATAGTTCGACCAAGGCTACAGACGTGCATGTGATTCCAAACTTTGTGTAGTAGGGTTTTGCTTTTTAGATTTATGTGGGTTTTAATTTTTAAGAGCATTTGTGTCTATCTAGGTGAGTTTTTTGCAATATTTGAAAGATTTTATAAAAACTGACATTTTTGAAAATGAGAGGTATATTTTGCCTTTTTTTATTATATAAAAACTCTATTTTATTCGTATTTTTCACCAACTTCTCACGCTCTTATCACGTGTGTTTAAGTAATATCAATCAAGCACACGTACCAAACCAACAACACAGACAGAACACAAGTGACAGAACAAGAAGCCGAAGAAGAAGAAGAAGATGATGCCCAGATGCTCTGTTCAATCGAATGATGTTCAGCTCTTCCAGAGCTTAACTGGGCTTCAACAGCTTGCCGAAACCCACCGTTTCAAGGTTCGCACTTCGCATTACCACCCAATTTCGCTTTCTTAGGAACATTTATTTAATTAAGAGAAGAAAATAAAAAGACAAGAATTTTCACTAGAAAGAGAAAGAAGCTGGGTCGTTAGTCCAATCTCTCTGGTTTCATTTACTCTGATTATTCGTTTTTCTTTAAAAATTCAGATTTTCAAAGAAAACGAGTCTGAAAACCTTTTGTCCTAGTTTGATCGAAGTCTTATACATAATTAAGCTGCCTGACTTAATGTAGTTTCAAGATGATTGCTTTATGAACTCGAACTGACTTCATAAGCTTTCTAAATCTTCAAATTACACATATTCATATGTCTGGTGATGTTTGTGGTGCAGGCCTGGTTCTTAGATCAGTTTGGAGTCCTCCATGACGGGAAGCAGCCTTATCCTGGTGCAATCACAACAAGTACGTTTTCAACTGTTAGTTTAGGCATTTGGGTAAGCTTTTGTTTTAGTTGATACCCCATAAGTCTTTCTATTTTCAATTAGCAATGCGGCGGTGCTTATTTCTATAACCTTGTTCTTGTTTAACAGTAAAAAACCTAGCAAGTAGTGGTGCAAAAATGGTAATTATAAGTAATTCCTCAAGACGCTCGTCTACAACCATGGAGAAATTGAGAAGCCTTGGGTTTGATCCTTCTCTATTTGTCGGAGCCATCACGAGTGGAGAATTAACACATCAGAACTTGCAAAGGTTGGGCACCATGTATTCTTTGAAAAATGTTAAAATCATCTGAGGTTAGATTTTGCATTCGGTTTTCTTCCTCCGATGATGGACAGGCCAGACTAGTTTACAGTTTGCCTTTGATGTAATATTATCAACTTAATATCTGCCAGTTTCTCTGCTTAAAACTGTTTGACTAGCATGTAGGTATTCCAAAAATATGGTAACAATAGTGCTGATTTGCATTGATATCACCATGAACTGTTTCATTTCTGAAGTTTAAGCTCAGTATCATCAAAGTGAACCTTTTTTTTTTCCTTCCAAATTTCCTATATGCGAAAGAGTCCAACTTTTGGGATTAGAAGTTTATGAAACTGATGTTTCTAAAATTGTTTCTAAATTTGTACTGCCTCTACTTTATATGTTAAATTGTGGAGCCATGGTTATGCAGATTTTCATGATAAAAATATTAGTTCGAACATTTTGTTTAAAATGTTATTTTGCATAACTGTTAGTCTCTCATCATTTACTTATTTCTATGCCACCTCTATCTGCTTTTCGGTTTATTGATTTTTTTTGTATTCAATCTTTCTGTCTAGCCTTTCTCTTTTATAGCAATATGCTCTACATGCCTCTATTGAACAGAGAAGTGGAATGCTATGTGTTCCAAGAACACTTTGTTTTTTTTTATCTTATTGATGTATCTACTAGGATTCTTGTAACTTCTACTGTATGTTGTTATGAAAAAGGAGAGATGATGCTTGGTTTGCAGCACTGGGAAAATCTTGCATTCATATGACTTGGAGTGCTCGTGGTGCCATATCTCTTGAGGTACAGCCATTGTTAACTTTAGAGACCCTTTTTCTCCATTCCTCCAGTTAATCCCACTATCTTGAAGGAGTATCTGGGGACTCTCTTTCTCCCTTGCCTCCTCCCCTAGCTCATTAAGATCCTATTTGAATGTTGAGGCGTAGTGACTTTACTTTTCAGAAAGGCAGGGGAAGATCATCATTAAGGTCATTGGTTTTAAGAAAGAAATCCCTTACAGGCAAATATGATTTGTAGAAAATTCAAGCTTGAAATAATTTTTTCCTTTTACTTATTTTCTTATGTTATTTGATCCAGTTTTAACTGTAAAAACTGGCTTTATCAATCTCTTGTAGGGCCTGGGATTACAAGTTGTGGAGAATGTTCAGGATGCTGAATTTATTTTGGTCCATGGTACCGAAGCCTTAGGGCTTCCTTCTGGTGATGCGCTTCCCATGAAACTTGAGGAACTGGAAAGTATATTGGAACTATGTGCTGCTAAACACATCCCTATGGTGGTAGCCAATCCAGATTTTGTGACTGTTGAGGCTAGAGCCTTGCGTGTAATGCCTGGTAAAACTTCTATTTTTGCTAAACACAACACCCATATATATGGATATTTTCACAATATTTAGAATGGCATATATGACTTACTAGGCTGGTCTTATATTTCCCTAAAGGCAAAAGCAAGATCATGTGAAACTTAATCAATTAACTTTGAACTCGGATCAAATGATTTTATTACTGTTGTGTTACACATGATGTTAATTCTAATATTGTTTGCTTACATGTGCCTCATGTAAATAAATTTCCTATTAGGGACTCTGGCTGCCAGGTATGAAAAGCTGGGGGGTGAAGTGAAATGGATGGGCAAGCCTGATAAGGTGATCTAATGACATTGCTCTCTGGTTACCGTTGTCAACATCATTATATGAATAACTTTACCCTTAATATATATTGCTTTACAAACTAGACTCGCATTCTTGCTCTAGGTTGCATTGCATCCAAGTATGTAAATATGCTCAAGATACTGAGCTTGCGATCTATAACCCTTGTATAAATTTTTTACATATATATATATATATATATATATATATATATATGGTGCTCCCTAGCATAAAATTTTCCATTCACCGCTGCTTGCAATGCACAGTTTCTCATATTGTAGTTTCCTAAGCTTGTGGAAGCTTTATTATTTTTGCATTTTTGCTTATCATGCAAGTAAGGTGCATTGAGTTATTTATTGGTTTTAATATGTTACAGAGTTAGCAAAGTTTTAGACTGACCAGTTTACACCTTTGTGGCATTTTACACAGGTCATCTACAAATCAGCAATGGCGTTAGCTGGTGTAGACCCTGTTGATTCTATAGCAGTGGGTGATTCTCTTCACCATGACATTAAGGGTGCAAATGCAGCTGTAATCCAATCAGTTTTTATCACAGCTGGGATCCATGCAACTGAACTTGGACTCAGTAGTTTTGGAGACGTTGTGGATATATCTTCTGTGCAAGCTCTTGCTTCCAAATACGATGCTTACCCATCATACGTGTTACCTGCATTTACATGGTAGAATAGAATCGCGTTGTAAAGATTTGCTTTCTTCCAACAACTGCAGGGAAGATGACTAGTTATTATTTGGAATTGGAGAAAACTTATATTTTAGCTACCATTGTTTGAGACCTTATACCATTGGAGTTTGTAATCTGGCTTTAACGAATGAATGAAGATCAATTAGGAGTTTACCCTCTTAAACCGATTCTGAAAGTATTCAGCAGTTCCATTCAGCTTTATGTTTCAAGAGATTTTCCAAATGCAATGAACCAAACGCGAATCTTTCGATTCATTTGGATATCTCATGCTCAGTATGGATCATCTTTCAATTGATTTTCAGGTTATAATTTCCAAAGGAAAAAGAAAATAAGATTTATTATTATTATTGAGGTTAACTTGTGGTTTGGTGGTAGTAACAAGGAGAACAACACATAATATAGTGGAAAGTGTTAGGTGCATATGTTGATGCATTGATAATAGAGAGGAAAATAAGCAAATTTGTTTGTAAATAAGGAAAGGACTTGTTCATTGGATAATCTTGTCTGTCTAGATATTTATACAAGAACTGATAACTAATTTGTAAGAGAAGACAATCTTTAGTAGCTGAGCTGAGCTAGGCTCCCTCCTCCTACATCGATCTCTTATTACAACAAAACACAACAGAACAGAACAGATTAAGGGAATCAGGATAGTGGTGGTGGCTAGTGGTTTGGGGTGGTGATAGGATAGGATAGGAATCGGGATAGAAAGACATGTTTGATAAATCTTCTTGTTTGTTTGTTTGATTGATCGATATTCAACAAAATTCACAAACGCACGCAATAACACGAGCATTGTGTTTTTCGGGTCTACATTGAGCATGGCTTCCCCCAACTTGCCGGCATCTTTCAAAACAGTCTGTGACTCTGTGTCTGTCTTAGTGGCGCCGCAAAAGCCATTAAACATCATAGCTGGACATGCACGAGGGTACCTGGGTTCTTGTATAACAAGTTAACAACAACATATCATTAGATATTATATTAATTTCAACATCATCGTCAGTTTCCGAATAATCAATCATCTTTAGTAAGTATAACTAAGTAGTCGTCGAATTTCCTTGTATTTTTTGTTTTGTTTTGTTCAAACAAAAACTAAACAAGTACAGAATTTGGAGTAGTATATATAGCATGCATAATGCATTGCCGAGACAAGACTCAATACAGGATTAAAAAGCAAAGCTATCGGTACCAAGCAAGGAAAACCGAACCAAAACCAACCCAGCAGAAGCAGACTACGAATATTCCAGGAGGAAGAGGAAGAGGAAGACTATGAATATAAACCAAGAAATTCCGCCGCTAGCGCTAAACCCTATAATCAAAATATAAAAAACTTGTCGAATTGGGATGATGAATAAGTGGTTGGTGCTTGCTTGCTTCATCGATTGATGATTTGGTTTTTCTTGTATTGTAATCCTTCCTTACTTTCTTTGGGTTTGATTTCAGGAGTTTTTTCTTCATTAATTATTGGTAATTGGGCTTAGGGTGGGTTGATATAGGGATGTGGTGTGGCGCCGAAAAACCAAACTCAGACAGACAGTTTGTAAAACGAAAAGGAAATGGTGGCACCAAAGCAAGGCACGTCAGACCTATCTATCAAGAATGAATACAAGCAAGTAGGCCCCCCTAATTGGCAATGGCCGAAAGACCAAAACGAAATGAGGCACAAGCGCAAGCGACAAGGCCCAAAGAAAGAAAGAAAGAGACGTAACGGCCAGCCACAACGCCCACAACTGATGAGTTGCTTCTTTAATTAATACAAATGAATGCTTTTATTTCTCAAGGATGAGGTAAATTTATTGCTCAAAAGAATGACAATGGGGACAAACAGTCTGACCCCTAAACATAGAATCTTCTAAGAGAGCAGTGTCCTCAATAAAATCAGGGGCACTTCAAATCATACTGAATTCATAGATATCAGCCCACATTTTTTTTTTCAGAAAGAATAAGTTTTTAAATCATTTATTAATCTTCAAGGTCGAGGACGTTATTTTTCTTCATATTTACATATAAAATGCAAATTATGTTTCTAGTTACAAGTTAACAAATGTATGTACGATAAGCAAGCACATCGAATTCCAATTATTGTCCTTCATATTTACATGGAAAATGCATTAAGATGGTAATTATCCTAATTAGGCGAAAACATCAAAATCAAATTCATAAATTCATAAATTCACAAAAGAAAAAAAGAAAAAACAAAGAAAGAAGAAAAGAAAAGGGAGTGGCGTAGACATGCTAATTTTGTTGCAGAAATTGAATAAAATGGAAAATAGAAGTTTCGTTAGATCTGTTTGACAAATTGACACCGACCAAAATGGCACAAAATAAATAAACAGAAACACAACACAATCTGAAACTAAATATATACGAAGCTCACCAATAAAAACCCATTATTAAATCAATTCCACAGGTCAAGTTCCATAACCAGAATCAATTTTATTATACTCTCTCCTCTATAATCATCAACCATACAAACAACAAACACTTTCTTTCTTTCTTCCTTAGCTTATTAGGGCTGAGCCTGAGAGCTTCTCACTGCCATTACTACAAAATCAACAAACAAACAAACAATCGATATCGTATCGATCAAACTGAAAATGGAGGCAAGAGGTTCGGCAGCTCAATCGGCCGACACCGTCATGTCAGAGGCGGCCCCACCACCGGCACAAGCCGACTCTACCCACCCACAGCAACAGCCTCCACCACCGCATCCGGTCATGCCCGGAGTCGAGAGCATTCCTGCCACGCTGAGCCACGGTGGCCGATTCATTCAGTACAACATCTTCGGCAACGTCTTCGAGGTCACCGCCAAGTACAAGCCCCCTATCATGCCCATCGGTAAAGGCGCATACGGCATCGTTTGGTCTGTCTCTCTCTGTTCATTCTTCCATTTCCATTTCCTTTTCTTTTTCTGTTTCTGTTTCTTTCTCTTCGCGTTATTTGTGTTCTATTTAAAATGAAAAATGAAAAATGAAAACGAAAGATTCATCATTTGGGGGAATTTGATCGTATAACTTACTAATCTTGAAAATTAACAAAAACATATACAGTTCTGCTTTGAATTCGGAGACGAACGAGCACGTTGCGATAAAGAAGATTGCAAATGCGTTCGACAACAAGATCGATGCGAAGAGGACTCTGAGAGAGATCAAGCTGCTGCGGCATATGGATCATGAAAATGTTGTTGCAATTAGGGATATAATCCCTCCACCGCGGAGGGACCAATTTAATGATGTTTACATCGCATACGAGCTAATGGACACTGACCTCCATCAAATCATTCGATCCAATCAAGCACTCTCCGAGGAGCACTGTCAGGTTCTGCTTCTTCTTCTTCTCCTCTTAATATGAATATCAATTACCTAATGCCAAGTCTGTAAATAAGGTTTTAGTTGAGACAAAGAGCATTCTTTTGTGTTGTATTTGTAGCAAAGATGAGTGTCTTGGTATTCTTATGTGGTATTGGTTATTTTGTACCATCTCTGGTTACAAGTCTGACAAAAGACAAGTTCTTTGCCGCGTCTGCATCTTTTTCTCAACAATTTGGACAGTTGCGGAGCAAAAAACATTCCTCTCGCTGTTCTCATTGATAATGATAAAAACTGATTAGAACAGTTGCTCCTTGTAAACAAGAGTTCTTTAGTAAACTTGAAATTAGACTTCAAGCCTTTTTCCTTTTCACCTATGCTGTTTGTTTTCCTTGGGGGGCATTGGTTTGAAAGCTAGATTTTTCTAGTTCCTATCAAAAAGCTATTATCACCGGGTTGTACATTACATTTAGGCAATATGTTTCCTGGGATCTTTGGCAGAATGTGTGGTTATCAGTTCTTATGTGCTTGGGTCTATAAAAGCAGGTGCAAACATCCTTATGGTTATATTGTGCTACATATCCCCACCCCCACCCCACCAAATGCATCTCCTTCATCTAAGTTCAGAGTCTTTTTCTTTATGTTAGTTGTCAATAAGTTCTGGTTTTAATCTCTGACCATATAGATCAGACTCAAGATCAAATAATTACTGTTTTTTCCTTCTTCTTTTTTCTTCCTTTTCCGTGCAGTATTTCTTATATCAGATCCTCCGCGGATTGAAATACATTCACTCCGCAAACGTTCTGCACAGGGACTTAAAACCTAGCAATCTTCTCCTAAATGCCAACTGCGACTTAAAAATATGTGATTTTGGACTAGCTCGAGTCACCTCCGAGACTGATTTTATGACTGAATATGTTGTTACAAGATGGTACCGTGCGCCAGAGCTTCTGTTAAACTCTTCAGATTACACTGCAGCTATTGATGTATGGTCGGTCGGTTGTATTTTCATGGAATTGATGGATAGGAAGCCATTGTTTCCTGGCAGAGATCATGTGCATCAACTTCGTCTGCTTATGGAGGTAACTTAAATTATATTTGTCTGGTCATAAATCATTTGTTTCCGCGAACCAAAGATCATCTGATGGATGATTACTTTAAGAAAGAAATATCATAATTATTTTTCACGGTACAGGGTCCTTAAATAGCATTATTAGCACTCCTCATTGACATTATTTTTAAATTTTAGGTTTTTTCTGTGGTCATGAATAATAAGCATAACATGTCTCACATTAGGACCATTTGGTGTTGAATAGGGAATTTGAAAATCTTCATGTTTCTAAAATCGTACATTTGTAGTGTAGATATCTATGAATCAGTGTGGTTAATCATCACAACTCCTTGCAGCTGATTGGCACCCCATCAGAGACTGAGCTGGGGTTTTTAAATGAAAATGCTAAGAGATATATTCGGCAGCTTCCTCCGCACCGTCGACAGTCATTGACTGAGAAGTTCCCTCACGTCCATCCTTCAGCTATTGATCTTGTTGAAAAGATGTTGACATTTGATCCTACAAAGAGAATTACAGGTAAGTTGCCTTTACTCAAATGATCACTAGTCCGATTAAAAAAATCAGAGTATCTGTAATCTGTATTTCTAATGTGCTTTATTGGCTCAGCATTACTTGTTTCTGCCTCCTGTTTAGTATGCCATGTTCATATGTAGTCAAAAGAGTGGATCTACTACTCCCATGTGGATCTAGCACGAGTACATCTACGAACTCCACATTCTTCTCTTTTCGGTACAACTTTTGAGCTAAAACAGCAAATCCTTTGCTGAAGTTTAGATCTCCCAGTATCTTTATTAAAACATCTTCTTACACGTGGAAGGCCAGCTTTCCACTGCCTTTCCTTAAGCTTAATATTTTGTGTGGGTATGATTTCCACAAGAGAATGATGCTTTAGCAGGAGCTCCTACCTTTCATGCTGTCATCCATGAAATCAACCCCTTTTTACCTTCGAACACCTTATAGTAGGTTTTCGTCTCCAATTTCTTCCTTGCTCTCGTATGAAGGACATAATCACCATCAACATTTTTAACCTCTATATATAGCCTTTGGTTGGGAACAGAGAAATTATTGATATTACACTTCCGATGGATATATTTTTTCAGTTTAAAAATTGTTCTCAAGCTATTTACCATGCTTACTTTCATAGGTTGGCTGGAACTGTAAAAGTTAACATGTGAGCATTTATGTTGATAGTCTTGTATTCACATTAGTTTTGCTGCTCAAATTTCTTGAGTTTTCCTTACGTTACAGTTGAAGATGCCCTAGCTCACCCCTACTTAACATCTCTCCACGACATCAGTGATGAGCCTGTTTGCATGACTCCCTTCAGCTTTGACTTTGAGCAGCACGCACTGACTGAGGAACAGATGAAAGAGCTGATCTACCGAGAGGCACTTGCATTTAACCCCGAGTATCAGCCACAATGAGAGGAATCATGCAATGCAATTGTGGGTTTTCATCTATGTTCCGTTTGTTTGGTCATCATCGGATTGATTTTTCATGTAAATATGTTCCATCCAGAAGTGGAAAGGTTCTAGATTGGAATTATTTGATTAACTGGGAACAACGGTAATGTGTTTGTATCCGCCAGTTTGCTTTCTATTGATCTATCTAATTGTTGAATTGGGCATACTGCTGATGAATTAATATTTTATTTTCTTCAACACGTTTGCTTCCTAAAACTTGAGAAGTAATAAAGATCTATCTCTATCCTTGCTTCATTTATCCTTACCTTGTTAATCATTTTCATGGCGCTCAGGTTTTATCTTTCTCGTGTAAATCTCTCATGGAGTCATGGTAAAGGAATCCCTTCAAGAAACTGACATCTCTGTCCCAATGACATCATAGGTGGAATATTAATGAAATAGAATCATTTCGAGGTTCTTTGTGAAGTGGAGCAAGCCACTATGAAGAAGTTGTAGGGCTCCCAAAATACACTGGTTAGGATCGCGTCGTGGAGGGTAACTGGCTAACCATTTCTACTCACTTAAAAATTCCCAATTGGTGCCACCGTAGTAGAGTGAAAAAAGGGACATTTGCTTGCAGACCAGTGGTATTAGGTTCAAACCCCATAGCATAGTGTGTGCATGCGAGAGAAACACCCTAAACCCTAAAAATAAAAAATCCCCAATTGGTAATTATTATCCTTTCGCATATTGTAAATAGTTTTTCACTGTGTTTCTAAACATCCACTTGAGGAAAACCAAAACGGGCAGCGAGCCATGTTATGAAATTGCAATGGCAGCATCAAATTGTTGCAGAACCTCCCATTTGGAAAACCCTGGGAGAGTTAAAATGACTCCATTTTTTCTCACATAAGGCTTTATAATCCTGTTACATCAAATTCTTTCATACAACTGATTATACTGAATGAGATGAATAAACCAAACTACTCTACCATAGGAAGCAACCTCATCAATGATAAGGCAACTAAATATATCGTGTAGAGAAACAACGGGATTCTTATAAGGAAGAAGAAAACAATAAAGAACAAACTCATCTCAAACTAATCTCCTATTGTAGGAAGATACACGACAAAAGCTAATGTAATGTTGTTAGCTCTTCACGCTCCCAAAGAATCTTGAAAGTGGCACAGGACCATCAGCCTCGTCATCGTCACTGCTGGAGTGTTTGGTCCTTGACCTGTGCTTCTTTTCCTTCTTTGTTCTCTTAGACCTGGACTTGGATCTTTTCGAATCTCTCTCTTCTTCTTCACTACTGTAAGATTCTGAGGATGAACTTGAGGAGCCAGACTCTGAAGATCTCCTTCTTGAATGCTACAAAGCACAAAGTGAAATGAGGAAACTTCAGATTTTAATTCTCTTGATTGAGGTATTCAAACTACCATTCACACTCGCACCTTGTTCTCTCACACTTTAAAATCAAAAGATTTTATAACTTTTTAAAGCAAAAACAAGAGGAGTGCATGAAGCTTATAACATTGCCCTCAAAAGAAATAGGTAACAACCAAATAACGGAAGTACTACCCAAAATTGATCAGCATGACAGGTCACTTTTAATGAACTACAAATGAAGTACATATACTTTAGCACATTTCAAATAATGGAAGTGCATATGCTTCATTTAAAACTCATAATCTTTATGGCTTATAAGTTCACAAACTTAAGAAACTATGTAGTAAGAGCAGTAAGGAAAATTTTGACAAAGGGTGTGGCCTTATCTTTACTGGATGTACATATATCTTCATTACTTAGTACCATAATTTGACAATTCATGCGAGCATTTTTACCTCTAATGCACATGTGTTCAATATGGGCAAACAATTAAAACACACGCACACTCAACAACAACAAAAAATTGCAGGCAAAAGGTACCTTTCTCTTTCTGCTGCTGCGTTTCTTTAAATCTTTATCCTTCCTATCTGCAATGACATAGATTCACCTTCAGAAAAGAGGCTAGTAAAAACAAGGTAGAGGTTAGTATTTATATTTCCATGTCCACGACACCAACCTTTTTTGCGATCAGACTTACTACTGGAGTGGTTTCTTCCATTGGCAAGCTTGCGAGCCCGTTCGGCATCCAGTTGAGCTCTGTATTCTCTCATCATTCTATCAGTGTCTTTTTCCAGTTCTCCCTTTCTAATTTCATCTTCCTAGTACAGAAATACATTAAGATTAACTGAAAATTTGGATGTAGTGCAGATGGCTAGAAATGCATATACCTTAAAAAAGATGCAAAGGGAGCAAGTAGATAAGAAAACCAGATAAATGGGTTTATTTTTTTAAAAAACAATTCTGAAAATACTTCAAATTCTTCTCCTTCAAAATATATATATATATATTCTACAACACACCATATTCAAAGGGTTTTTCTTCTTTCAACAGGTACAAATTCTGTATATAAACTATACAGGAAGGTAAGACATCCACAGAAATATATAGAGACAAATGCAACACAGAAAGAAAAAAAAATTACCTTTTGCTTCTTTTTATACTCCTCCCAGGTAATTGTATGAGAAGTTTTGAGGCTAGCCAAACGAGCAGCATGCCACTCTGGTGAATGAAATGAACCATCCACCTGCGACAGTCCTCATCAGTGAAAGTACAGGAAAATAAAACATCCAGGATGCATGTATTTTATTAAATCATCAAGTCAATTCTCTAATAGAAGGATGAAACATACGTAAATCTCACCACATGTAGAAAACTAGAGAGTCTATTATGATTAAAATCCATATCGGAGTAATGAAGTTCTCCACCGAATATTAAATTGGCTAAGAAACTACTGAGTTTAATTATTTTGTAACTCATTATATTTTTAAAGTAAAATTCCTGTACCTAAACAATGTGCTAATCACATGCTTGTCAAACAATGCCAATGTCCACACTTTTATTTGACAATTGTTTGACCCCAAATGTGAGATTGGATTTAGAGCACGCTCAAGTGGTAAGGTTACAGTAGGATTGTCTTAGGTTGAAAACTTAGAAGAAAAAAAGATTCAACAATTATCTTACAAGTTAAAATGGTACCCTACTTCAAATTAACATAGATTTCTTTCTGCATATATATACCCATAGAAGAAAATGGATACATGGGTGGCGTGGAAAGTTGGGAATGAGCAACATGCCCTGTCTGACAACAACTGATATGGGTGGCATGGCATCTAACTGGGGAAATTTAGTTTCTTAAGATAGATTAATCATTATCATGATTCCGATAGAGTTATCCCGCAAAATTTCAGACAGGTGATTTGATTTGATTGGTCAGACTACTCCCCATCCCATCAATTGTGAATAATCATAATCACTGAAACAAACCAACAGAATCCTACTTAGGATGCTACGCACATCCTCTACCTCTAAAAGAGCTTGATTTTTATCTATCAACATAGTCAACAGTGCTGTTCAACACTGGACATATTTATGCGAACAAATTGTATTGAAGAATTCATTCACTTGAAATTGGCCATAAATAATTCATTTTAAGGAGCAACATCCAATCCAATCCTAGAGAATTAGATCCTATAACCAGAAATTGAGTAAACAGTCAACAATTACAATATACCCATTACGAACCAAGATTCAATCTTACAACTTACAAAGTTTCCTTGAAATCTACCCTAGCCACTAGAACCACAAATTGAATTGCATAGTAAGCAGTTAATTGAGAAGAAGAAACGCGAGCAATTAAGATAAATTGAAATGAAAATAAAGAAAAGAAAGAAGAAAGAGTAGAATTGAAATTGGATAGGGTAGTATGGAAGGGTACAAACCATGCCGTCTTCGACCTCATCAGGGCCAGCAGAGCTGGAGCCGAGCCTGGCTCTCTGCATAGCCTTGTAAGCTTGATTTTTGCCCATTTTGAAAGAGACCTAAAAAGATAAATCAATGGAGAAAGGCCAAGAGAATCGAAGAAAACCAAGAAGGGGAACGAAGGAGAAGATATGAGTAGCTAGAGTTTTAACGGTCGAAAACCCATGCACTGATAGAGAGAATTTAGGAAGAGAAACAAGTAGAGGTTGGGTTGGGCAAAGGTTTTTCAAAGACGAGGTGAGGGTCGCATGAATGTGATGTGATACAAGAAAGAAGAGGTGAGGGTGTGAGGCGAGGCAGAGCCAGCAACAACAACAGCAATGTTGGGTGAGACCTTGAGAGCTTTGCATGACGTGTTGGATCTTGATTCGTCCGACCCGAAGTTAATAATACACACCAATCTACCACCACCCTTTAATCTGAACCGTTCATTTTATTTCCTTGAGTTTTCTCTTCAAAATCAAGAGTTATATTAAAAGAGTATATCAACTAAATTAAATTCATTATAAGATGATATTGGAACATTAAGGGCATGTTTGGTATTAAACTTGAATTCAACTTTTTAAACTCAAAAACAAAATTTGAGCCCAAAACAAAGAAAACTTGTTTGATAGCCCTATTTTTAAAAACTCAAACTCAAGAATAACTAAAAAACACCACAATTATTAAAAACAAAAAATATCTGTTTTTTCAGTTTGTTTCTAACAACCCACAAGTTCTTGAATTTTTAAGATTTGAAAACTGTTTTCAAGTTGCATACCAAACAAGTTTTTGAATCTTAAAAATAGATTTAAGAACTCATTGTTTTTAAGAAAAATCAAAGTTTTTTAGTTCTCTATTTGAATAGGATACCAAACACCCCTTAAGAATTAGACAAAAAACTAGTTAGTCTCATTAAAATTGTTTTTAATCATTACAATATCTTTTTTAGTGTATGACTAAAATCAGAGATACTGTGTTTGCATTTATTTATTAGGGCATTTCCACCCATTTGCCATAGTAAAAGGCAATGGAAGGCAAAGACTGTTACTATTCACATAAATAGTGCTTGTTTTATTGGTTTTCCATCCATTGCTATGACAACCACTATTCACATCATATATGAGGAGAGGAATTTGTATACAGTTTTAATGTAAGAAGTGAAGAATATGGCTAGATATTTATTATTAAAAAAAAACTGAAAATTTTGGTTTTTTTGTCATTTTTTAAAATTTTGTTGTTATTTAAATTAACTAATGACATCACAATGACATAAACATTAGGTCAGCTTGTCTAAGCAGCAGTCCAGGCAAGTTTTGTCTTTGAACTTGCCCAAGTTGGTAGAGTCTAGCTCTTATCCTGACAAGACTTGGACGCTGAAAACACATTTGGGGACCTCGGGGCTATTGCCCTGGTTCGGGCCTCCAGTGGAAATGCTCTGAAAGGAAAGCAATCATACCATTAAATCATTCATTTGATACAATTGTTCAAACTCAAGGGTTTTCCAGATTTTGCAGATTTGAGTTTGGGCTCTTTGTTTGACCCAAAAAAGAGAAACGATGCAGGGCGGGCCCTTGCTATATTGCTATATAGATATAGAGGTTGGGTGGTGGGCTCTGGAGTTGCTGACGGGCTATGTCTCTATCTGACTAGCCGATCTGTTGTTTGAGATCCTTTGGCTTTGCCTGTCTTTGGATTGGACCCAATCTATTCCATATATACAATTAACTTATAAGGCAGCACTATGTTTTGTACATACATGACATGAGTGGGCCACTGCCAATCAACCAATACTTTGAACTTTGCACTTTCATATTTGAATAAGGAAGGATGAAAAACAATCAAAAGCTACCACCGACAGCAACACTACATATTCTAATCTAATCCAATGAAGGCCGATGGGGTCTAGGACATTGGAAAAATGTATTGACTTTTCATGATATTTTAATGGTATGTGTGAGAATTTCTCTCCTGATGTAATTTATGTTATCGCTTATACTGACATAATGAAAGTTAATTGATAAGTAATTGCTGCAGTATATTAATATATAATTTACGTCGATGATTAAGTCAATGAATTATACGAAACCAACCACATCTGTACAGTACTGTACGCCTTGCGTGAGGGAAGAGAGCAACACTAGGTATAGTAACACAGCTTCTTTCTTTCGAGCTATAAAAAGTAGAAGAATTATTAGAATCTAATCTGTCAGCAGCACTCAGATTATTACTAGTGCCCCCTCCCCTTGAACACTACGCAGTTGCTCTTCACATTGGACCACACAAAACAATATACTTGTTTTCTTTTCCAAACTCTCAAGTCTGAACCCGAATTAATAATATTATTATTTAGGCAGGCATACTATTATTCTCTGTCTGTGTACAAATAATATACGATTATTATTATTTCTACAAGTTACAACCAAAACCTTGGCTGTTGTTAACATTCTCTTTCTTTACAAAGATCGAGACAGAAAATGGGTTTTATTCCGTGATAATATATATAATTGTTGACCCACTCATCATTTACCAGAATTACTGAGGATATTGCTTGCGTTCTTCTTTTTCATGTAAATTAAAGACATGTTCAAAATGTATCTTTTAATCACAAATATGTTATAATGCGATTGAAAGGGATGTATGAGCTTCAACTTATAAAAAATCAGCTAAATAAGAAAAAAGAAAAGAAAAAAGACAATATAATGGAGAAATATCCAAGGGTGCCAATATTTTTGATATGGTAAGAAGTTAGGCGTAAAAAGTTTTTCTTTAATCACGTACAGCAACTTATTAAGATTTACAGCAGCTGGACAAAGAGAAATATTTTTCTCTCCCAGCCCCTTTTATCATTTTGTGTGTGCTGTGCTGTGGCCTGTGGTATATACATATGGCAGACTCAGACTCAGACTGCAGGCTACGATTCGGAGAGAGAGAGAGATAGAGATATTGGGCACGAGCCCCTAAAACCGACGCGTTCCGGGTTCTCTCTCGCTCAGGCCCTTTGTTTTGTTTTATATATATTAATTATAGGCCAAATTGTCAATGCGTGAACCACGCCACCTCACGGGTTTGCACTGTGCATGCATGCCATATCCCACTCACTCAGTACTATTACTATATGTATATCTCACGTCCTCCTTTCTTCTACATCTGTACGTACGGCCTACTGTTTTCACTTTTGTCCTGCTGATTTTCGCCGACGTCCTTACGGTGTCGTTTCCGGCCTTTCTTTTTCTGTGGGATGATGAATCATGATCATGATGACGACGATGTATGCAGTGGCTGGCTTGAGTGCCACAACTTCCTCCTCGTCAAAGTACCTCAAGGACTTGACTGTTTATTTGTAATTTTCTTTCTTTATTTTGACTTATATTTCTGTTATCTTCTGTGTGTTTTGTTTTGGCCTTAAGGTACCTAAATGGGTCCTTGATATAAATATACTCGAACCCAATCCTAGCTACTAGCTAGCTTTGTTTGTGGTATTTGAAGCCGCATGGAAAACGACTTTATACCTCACAAGAATCAAGAATACTTATACTTACACAAATCATAGGGATGTCTCAGTCAATACCACATGAACATGGGGTCACACAAGGATAAAGGTCCAATTTACCCTCAACATATATGCTGGTGGAGTAGTGGTGGTGGGGGAGGGAGTCATTTTCTATCATGAATTTTCAAAATTAAGCCTGTAGCTAGCGCTATAGAATAGACAAACTTGATTAGGATTTTTGTGTTATTTTATTTGCTTTTAGTGGAATTCAATGTCATGCATGCATGTATACCCTTTATTTTTTATTCAATCATTCAAGGATGGAAGGGGGTGAGCATGCATAGTTTAATCAGATGGTGGTGGACGTGATGACAAGAAATATGGAACATAAATAAGCTCCGCTTAATGAACAATACTACGTGTAGGAAAAACTATTTTCAAACAACTCTTCGTCTCAATTCACTTCCTTGTACTCAAGTTCGAGCCGTCTAAGCCAATCGTACTTGAATTAAATAAGGTGTATTACTAGTAGGCATGCATGCCTTAATTAATTAATAATGTGTCATCTTAAATATTTCCCATGCTTTTTGCATGCTCCAACAATTTCTAGCCAATTCATTCCACTACTTCTAAATCTCAACACTATTAATGGTATAGATGGCTAGGAAAACTTCCACCCGATGGTCCCAACAAGTAGTCCATATTCAATACGAAAAGCTTTAAAAAAACCATTTTAGGATTTGTAGGAAAATACGACCCCACCCCCTTGTTATTTAATTTAATTTCTCTTGATAAAGGGCATGTGTTTAAAAAAAATATTGATTAAGCTATGATCAAAGATTCAAAGACAGATATTTGAAAAAAAAAAAGTTGGTCATCATTAGATTCCCATTGTTATGTAAGAATCATTTCAAATCCGTTTAAAAGGATTTTTTTAAGGGTCAAACATGTAGAAGAAAAGGCCTTTGTAACGCCAAAAAAAATAATTCACTCCTTTTATGCTTTAGCTTTAGCATTAGCATAGCAGCAGGGCTTTGTAAATGTATGCGCGTATAGACGTGAGTTCTTCGTCTACTACAATACAAGGAGATGAAACATGAATAATATTTTTTGCTATTTCCGATTAACGACACAATGATATATAAAATAATATTTTCACGTATTATTATGTTATTGAGTGGATGATACTGATCGGGATATCACCCGTTACAAGAAAGTTTTTTTTCCAATAAGTTGAAGACACCAAGCAGGCAGCAGTGACCAGGTGAGATGATAGGCACCCAATAGTATAGAATAGATACAAAAATGAAAATATACCCTTCGCACCAAAAAGAGCGTGTAGGTCCTCTATCAGTCAATCCCCATAAAAAGGCTTTCCCTATTCTTTCCCCGTTTATCACTCACCAGCGAGGAGGAGATTTTTTTACCACTTATTCAAAATTCTACCAAATTGTGTATACTGTGAAAAAAAGAGTTTCTTCTTTTTCTCTTTCCTTTTGATTCATTCTTTTAACTTCCTCACTTATCTATCCATCTATTTATCTATCTACACTCACTCACATCTCCAATGTGTAAACAGCTAATCCTCACCATCAGCAGCAGCACCGCTGCACCGGTGTGGGTGATAATTGTAGAGTAAGAATCTTTCGCACAAGGACAGAGCAAAAGAAAAGTGCAAATCCCAATAATACTCATCGGCAATGTTTTTCTCCTATCTGTCAGAGATTTTAACCTCTTCTCTCTTCTCTACTCTCTCTCCCGCTCTTCCCTGCCATTAAGAAAATCTTCTTCAAGATATCATCTTTACTTTCCACTCCCAGAGTTTACAGGCTCATAATTATCATCGCTTTACTTTCACTGTGTACTGTGTATTTTTTCAGTTCACTCAAATCAAATGTTCTCTCTTTCCCCCATCCCCACAGGTGGAGAAAAAGTTTAGTATGTCCCTTGTTGTAAATGGGATTTTGCTCGTCGCTATTTGTGAGATCTCAAATCTCAAGTATCAACAACTACCATTCTCTTTGCTTCTACTGTTGCCTTCTCCCTCCCTCATAACACTCACACTCACACCCACCACCACCACCACCATGTAGACCCTTCTCCTCGCCTTCTCTCTCTCTTTCTGACCAAGAAGAACATTCCCTTCCTAAAACCTCACACTTACTGAGTTGGTCTGCAATCTCTCTTCAACAAACCATCTCTAACTCTCCTTTTTCATTTTTCAGCAAACACACCTTTCTCTTCCACTCTACTTGCCAATCCAAAGTATATAAGGAAAAACCCAAAGAACAACAAAAAAGACACTTGCTTTCAACTCTGACAACCACAATGCCGGCCCTCACTCTTCTGATCCTCTTGCTCATCGTCTCCTTCACCACCACCACTTGTTACCACCACCCCCGCCACCTTCTCCACCAACCCTTTGTCCCGTTAGATTCCTTACCTCCAACACAACCACCATCCTCCTCTCCCCAATCCCAACCCACCCAAATTCCCAAACTACCCTTCTCTTCCTCCTCTTCAACCCCGCCTCAAAAACCTTTCTTTCCCTCGTCCTCCTCTCGCTCCCCGCCACCCTCCCCTCCCTCCCCAACTGCCCTCACCTCCTTCCCAGCCAACATTTCTTCTCTACTCTTTCCCGAAACCTCCTCCTCCTCATCCTCCCACCGCCACGTCGTCGCCATCGCCGTCTCTGTTTCTCTTACTGCTTTCATCATCATCGCCTCCGCCTCCGCGTTGCTGTACTATCGTCGACGCCGGAAGCTTGACCCCACCATATCTGACGATAAGGCTTCCAGAACCGACAGCCTCCGCCTGTTCCCGCCAAACACCGCCACCTCCGATGCAGTTCACAAGCAACGTAGTACGCCTAATACCAGCACCGAATTCCTCTACCTCGGAACCATAGTCAATGCTCGAGGAACTGACGAAGAAAACGCCCCGAATACGAGCAATGCGGGCTTGACGTTCGGGGTGTCGAGCTTGTCCGGCTCGCCACCGTATCAGAAACTTGGATCACCGGAGCTGAAGCCGCTTCCACCACTTCCCAAGCACAATTTCAGACGGAGCTTTAAGAATTCCCAACTGGGTTCTGACGACGACGATGAAGAGGAGTTCTTTTCTCCCAGAGGGTCTTCCGCGAGTCCCAAAAATGGTAACGGGTTAGCAAAAACATCGGACAGAGTGTTTAAGGCCGTAGAAGGCGAAAACTTTGGAAGCAGGAGCTTCAATTCAAGAACAGCATCGTACCCATGTTCGAAATCTGCTTCTCCAACAAGTTCTGGGTCTCATACGGTCTCACCGACGTTGAATTTGAGTCCTAGAAGCTTGAAATCAAAGTCGCCGGATTCGATAATCAATTTCGCCGCTCCGTCTCGGCCTCCTCCGGTACCGATGTCATTGTCCCCATCATTGTCTTCGTCGTCTTCATCATCGGAGAGAGGTTTGGGTTCGGTTTCATCGAATAGCCAGAACTCACCTTCAAAAAATTCGGACTTTTTGGGGCTGAAGAACCAGCCTCAGGTGAAAAATAAGAGTTTCGTTCCGATAAGATTGCCACCGCCGCCTCCGCCTCTACCACCGCCGAGGTTCTGGGAAGTTACGGCCGGTCCGAGGCCGAACTCAGGGCCACCGGCTCTTGTCATGCCTTCCAGGCCTCGTGTGTTTCAGAATTCGGGACCGGTTTTGGGTGGTGAAGGATCACAGAGCGATGCGATTGTAGAAAAGAACGAGGAGACTCCCAAGCCCAAACTGAAACCTTTGCATTGGGATAAAGTTAGGGCCAGCTCAGACCGCGCCATGGTGTGGGATCAGTTGAAGTCAAGCTCTTTTCAGTAAGACAATAACCAAACTCCTCGCTTTTCTTTTTTGGGTGTTAAAAGTGTGATCTTTAACCTTTTGTTCTAGAGTGGATGTTTCGTTGAGCTTGCCTTTTATTAGTGAATTGTGTCGGTGTTTTTTTGGTTACTTAAGTTTGTAGAATCTTGTTTTGGGTGGCAGGTTGAATGAGGAAATGATTGAGACGCTGTTTATGGTAAATAATTCGAGTTTGGCACCAAATGATAATGTTCGGCGACAGATTCTGCCCTCTTTGAACCAGGAGAACCGAGTGCTTGATCCAAAGAAGTCCCAGAATATTGCAATTTTGTTAAGGGCGCTTAATGTCACCATTGATGAAGTCTGCGAAGCCCTTGTGGAAGGTTAATTTGAAGTTTCTACAAATCTTTTTGCTGCATGATGCGAATAATATTCAATGCTTGCCTTGCTAAATCTAATTGCTTCTGGATTGCAAGTTGTCCAATTTCATCAAATGTCTTTGCATTTTTGTGAACTTTCCTAAATTTGCAAGCAGGAAATTCAGATGCACTTGGGACAGAACTTCTTGAAAGTCTATTAAAGATGGCTCCAACCAAAGAGGAGGAACGCAAACTCAGAGAGTTCAAAGATGAATCACCATTTAAGCTTGGGCCAGCTGAGAAATTTCTGAAAGCAGTGCTTGATATACCTTTCGCATTTAAGAGGGTGGATGCAATGCTCTACATTGCCAGTTTTGATTCAGAAGTAGATTATCTTAAAAGGTCTTTTGAGACTCTGGAGGTAAATCTTTGTGTTTTCTTTTATATATTTGTTTTGTTATGTGCATTCATAATAAAGGAACCTATCATTTAATTTCTATTTTGTTCGGATTCATCAAATATCTCATCGGAGCTAATAAACATGTCTTTTAAATTTCAAACCTTCGTGTCACTTTTGATGATGGTCAGAGAGACTTTTGATTATGTCTCATGAGCTTTTATTCAAGTCAAAAAGTTGAACAGTGAAAAAAAAGGAATCTGTCTCGATTCTTTTTCGTTTAGTTTAAATTTCCTCATGTAAAGCTCCTATGTTATGAAAAAATTTCTGCAGCTTGTTACTGCTGTTCTGGATATTAAAATCTTTGTCAATGTCTTCTTGTTCTTGGTATCTATCTGATTACCCTGGCTTTAAGAACTTGGTGATTGGTTTTTTGTGAGCTTTCTACTTCAATTAAATTATATGTAATGGAAAAATGAGTTTTTATGCATTATGTGGTGACATTAATTGTTGTTTTAATTATAATCCATTGTACTGAACTGAACTCTCTTACTGTCGCCTCAAGTAATGTCAATTTCCTATTGCCTGAAGGAAAACGATGTAGTTTTCCTGGCAATTCACATCCACCTATGCTTCTCAACTTGGTCTGATTTTGTTGGCAATTCATATCCACTGCTGACATAACTTCCTTTCTACAGGCTGCTTGTGAAGAATTGAGGAACAGCAGAATGTTCCTGAAGCTTCTTGAAGCGGTGCTCAAAACTGGGAATCGCATGAATGTTGGCACCAACCGTGGCGATGCCCATGCCTTCAAGCTTGACACACTTCTCAAGCTTGTAGATATAAAGGGAGCTGATGGGAAAACCACTCTACTGCATTTTGTTGTGCAGGAAATAACCAGAGCTGAAGGTTTTCGTCTCTCTGGCATGAATCAGAATCAAACAGCTGAGGAAATTCAACAATCTTCATCTTCTTTTCGAGATGATGTTGAATTTAGGAAGCGTGGCCTGCAAGTTGTTTCAGGATTGAGTGGGGAGCTCACCAGTGTAAAGAAGGCTGCCGCTATGGATTCAGAAGTACTGAGCAAAGAAGTTGAAAAAATTGCTGGAGGAGTTAAAAAAATAGCAGAAGTTATAAAATTAATTGAAGAAAGTGCGTTGAAGGATAGTAGCCACAAGTTCTGTGAGTCCATGAATGGGTTCTTAAAGAAGGCAGCGGAAGAGATTGTAAGGATTCAAGCTCAAGAGAAACTCGCATTCTCTTTGGTAAAGGAATTAACAGAATATTTCCATGGGAACTCAGCTAAGGAAGAAGCTCATCCGTTCCGAATTTTCATGGTGGTGAGAGATTTTCTCTCTGTTCTAGATCAGGCATGCAAAGTAGTCGGCAAAGTTAATGAAAGAACTATAGTTGGGTCAGCCCGTCAATTTCCATTGCCTGCCAATCCAACCCATCCGCCAGTTTTTCCTGGATTCAGTGCAAAGCAGCAGCAGCATTATGGTTCCTCAGATGAAGAAACCTCGCCATTTTAGTGTTTGATTTTATGCTGTGTTGATGGGAAAGGATGAGCATGTATCTGGGGCTGGAGCTTTTTCGCTGAATCTTACAAGTTGATCTCGTCGTTTTGGGTTGAGCTGAGCACCCTTCCTCTACTTACATATTTATATATACACACAAGATTTTGGAATTGTTTATCTTGTGTATATATATATAGAGGGGAATTAGATCATCAGTATCAGAAGATAATAAAGTTGTAGTGGCACAATTATATTTTGTTTTGATCTAATGTAAATTTGTTAGTTGGATTTAAAGCTTGTGGTTCAGTAATTATTCCCAACTCTCTCTCTCTCGCTCTCTCACTCTTACTTTTGACTTGAAATATTGGAAAGACCAACTTTCCCTTCCCACAGTATATATCATGCAGCCAGGCAAGGCAGAGGACAGGGATAAAGCGATTGTCAACGGAAAATTCATACCATCGAACCCTATTAATTTGGTAGCTGCTTCCTCTCCTACAACGGATCGATGCCGATGCTCTTATTTGGGTTGAGTGATGTAATAAATGAATGAATGCTCTAACTAAGGGGATGCCTTACAGAAAGAAAGCATTCAATGGCGTAGCAGTAGATATAGGGGCCAGTAACTCAAACCCTGTTTAGCAATAATTATTACATCACTTGATGTGATAGCCCATTTATTTATTTATTGGAAGGCTCTATTTATAGAAACAAATAAAACTGGATGGAGCTACAAGGTTTTCAAAATATACAAAATTTGCCAAACAATTTGTTGCCCTCCCCAAGTATGCACAAGAATGACGTTGCTTTTGAACCCCGCCCAAAAAGAAAAAAGGACATTACTTGATTACAGTCTAGAGCTGTTTGATTTTCACTGATGCTTGCCTTGCCTCGCACGTTCACGATGCAACAAACTGGGATTTCTCTTCAGCATCCATACGTTCAATCACCCGACGTGCTTCCTCTACTGTAGCAGGAACAACATTTCGAATCCGGATCCCATCTTTCATGGCTTCAGGAGGGGCAGAGAATGTGAAATAGAATTTGTTTGATACCTGTTCAAATATATATGTTATATATCAGACATGAACCTATCTACATATTCCCCAGACCCCCAAGCATTTGTAGAGCAGAAATAAGGATTTCATTTGAAGATCATATTTGACAGAGATTTTCTCAAAACTAAACCCACTCATTCCTTTACACTCGTTTTTCTATAACCTTCTTGATTATATTATCTTCCTGGGTTTGCTGGTTTGCTAAGGTATTTCGGTGACAATGAATAGACATTTCACAGGCCTTGTGCAAAAGCTACCTTCAGCATGTTTTTGTTAAGTCACGTGCTCACCTCACTGGACCTAAGCTCAGGCTGTGTCACATGAGCAACGACTTCCACGTTTATCAGAGGTTCAGCTGGGTTCTCAAGTTCTGTATAGAGAACACAAGACTTCAAACGTAGGAAGTTTCCTACATCCACCTGCATCAGAAAAATAAATTTGTGGTTCATTAATCCCCCCAACATGTACCAACATTTGATGAAATTTTGTATTCATTTCTGCCTGATAATGCAAGTTGGGGAAATGACAACTTTTTCTGTTCAAAGACTGAGTTCTGTACTTGAATGGAGTTGCATAAACTCTTTCTTTTTCACGCAAACCTAGAAAAAATTATACTGCATTTAACCTCTTAGGGAATTATAGCATAAAGTCGGAGCTGCCAAAAGTTACTAGGCGCTCATACCTTTATTTCAGTTCACTTGCATGCTCAAACAATCTTGAAGACAAAAGATGCAATATAATGGAGGGTAGCCATCAAAGGTGCTATTTATCTCGTAATAACTCTCTTGCCTAACAACTGACACTTCAAAATGAGTGGCCTATCAGTTCCATTTTAGTCCAAGATGCTATTTTGTAAATGACAGTCTCTTGTCAAGCCATGATCACATACAAAGAGAAAATAACAAAGAGTGCAGACCAACTAGTGCTCATGTTTGCTCATAGTACAATCAATAAGATGTGATAGTTTTCAATCTTAAACAAGTATGTGTATGTATGTATTTATAGTCCGTCTTATGCTTCAATAATACTTATGCAGCATGCCATGTTTCTACACACACAAAGAGAACTGAAAAACGTTCATAGTAGCCAGTTCAACAGATTTTTATAGGCAAAAGGCTCAGTTACTTACAGGTCTAACAAAATCAACATGATCAACTTCTAGAAAGTGTGGTGCTACACCAGCAAATGCATACGTTGTTGAGAAGGCCAGTTCAAATGCTCTTCGCATTAAAAATCCTCCAAAGATCCGACCATGGATGTTCCTTTGCTGTGGCTGGCAAATAAAGGAGTTCTCCAGGCACGTATCCCTAATAAGAATGCTATCTCGGTCTGCCAGTGCTGGCATGTCGCAGAAAACTCGACCTTCGGCTAACAAGGCATTGAATCTGTTTGCGTCTTGGTTTTCAATATCTGTTTTATATGCTCCTCTCTTCTTTTTCCTCATTTTGTTCCTCTTATCTGCCTCTTCCCAAAGCAATTTTTCCTTTTCAGTCTCAGGTGAGATTTGGTTAACCGGAGCAGATTTTCCAGTCTCAGAATCACGAGCCACAAATGTGAAGTTTGCTATAAGAGCAATGGACTCTGATGGGTGTGGGGTTCCTACAAGTCAAGTTTCCATAGTCAGCACTCGGCACAACAACAAATTAAAACTAAAATCATGATCCTTAGATCTTATGAGAATCAGAGATATTTAGCAACAAGAAACTAAAATATTTGTTATATATTCTTCAGTACCATGCATGGATTGAGTGACTTCCAGTTGAATCTCCATGGATGATTTCCCAACCCATGCAACAGCACCACCTAGATTCAAATCAGTGTCAACACGGATAGGTTTTTTCAGAACCATCTTGTCAACAGAAGCAGTCACCAATAGTAGAGGCCTCGTTGCGCCATCTTCATTGCAGCAGTGCTAGTCAGCAGGTGAATGAGTGAAGTTAAAAAACTTTGATTTTCAATGAAGTGGCAACAGACAACACTCAAAAGGTTATGGAATCCCAAACCAACCTCTAATTCAAGGAAATCCCTTTATGCAAAATGCTAATTAGAAGTTAGAACCCAGTTAAGGAAAAAAAAACTTTGTTAGCAGCTTTTTCTACCAATCCAAATTCCAAACAACAAAATTCAAACAAATACATACTCAATTGCAGTTATGTAAAAACACGAAACAGAGCTTATATTAGATGCCTCAAGTTAATACCTTGTATGCAATGGTTCCAGCAAGAGCATCGAGATCCTCAACCAACTTCCCCATCCTAATCTCATTCCAAGGGTTCCTGTACTGCTCTCTGAGTTTATAATCAGATGAAAACTTGTAGAGAATACTAGTCCGGCTCTGCGCCGGAGTTCTCGCCACCAATTCACTCTGTGAAGGAGCGTCAATTGGCGTGTCCCCGAGTTTCTCATACATTTTTGATCTTGCTTCCCAGAGAGCATTTGTTACAGGTGAATGGTACATTCCGGGCCATAAACTGATCGGTTTCCGGATTGAAGAGCCTGCATCAATTGGCTGTGAACTATCATATGGTGAAGTTACGGTGGAAACAGCTGGGATTGACTCTGAAGAAAGCGGTTCAGCTGGCTCCGCAGAATCCAATGGTTTGGAACGTGACGGGTCAGAATTTGCAGTTGACAATGGCCTGTTTGGTATTAGTCTGTATAAAATTGGACCATATTTGGTGGCTCTAGAAACTGATTTTTCTTGCTTTGGAGATTTATGCAAGTGGGTATCGATAACATGAGAATCATTGTTAAAACAGGATTTAGAACCAGCATATGACAACACTGACCCGGTTTGAAGGAATGCTGGTGAAATAGGATCAAAAGGTGCGATTTTGAATATGGGGTTTGCTTGTTTTGGTGAATTTGATATCTGGGTACTGCTTGTTTCAGATTTTGTTGAGTATGAAACAAGTGCTTGGAGTGATGAAGATTTGAAATTGGGTTTGAAGAGGAGGTGGGGAAGTGGTTTTCTGAGTGGTATCATGGTTCCCAAGTGAATTGAATTGGAAAAAGATACAAAAGCTCCTGACTTTGATCGGAGTTTGTATATGCGACCACGATCGTCAATCGAACGGGAGAATGCGTCACAAATTATATACAGAGAGGATCTCAGATTCTCTGTATCTTTTAATCAGGGCGGGTAGGATCTGTTTATGCTGTTATTGGTTGGCTGGGTTCCATTTTGTGTAGGCCAGGTGGAAATTCATTTCTTGTGAAACTTCGACCTAAGTTTGACCAAGAAAAAAAGAATATGGGCGAATGCACGAATAAGGCCCAACGACTGCGGTGGGCTTACAAACAGACCCCATGGTCCAAACTCCCACCCTAATATATACGCAGTCAGGGCTTCCCGGTTAGTTTGTCACTGTCTTTCTCGCGCTCTCTCAAAGTTCAAGCTCCGGAACCAAAAAGGTGTGTGCTTGATCCGCATCTTCTTCTTTATCTTTCATAGCACTTTTGGTCTTTTAGTCGTAGCTCTTATATGAACTCCTTTCTTTCGTTGTTCTTGTTTACATTTATTAAAGAATTTTTTGAACTTGCCCTTTAGGGTTTCTTGAATTTGATCTATTGTTTGAGTAAGGTTACTGTTGAGATATTTATGACGATGAAAATGCAATTAGGCCAAACTCAATATGGGCATTAATGTGTTAAGTGATTTTCGGTGAAGAATTTACAGAATTTGTTGATAATTTTGTTGATACCATGGGTTTTAGGTCTAGCACTTTTGTTAATTTTTCTTTTTTAATTTAAAAAAAGAAAAAAGATATATCCTTTGTTTGTGTAATCAATTTCATTTCATGGGACTGTTTCGACGACATATATTAAGGATGACTTTTGTAGCACCCTTTCAGGGCTGGAATCAAGTGTGTGTTAGATGCTTATGTAGACCTGTAGATGGCATCCTCGTTACTTAAAAGTGTTGTGAGTTCACTCACAGCACAATATGTTGCTGCAGAAGGAGGTTGGAGAGGTGTTCATATCTTAACAAAATTGTTTGTATGATGTCAGACGCCATCTTATTCACTTAGGCATATGGTAGGATCGTTTGGAATATTGCCTTTTGAATGATGAGCTTTCTAACTGATAATTGGGTGCCTTTTAGATCAGTTTGGTTTAGTTTGCTATTCCTTGAGCTATGCAATCAGTTGAGTGGCAATCTACTTTTCTTAAACATTTCTTTTTCTCTGGTGTTTGTACAGGGATTGAAAAGTCAATAAAAAATTTGTTTTCTTCATATATGGTGTCAGCGTTACTTTTAACTGAGTTAATAATCTGATACCAACAAACTAGGATTGTTTGCTTGGATGGGCTTGTTTTAAAAGTCACTCAGTTCTGCTCAGAATGTATTCGGGGGGTTTTGTGCTGCGAAGATTGGTTGATGTATCTGTCCTCTACAGTAGCTCGGGTTTTTGCGAATCTTTATGATATGTATTCGTCTTTTGGTGGCTTGTGTTTTTGTGTTGTTACATATGTGTTCTTTTACTTTGTTTTCTTGACTGTTTGAATTTGTTTAACATTTGATATCATTTCAGGAGGTGTAAGAAGTTAAGATTTAGGATAGAGAAGATGAGTGGAGGGGGAGAGAAAGGGACAGGAACCACAAAAACTCCTGCAGATTTCCTTAAATCAATTCGTGGGCGACCAGTTGTTGTTAAACTGAATTCTGGTGTTGACTATCGAGGTCCGTTTCTGTAATCCTTTTTTCATGCCTATAGGTTTTTCTTTTCTTGTATTCTCACGACTTTGTTTTTGTTTCTGGTGTTGATTCAAGATGCAGGGATTAGCCCTTTTGATGTGTTAATTTTCTTATGCAGGTATTCTTGCTTGTCTTGATGGTTATATGAATATAGCGATGGAACAAACAGAAGAATATGTCAACGGACAGTTGAAAAATAAGTATGGTGATGCTTTTATTCGTGGAAATAATGGTAATGTTCTATGAATTATCTTGTTATATTGCTCGTAGTGTTGTTACCTTGGTTAATAGAATAATTGGAATTTCTTTTTCTGTTTTGGCATTGATGCAGTTCTGTACATTAGTACGACGAGGAGGAATTTAGCAGATGGTGCATAGCATTGTATTGTGATGTTATCAACCTATGTAGAACATCTCTACTGTCATGCTTAATGCAATTGTGTTGTAATGTAAACTTACGTGGAGCTTTTTATGAGAAGGAAGTAGGACTAACTACCCTACTCGATACATTTTTTTGAAAAATATTTGGTCTTGAATGAGTGAAGAAATTATCTGAAGACTGATGATTAATTATTATTATGATGAATGCTTGTCATATTCTCACCGAAGCCTGGCTTATCTTAGGAATGCTTGATGATGATTCATAAATCGTAGTGAATTTGTTACGAGGGCTCTAGTTGTTTTAGGGTCACTGTCAGTGCTAAAAGGTTTACATAAAACAGGGAGCAGTAGAAAATGTGCTTTGCTAGACATATGTTTGAGAGGCAAACTATGCATAAGGTTATAACGTTTTCAGTAGCCGTAGGTAGCATGGAAGCTCAATTCGGTGGTTGTTCAACAGCATAAAGCTGAACGTGCCAAAAATCTCATACTCGTCATCTAGTTGAAATCCCTCCAATGGGGCTTACAAGAGGAAACGATAAAGGAAGTGATAGTGAGAGGCCAAGTCAATAGCGTCAGTCAGAAATCATATGCTTATAACATTTACTTGACACCCCCACCCCACAAAAGAAACAGACGATTCTCAATACATTTTAATTTAATTGATAAATAAAAAAGATACGATAAATCATTCTTCAGTTGATACATTTTGCTTTGAAATGCTAGAGGTCATAAGAAACTTGCACGCCGACCTGAGATTGGTCCCAGCTTTGCTGCTACCACCTTACTCACCAACAACTTCCATTTAGCTTCATCTTTCTTGGTCTGCTGCTGCATTTTTTCCTTGAAATGCCTGAAACCACAGAGAGTAATTATGCAAAAATCATTTCAATCATAACATGGCATCCATATTACTGGCAGCAACACCAAAGTCCCACAGGATTTCTCATGCTTACCTACACAAAGGGACCTTGCATGAATCAGGCTCATCGCAAATACGAGAATGCAGTTCAAGAAGCTGCCACATGCGCTTGCAGTGAGCACATCCACCAGGAACCCGGGTTTTACAGCTGGAGAAATGACGAACTAAGGTCTCAAGCCCCTTGCAAGCAGGGAAATCACAAGCAACCTGGCTTCCTCTGAACACCTTGTCACGGGGACCTATGGTCCTACATCCATCCCTGCATATGTGAAGAAGGGCTTCCATTGCCTCGTACAGTTGCAAGTACACTTTTCTCTCTTCCTTTTTCTTCAACCTCTCTTCCTTCCTCTGGCACCAAAAAGTTGAATCTAAGATCCCAAATTTAAAGGAGTGAACTAAAAGAGTACTGATGACTTTACGCTTGCATAAACATTCAATTAGATACAAAAATACCACCTTGTTGAAAACGTAAAAGGTTTTCTTTTTACAAAACAAAAATGTATTTCCCCCCCATCCCACCCCCGCCCCACAAACCATACAGAGGTAAGCTAAAATCTTTGAAAAAGGAAAGAGAAACCAGCTTACAGAATCTGCTTCAACAACAGACTCTAGCAGCTCTTGTTCAAGTGCAGGATTAACTTGCTTCATCACTTTCCAGCCTTCAGTTGATGATATGGCTTTAAAGTCCTTCACAATCATACGAACACAAATTAAGGAGAGCCGTGGTGCATCACAGTTCCTCGCCAATTGAAGCACATCAACCACGTTTTCTTTGCTTAGCCATCCTTGCTCAAGAAGATATATACAAACACTTTTCAGTGATGGAACTGAGTAGGAGTGTGACAAAACCAACAAATGGAGAACAAATTTCTTCATCTCTTCCTTTTCATAGCTGCATAAGACACACAAGAAAATATTGCAAGAAATTTAGCTAAAATAAGCAATTAATCATTGGAAGGGGATAGCTTACTGAACAACATAATTCCAACATACCAGGATGAGTAAAGAAAACGAATGAAAGTGTAGACAGCTTCATAAGGTATCCCAGGGATCTTAATGTATCTCATGCCATTTTTAACTTTTGATTGCTGCAAGAAATTACCTAGCACCGGTGATGCAATGCTCTGCACATTCAATATAAAAGGAAAACCTTTAAGCCACATCCAGAAATTTCATTGAGGAATTTCTAGTGATGCAACTATGGGATCAATTCAATTAACTCACCAGAACACTAGAATGAGCTGGAATATATGATTCATCCTCGGTGAAAATATAGACATCAGCACCATATCCATCTTTAAAAAGCTTGTCCCATGTATCCATTGTTTCCTTTGGGACAGAGCAACTCCGTGAAAGCCTTTTGAAATATTTGTTCCATGAATAGGTTTTACTAGGGACAGGAGGAGGAGGTTTTGGGATATTATGGTTATAGGACACAGAAGAGGTTGGGTCTTCCAGAACAGGTAAAATTTCGTCCGGAATCTCTCCTTCTATACGTATATTGAAAGATCCACAAAATGAATCGCTAGGTGAGGATGGCCAGGGTGAGTCAAGAGTAGGTGAAGCCATTGGCTATTGTAGTTTGTCTAAAATAACTATATAAAAAACAAGTATGGAGAGAAGATCTGCACACAAAGAAAAAAAGAGCTTCTGAAAAATGCAAGAATAGTTTTGAATGTTGTAGAACACAAATGGAATTAGATCATAAATGCACCAATTATATTAATATGAAACAGTGCATGGAATATTTCTCGTACAATACTTATGCAACAGGAGATAGCTGGGCATAAGATCTATTTATAGGTGTCTGTGGCCTAAATGGTATATCTCATGGTTGGATCAAAACATAAAAATCCACTTGGGAAGGAATGCCAACAACTGCTAATGAAAGAAGCAAAAGACTTCAAAGTGCCAAAGAGGAAAAGAATCATTAACAAGAAGCCTTCTTGGCTTGTAGACCAGTTCCAAAGTTACTTGAGAAATGGAGGAACCTCTAGCATGCCTAACTTAGAGTTTAGAAATTTCTTTTGTCCCAATCTCAAACCAGCGATGCAGGAAAGATATGCTCCCAAAGCTAGAATTACTGCTAAAAACTTTGCCACAGTTTACAGGAAACTAGGCATCCACCAAGGGAGAGACAAATGTAAAAGCTTTTAACTTCAACCGTAAGTCTAGAGCTAATGTCATATGCTTAATTTTAACCAACTTTGGGAGCTGATTTATTTATTGTTCACAGTAGACATAGAGTTAGGCATACATGTAGTCTTAATGCCCTGTTTTTGGTTATCAATAAAATTCAAGAAAATTCAAGAAAATCCGGAATCATACCTTAAATATATAAAAAAGCAAACCTTCTCATAAAAATTCGAGATTTGCGCCGATCTTCCCCACAGTCCTATCACTGGTGCTAGAAATACATTCAATGCCGAAGAAACTGAAACAAAGAAATTGACAAAATATTAAAATTCAGAATAAATCCTCACAGGAATTATGTAGTATTCTGCTCAGGCAATCATCTACTCAAATTCAAAGGAAAAGTTTGAACTAAAATCGTCAAGGATCAAAATCTGAAAATAAGAAAACTTTCCACACAAAGACTGTTTGTTAGGTGGGAAAAGAAAATATTATTCAGAGCACCTGAAATGAAGAAGAGAAATTGAAGGGTATCGTACAAGTGGTGAGAGCGGTGGAATTGGATGAAGGAGTAGTGTTGTGTTGAGTTGAGTTGAGAGGCAGAGCAGAGAGAGAGAGCTGGTATAGCCTAGAATGCAGAGGAGAGGAGAGAGAGAGAGAGAGCGCGATGGACGTATGTCTTCTCCTAAAATATATACGAGGGAGGGGAAACATATATATTTATTGCTCATTATTATTTTTCCTTCGCTTTCCTTTTTGTCTATTTTTTCGATCTGTCGCTCACGAGAAATTGGTTTCTCTGTCTCTCCCTCCGGATATTTTTATCTAAACAAAGCAAAGAAAAACAAGCATGCCAATTTTGGTATTAAGATTCCATCGTCGGAGTCAAGTTGATAATACAAGTGGTGTGGTAGTGGATACAAACACACAGAGACTGAAATGGTGATCAATCGAGACTGAAGCTCACACTATCGCACACACATGTACACAACACAAGTGGAAGTGGATCATGGCGTCAACGCAAGGCCTAACATGTATAATATGTCTGTCTATGCCCATCAGCCCATGGCTACGCAATGCAAAGTATACATTGTAACAGAACAGAATGTAGTTATTGTAGATATTACAGATTATTATATTGGAATTCCCAGTTAATGAATTAAACCAACACTACTTCTACTTATTAAGAGTCTTATACTTACTTGGTTTGGGTTCATATTTTTTGTAATATGAATCCCACTAGTAATCATTAAGTATGGTCAAGGGCGGATCTATTACTAGGCTGGAGTGGGCTCCAGCCTAGGGGAAGATTTTTAAATATTAAATATAGTTAAGTTTATTCCTTCTCCAATGAATATTAGCCCACTACATAAATATAATAACCTAATAATAGACCAATTTAAATAAAGTAAATAATAGCTTTATTTAAAATAAGCCCATTTCCAAAGCATATAGGAAATAATAAACATCAATTCAAACCTATATAAATTTGATTAGAAGTAGAATCAACTTGACCTATTCTAATCGTACTGATATTGGGCTACACCCACAGAGAGCAAACATCAAAAAAATTCTTCCAGCCACCCAAAATGCCATATTTCAACCTTGAGAGCCTAGAGGAAATAGCTCTCCTCCTCTAAAAAATGGTGCCAACCTATCTTCAGTGGGTTCTTCAATCTTGGTAAGTTTTTCTCTTTTTTTATTATTATATATATATATTTAATTTCCAATTTTAATTATTGTTGTCAAGTTTTTATGATTTAGGGTTTGGGTGAATTTTTTTTTGGAGATTGTTGATATATGTTTTATTTTTGCAACTTGAATTATTAATTAGCATATATGATTTTTGGTGTCTGGTATTTCTTGTTAGGATATCATGTCATGTGATGATAATATACTGGCAAAGAAAGGAAAAACTATTTATTCATTCTTCCAAAAAAGTGATAACGATAATAAGGATACACCTTCTGCATCTAATGTTAATACTTCAATTTTTGAGAAACTTTCTGAACTTGGATCTCACGTAGTTCAACATAAAGAGTTTGATATTGTAATGTAACTTTGTTTGATCTATAAAATTTTATTTACATTTTTGTTTCATGGGAAAAAAAAGCTTATAATATAACTCCCAAAAAAAAAAAATTATTTAGCCTAGCTCTATAAAAATTCATGGATCCGCCATTGAGTATGGTACTCTTAGATCTAATTAACATGTTTATTTATTATATTGGCGATACGATATGATACAATACGATATGGAAGTGTGTGTGTGGTTGAGTATGGACGGATGAATGGGGTTGCTGGGCTAGGTCTAGGTGGGAGGAGTGTTTTCTCTTTTCAGAGAGCACCTAGGAAAGGAAAAGAAAGGAAAAAAAGGAAATGTGGGACCCTCTTATAATGCCCATACGATCATCCAGTGGGTTAGAAATTTTTAAAGCAAAGGGAGAGATAGAGAGAGAAAGTGTGGACGGCCAAGGAAAGAAGAGAGAGAAAGGAATAAACGAGCAGAAAAGGCCAAGGAAAGGAAAGGGACGGTGATCGTCTGTACTCTGGTCGGAAAGCTACTAGTTTGCTTGTTTGCTTGCATGGGAAAGATCAAATAGGTGATGTGGAAGATGGCCCCCACCTCAACCAACCTTTTCTCATTTCTTTTAGGTTTACTCGTGTGGCCGGTGGCCCTCCTTCAATTAGATTAATTCTTTTGGGAGAGAGGGGGGGAGGGGGACTTTCCATTATCCATATTTTAGTACAGATGATTTATATATATATATATATTATTATTATTTTGGTCGAAAGTACAGATGATTTTTAAGCAATATTAAAAATGAAGCCCACCTCCCTAAAGACGACCCAAAAATTAATTGGGAAAAGGAAAAAATAAAAAATAAAAAAGACGACCCATAAAATAAAACCCACCTGAGCAAAGAGAAAAGCCCATACTTTGTCTTTTGTTTGTTTAGTTTAGACTGACCAGCGTTTCAGCAAGAAAGCTATGTGCATGTGCATGTGGGGGGCAGTATGTTTGAGGATGAAGACCAAGTAGCAAGAAAGAAAGACAAAAGCCCAGGCCCTGAATGTTACAAGAAACAGCCCAGTCAATATGGGCCTCCTCAGTCCACATTAAAGGGCCATTAAGAGCATCTCCAGCTTAGCAGCTTAATCCAAAGGCCCTTTAGGCCTCAAAAATCATTTCTAGCGCAGCAATCCAGTTCGGGCATATGGTGGGCTCCAGCATGCCTGGGCAGGCCCGAAGACAAGAACAGTCTGAGTTGTTGCATGAGGGCGATGACGCCAACACTGACGTCATCAACGTAAAAAAATAAAATAAAATTCAGAAATATTTTTTTATACATACCTAGCAATTTATTATTATTATTAAGCTCATATATATAAATAAAATTAATCTCATATGAATAGTAATTGCATTGGGTTGCCATGATAATGGATGGAAAAGCAAAATAAAAAAAGGGTAGAGCTAGCATCATCGCCCTCATGTGGGCTGCCATAATTTAAAGCTAAAATTTGTATAAAAAATGCGAATTATATTGTATTGTGGTGAAATTCTATAGTGAGGTTGTCATATATGGACTCATCATATGGACCTCCTTATTAGTTACAAAATCGTTTTATAAATTTAAGTGAAATTACTATTTAAATGAATTATGTGGTTAATATGAATATCTACATCCATGATAGAACTAGGTAGTTAAAAAAACCATAAATTTGGCTTACACCCTTCAAATTCAATTTGCCGTACCTAAAACCCTTCACTTTTTGTTCCTATAAATAATACCCAATTTGTATAAGTAAAAACTCATGACTAGGATCCAACTCAGCAAGTTACCTAATTAAGCATAAAATCTGATTTATTGTACTTTTCAGATTCCAAAAATACCCCCAACTAAGCTATTATTGCATTTTGTATATTAATGTATGAATCAATATGGAAACAGTTTTTAATTGGATTGTATATAATGACAGATGTTGAATTTGGAAAGATCTCCAAATTGTTGTAATGGATGTAATAATTAATTTTGAAACATTTTTAAAAAAATTTAACAATAAATTCAAATTTGGGTAATCGGTTTGTTTAATAAAATGTTTATGTTATTTTCTTTTTATGAATTATACATGACTAATAATCCACTTTATAATTGTTTATGAATAAAACTGTACATACTAATTATGTTGAAAAAATAATGTACCTATTACTTGTTTGTTTTATGAAAAATATAATGTACCTAGTATGAAAAGTGTACATAATTATCTATTCCAATATACCTACATTATACGACATCCAATATACCTACATTAATTTTAATGTACTTACAATTAGGATTTAGGTATTATATGTCATCCAATGTACCTACCGTTTGAATAATATACCTACTACGAATAAAGTACCTATTATTTATCTAATTAATGTACCTATTTTTTTTCTATAAATAATATAGCCTTTTTTCTCTGAATAAAGTACCTATTATTTGTTTTATTAAAAGCAATTTTTTAAATGAACCTATTTTTTCTCTCCAAATAACTTACCTATTTTTTTCCTCTAATAATGTACCTATTTTTCCTCTCCAAATAATGTACCTATACACATTTACAGGTATATTGTAAAATAATTTACCTGTGGGTAAATAATGTACCTATATTTATATAAATTATTGTGTACCTATTTTTAATTATGAAAAATATACGCAATTACAAAGTAACTTTGTTTTTTTTTTTTTTTTTTTTGTTTTTAATAATATACCTATATTTTGTATGTATATATTTATATTATATTTTTCATAGGTACATTATTGGATATGTAATTTACAGATTTTTTTTTGTTTGCAATTTTAGGGGGCGAGATGTGAGAGGGAATGACAACTAAAAGAAATGGGGTGATTGATATGCTATTAATAGAGAGTATATTAATTACAATTATGGCAGTTAATGAAATGCTTGAAATAAAATTATAAATAAAATATGATGTTTAGTGGCAACGATGTAAAAATATAGAAATACTACGACCTCTTATATCCTACTGGTCATTTAAATTTGAAATTGGGTTTTACACATAGATTTATAGAGTAATGGGTATATGTCTAGGAAATAGAAAATGTAGAGATCTATATTGGACAAACCCTTAAAAAAACAGAATGGAATGTTGGCAAGTAGAAGGAAAGCATGCTTAAAGAGACGAGAGACAACTAGAGATGAGAGAGAGGAGAGGGTGCCTGCCTTGTCAATTATTGGTTACATAATTCTATCTATATGCATGATGGAATGAACCACCATTGTCGTGTCTTGTCTTTATGAATTCAGTCACCCTCAACTCAACTTCAATTATTGTATGCCTAGAAAGAGAACACATAATTGATCAATAATTTACCCATTTAATTAAGTGGCCCAATAACCAGCTGAGAGTGACAGCGATGTGTGTGTACTTACAACGAATGTAACAAGAGACGGGCAGGACTTGAAAAGCTAAAGATGAGACAACAAGATGAGGATTTCAAGAAAACTATATATTATATATCTGCCAGTCGTTTTTGTTGGCCAGAATTGTTTGACTGTTTTAGGTTACATTTTACATGTGAATGCGATTTTATACCTACTCAAAACTAAATGCACGGGAATGAAGAGTAGTTAGTTTGTATACCGTGTGTGTGTGTGTGTATATATATATCTCCATTATTCACACTGCACAGCACAGCCACAGCTAAGTTTTTGAGAGAGAGAGAGAGAGAATGGAAGACAAATTTGGAGGCCACGTTTTGGCAATTCCTTATCCTGCTCAAGGTCACATAAACCCCTTGCTCCAGTTCTCCAAGCGCTTAGCCTCTAAGGGCCTCAAAGTCACTCTAGCCAACACCATCTTCATCAGCAAGTCATTGCCGCTCAAATCAAGTGGCTCCGTCCAATTCGACACCATATCCGATGGCTATGATGAGGAAGGCTTTGCCCAAGCTGAAAGCATCGCTGCTTATCTAGCCCGGATGGAAGCCGAGGGCTCCAGAACCCTAATCGAGCTCATTACAAAGTACAACAACTCACCCCACCCTATTAATTGCATAATATATGATCCATTTTTACCTTGGGCTCTGGATGTAGCCAAACAGTTTGGTCTAGCGTCCGCTGCCTTTTTTACTCAAACCTGCACCGTCAATTACATTTACTATATGCACTATCATGGTGGTGATGTTACTAGTATTCCCGGTTTGCATATGCTTGAGCCTCAAGACTTGCCGTCCTACTTTTCTGTTCCCGGTTCATATCCAGCTTACCTTGAGATGGTTATGAACCAATATTCTAATCTCCACGAAGCCGATTTCATTTTTGCCAATTCCTTCTACAAGTTAGAGCAACAGGTACGTACGCGTGCAGGTGTCCTCCTACATCCCTTCATTATTCATTATATAATTATATTAGCTAAGCTAACGTATTACGTAACTTACAGGTTGTGGACTCGATGTCAAAAGTTTGTCGTATGTTAACAATAGGGCCTACCATTCCATCTACTTACTTAGACAATCGCATCGAAGATGACAAGGAATATGGGGTTAATCTGTATAAGATAGACTCCGTTTGCAGCGACTGGCTCAACGGCAAGCCACCAGGATCCGTGATATACGTGGCCTTTGGAAGTATGGCCGATATAAGCCACAAGCAAATGGAGGAGCTTGCATTGGGGTTGAAGGGAAGTGGCTTCTATTTCTTGTGGGTGGTCAAGGAATCCGAAAAGGCGAAGCTGCCACCCAACTTCTTAGAGGAGCTGGAGCTGGAGAGAAGTACTAGTACTAGTGAAGATGGTGGTAAAGGCAAAGGGTTGATAGTAACATGGAGCCCTCAGTTGGAAGTTTTATCAAATGAGGCGGTGGGGTGCTTTATCACACACGGTGGCTGGAATTCGACGATTGAGGCACTTAGCTTGGGAGTGCCAATGATTGTAATGCCGCAGTGGACGGACCAGCCCACTAATTCGAAATTAGTGCAGGATGTTTGGAAGGTTGGGGTTAGAGTGAAAGTTGATCATCATCATCATTATCATGATGCAAATAATATTACTGATGAGAATGGGATCGTAGCAAGAGAAGAAATCGAGAGTTGCATTAAGAAAGTGATGGAGGGGGAGGCAGCGATTGAAATGAAAAAGAACGCTAAGAAATGGAAGAGCTTGGCTATAGAGGCTGTCAGTGACGGGGGCACTTCGGATACCAACATCCATGAATTTCTGTCCAAATTGACAACCGCAACTGCTTGATTCAACTTAAATAAGTAATCAATTGTCATTCTATTTTGTTGCGGCAAGCCTTCAACTTTATTATTATAACTATTTTATTTATGTCCACATATATATATATATATAATATATTTTAATTTTACTTGAAAGTCTCAGATATTATATAGTACACATCACACACACACAATTCTTTTTCACACTTTGTTCCCCTCTTCAACCCTTAAACTATAATAGTTACCTGCGTATATTAGATTTCTCAGTCAACAAGACAACATTAATCGAATTTAAACTTGACAGTAAATGGGAACATAAATACAGAAATAAGCATAAATAAAAAGAGAGAATGCGAATACCGTTATTAAACTTGACTGTAAGTAAATAAGCAGCATAAATACAGAAATAACAGAAGTAATATATAATGGGAAATAAAAACAAGGGCGCCCTAAAAACAACATGAAAAGTGTGATCAATCAAACTTTGTTGTTTTTGTTTTTTTTCCCGACGTAAAAGTACAATGTCGCGGTAAATTAATTATTTCGGTCAAACATTTGTACTGTTAATTCAACTAGTGTTAACTAGCTAGGAGAGGTAATCAAATCAAATCAACTTTTGTACTGGCCGGGTCAAGACGTTGATCTCTAGGTAGGACTAGCTAGTCTCTCAACGATATTGATCTCCAGGTAACATTAAGATCCGATGATGATGATGAGCTAAAATATGTCTGTCTATGCCCACAGCCCATGGCTATGCAATGCAAAGTAAACATTGTAACAGAACAAAATGTTGTTACGTAGATATTAGAGATTATTATATTGGAATTCCCAGTTAATGAATTAAACCAACACTACTTACTAAGAGTCTTACACTTACTTGGTTTGGGTTAATTTTCTGTGTAATTTGAATCTCACTAGTACCTAACATGTTTATTTATGATATTAGCGATACGATACGATACGATATGGAAGTGTGTGTGTGGTTGAGTATGGACGGACGGATGTGGTTGCTGGGCTAGGTCTAGGTGGGGCTGTTTTCTCTTTTTAATGCCCATACGATCATCCAGTGGGTTAGACATTTTTAACGCAATAACAGATTAACACGTGGATTAGCGGATAGAGAGACAGAAACACAAAGGGAGAGATAGAGAGAGAAAGTGTGGACGGCCAATGTGTGGAAAAGCAAAATAAAAAAGGGTAGGCAATCACTACATATTATATAGCTACCAGTCGTGTTTGGTTACATGTGAATGCGATTTATACCCACTCAAAACTGAATGCCCTTGACAAAAAAAAAAAAATTTGAATGCCCATGAATGAACGGTAGTTAGTTTGTATACCATGTGTATGTATATCTCTCTCCACTATTCACACTGCACAGCACAGCACAGCCACACCTAAGTTTTTGTGTGAGAGAGAGAGAGAGAGATCAAATGGATAAAGGCCACGTCTTGGCAATTCCTTATCCTTCTCAAGGTCACATAAACCCCTTGCTCCAGTTCTCCAAACGCTTAGCCTCTAAGGGCCTCAAAGCCACTCTAGCCAACACCATCTTCATCAGCAAGTCATTGCCGCTCAAATCAAGTGGCTCTGTCCAATTCGACACCATTTCCGATGGCTACGATGAGGAAGGCTTTGCCCAAGCTGAAAGCATTGCTGCTTATCTAGCCGGATGGAAGCCGAGGGCTCCAGAACCCTAATCGAGCTCATTACAAATTACAACAACTCACCCCACCCTATTAATTGCATAATATATGATCCATTTTTGCCCTGGGCTCTGGATGTAGCCAAACAGTTTGGTCTAGCGTCCGCCGCCTTTTTTACTCAAACCTGCACCGTCAATTACATTTATTACATGCAGTATCATGGCGGTGATGCTACTAGTATTCCCGGTTTGCATATGCTTGAGCCTCAAGACTTGCCGTCCTTCCTTTCTGTTCCCGGTTCATATCCAGCTTACCTTAAGATGGTTTTGAACCAATATTCTAATCTCCACGAAGCCGATTTCATTTTTGCCAATTCCTTCTACAAGTTAGAGCAACAGGTACTTACGCATGCAGGTGTCCTCCTACATCCCTTCATTATTCATTATATAATTATATTAGCTAAGCTAACGTATTACGTAACTTACAGGTTGTGGACTCGATGTCAAAAGTTTGTCGTATGTTAACAATAGGGCCAACCATTCCATCTACTTACTTAGACAATCGCATCGAAGACAACAAGGAATATGGGGTTAATCTGTATAAGATAGACTCCGTTTGCAGCGACTGGCTCAACAGCAAGCCACCAGGATCCGTGATATACGTGGCCTTTGGAAGTATGGCCAATCTAAGCCACAAGCAAATGGAGGAGCTTGCATTGGGGTGAAGGGAAGTGGCTTCTATTTCTTGTGGGTGGTCAAGGAATCCGAAAAGGCGAAGCTGCCACCCAACTTCTTAGAGGAGCTGGAGCTGGAGAGAAGTACTAGTACTAGTGAAGATGGTGGTAAAGGAAAAGGGTTGATGGTAACATGGAGCCCTCAGTTGGAAGTTTTATCAAATGAGGCGGTGGGGTGCTTTTTCACACACGGTGGCTGGAATTCGACGATTGAGGCACTTAGCTTGGGAGTGCCAATGATTGTAATGCCGCAGTGGACGGACCAGCCCACTAATTCGAAATTAGTGCAGGATGTTTGGAAGGTTGGGGTTAGAGTGAAAGTTGATCATCATCATCATTATCATGATGCAAATAATATTACTGATGAGAATGGGATCGTAGCAAGAGAAGAAATCGAGAGTTGCATTAGGAAAGTGATGGAGGGGGAGACAGCGATTGAAATGAAAAAGAATGCTCAGAAATGGAAGAGCTTGGCTATAGAGGCTGTCAGTGACGGGGGCACTTCGGATACCGACATCCATGAATTTCTGTCCAAATTGACAACCGCAACTGCTTAATTCAACTTAAATAAGTAATCAATTGTCATTCTATTTTGTTGCGTCAAGCCTTCAACTTTATTATTATAACTATTTTATTTATGTCCACATATATATTTATTTATTTATTTAGTCCCGATATTATATAGTATACATCACACACATACGTACAATCCTTTTTTGCAATTTGTTCCCTCTCCAACCCCTAAATTATAATATTACCTACATATATTAGATTTTACAATCAAAAAGACAATATTGATCGAGTTTAAACTTGACAGTAAATGGAGGTATAAATACAGAAATAAGCATAAATAAGAGGGAAGAATGCGAATAACGTTATTAAACTTGACTGTAAATAAATGAGCAGCATAAATACAGAAATAACAAAAGTAATATATAATGGGAAATAAAAACAAGGGCGCCCTAAAAACAATATGAAAAATGTGATCAATCAAACTTTGTTGTTTTGTTTTTTTTTCCCCCGACACAAAAGTACAATGTTGCGGTAAATTAATTATTTCGGTCAAACATATGTGCTTTTAAATCAAAGAGTGTTAACTAGCTAGGAGAAATGAACTTTTGTAGGGAGGACTAGCTATTCTCTCAACTACATTGAGCTCTAGGTAACAAAAGATCCGATGATGATGATGAGCTGAAGACGTTGATCGGGCCGAACGAAGGTTTACCGAGTGAGAAGAGAATCAGGATCAGCGGTTGCCTTTGGATTAATTTTTTTTGTTTTTTGGATGGCTAGCTAAATTTTTTGACTTAACATTAAGGATTTTTTTCCTTTGCATTTTAAATCCGTTCTTTGCATCAACCAATCAAGCTTCTAAAATGTAAAATGCAAACATATAAATAATTAACTTTCACATATATATTAGTTGTAAACATAAGAATAATAGAATTAGGTTAATATATTGTTCCATTCTTAAAAGAGAATACAAATGAACTTAAGAAAATAATATTTTCCTAAAAAAATGTGTTGTAGTTAATATTGGGCTATATAGGTTTTGTTTTTCTTCTTAAAAAATGTTTTGCTAATGGCAATAGATAATTTCACAAAAAACCAAAAGGCAGCAAACTTTTGTGGGCTATCTAGATACAGGTTTATCATTAGTTGTTCTTCAAAACTTACTGGGCTATAGCCCACCACTGTGGTTTCTACGCATTGCCGTTGCATGCTTACCAGAATTCTATAGTGAAAGTGTTATATACGGCCTTAGATGAGATATTATCTCTTAATTATTGAATCAAATTGGTTAAGAATTCTATAATGAGGGCTTTATATATGACCTTTAGGTGATGCCCTATATCTTAACCGTTAAATCAAATTAATTAGCATAATTCAAAATTTAAGAGATAAGACCTCACCTAAAGGCATATATAAGACCCTCACTATAGAATGACTCTGCATGCTTGGGCTGCCTGAGGCCAAGGTTTGGTTGCTATTATAATAATTAAATTATCTCCATATATAATCAGTGAACAAACAAACCTTGATCATTATTCATTAGACATAAAACATTAGTTAAGCTAGCTGCATTCGTTCCGAGCCCCACAAAATATTGATATATTTGCACTGTGACTGGTGGATTTTATAGAGCACTAAACTAATCGTCGCATCACACGTCTCTTAAACCGGGGGGTCTCAAAAGCACTTGCGTTTCGTGTATATGGAAAAACGAAACCTGGAGAGTGGAGCTAACCCAAATCCACTCCACAACCATTCAGACTTCAGACATAAACAAAACCTATCAATATTATATTATATATATCATGAATGAAATCAGTCAGTGACTCATCTATATTCCCTATCCCTCCTCTTCAGCTTGGTTTGCATCTTCTGTCCGGCTGCCCAATCTGACAATGTCTTCCACAAGAATTTTCCCATCTGTCACAAACAAGGATAACAACATTCATCTTCATCAATCAATCAATCAAATTAACTTTAAGGAAAAATCATCATCATCATCATCATCATCATCATCATCATCATCATATTAGATTTAGATTCCTAAACGTATACGTATATGGTGTAAAAAAAATTCAATCACCTTTATCTTTGGAAAGGTTGCCTATGAGTTCTTGAACACCCTCCTTGCCTAAAGTATTCTTCAAGTAGTTCGCAGCAGCTGCAACCTCCTCAGGAGTTACTTTCCCATCAAAATCCCTGCACACATATTGTAAACCTCATACCTTTAACTACACAGACAAAATGCCAATACGGTACCATCCATCAAAGTTGAACATTACTAGTAACCCTCAAAATGAGTTTTAAAAAAAACTCAAACCAACTAGAGACTGTAAGAAAAGATGGATTGCTTCCATCCAGTAGGAAGTATGATTTCTAACAGAACTCATAGGAAAAGAAACCCAAAGAGGAAACAAGATTTAAAATCAAGAGCTCACCTGTCAAGTAATTGCCAGCGATCACCAATATGCGCATCTACATCATCAATTTCCTTTTCAAGATTTTGAAGCATTGCATCAACCTGTGATACACAGAAGAAAAGATAATCCATCAAGTGAACGAGGGTACGTATGTTACAAGTAGATAATTTGGGATTGAATATCTAACCTGTTTATGAGCGCTGATGAAACCTCATCACCTTCAGCCTCAACAGAAGTACTGTCACTTTCATCCCGAGCAGCTTTATATGCCTTCAAGGCATCCTTTTCACCATCTGTACCCTCTTTCTCCACCATGCTATTGTAAAGTTCAATCTGGAAAGATCAAAAGAATCAACTTAAGCAAAATATTCCCAAAGACAATGCATTTGGACTAAAACAACAACATACATAAGTATTCTTCTGACTTGAACATGATGCTGAAGACAGTGTTGCATGCATGCATATAATGTGTAGAAGACAGCTCAAAAGTAAATCACATTAAAAGTTAAAAAGTCGTCAATCTACACATCCTTCAAACTAAAAGGGGCCAAAGCATAGTGAACATCAACATCATCCACATTCTTCCAATACATGCATGATACAAGCAGAAACGTGGAAATCAGAACTGGAGACAATATTTGTGATGTATGGTCTTTCTAATAAACTGCAAGCAGTTAACCCTCCAATGCGTCTGCATATATCGAGCAGGGGAAGACTAGCATGCATACCTATGGTACGGGTACTGAAGATAAATGATTCCATCTTAATAGATACCCAATATAAACTAGGAGCAATTAAAGGTTTTAAATTACCTCCTTATTGACAAGTCTCAGGAACTCTTCACGCTCCCTACTCACTGACTGAAATAATGAGTCGATAACATAAAAAATTAAAAACTGTTAAGCCATAGTGTAGATGATGGTGCTTGAAAATTTGGAAAATAAAAATGAAAAAAGAACAATCAACAATCATAATCATTGAGAGTTATTAAGTCCAGTCCTTACAGATGCAGAAGCCAAAACAGCCAATGCACGACTTATTTCGCAGAGCTTCTCTTCCTTTTCTAGTGTCCTTGCCCTGGCTTGTTCTTGTGCTTCTTTTGCTGTTGGAGTAGTCATCTCTTTCAATGCCAAATCCTCTTCACTGGCTTTAATTTCCTTCATCCTGGCTTGCTCTTCTTCCTCTTTCTCTTCCTCCTCCTGCAATATAGTAATTTAGAATCTCTGAAGCCACTCAGTGCAAATAAAGAAGTGAAGTGTCACACGTTAGTTTTAATTTTTCAGGAATTTTCTTTTCATAATATAATAATTTAGAATCTCTGGATGATAGTCATAATATTGATTTCAGGAGTTTTATTTTCAACATTATATTTGATTGCTCATCCTTTTTTTTTTGGATTCCGAATTTCAGACAAGTCCAAAACAAATGCATCAAAACTGGCTTAACAAAATACACACATATTTTCCTCCTGATGAAACACAGATTAGCAAGTTTAGTTCTGCTTCCTAAAGCACCAATGGTTGTCTATAAAGCTATCAAGATAAAAGAAATTTTTTTTATACCTTCATCAGTTCTTCCTGCATCTGAAGGAAATCCAATTTCCTCCTCCTTTCAGATACAGAGTCTTCAGATGGCAACGACGTAACACCAACAGTGTCCACCACTTCATCTGGCAGAGAAGACAGTGTAGCTCGAACAGCGTCAGCTGGATCCAACCTTCCAGACACAATGAAGGCCCTGCATTACACACATCAAACAAAGACCGATTAAAACTGGCTCCACTATCAAGATATACACTAAGTGTAAGGCTTCTGAATGCAAAATAAATAAGAAATAAACAAAACCCAAAAAGTTGGGTATACATTTTATGGAGCTTAAGAATACCTGGAAAGGATCAAAAGCGAAGACGGCATGGAGTGATTGAGAGACAAATCCAACCAATCACGAAGCTACACAGAGACGTTAATGAATTGATGAGCAAACAGAACAGTTTTGATACTAACATCTTTTAGAAATATAGTTATAAAACACTATTTCATTCCACTTGTTGACAATATAAAAGATCATACAAATGAAGTACATAAAAAAAGCCAACATTTTGTATCCGTTATCAACTACTTATGAGTTGCCAAGTCTAAATAGTATTTGAAGCTTCAACCACCTAATTTGCAAGCAAAGAAAGGAGTATCCGGTCTAAGCATAGTATACCTGCTGGCGCATGTCTTCCACAGAACGCAGACCAAGCATGCCACGCTCCCTACAATCCTCACGAAGCTCCTCTTCTGAAAGGGATTCTACACCTTCTTCTTGAATTAACTTATCATCAGCCTTAATCCTGAAAAAAAAGAAAAAAAAGAGTAAGTTCCTTTTTAGACGAGATTGAAAAACTCTTGCATGTTTGTCTACTTACATCAAATGTAGCCATTTCAAATACCGATTAGGGTAGTAGCATTTTCAAAGCACGAAACCTTTCATCAAATGCTCTAAGAAGATGGTATATATTCTCTCCAGAAGAAGAATTTGTATTTCAAACGATTTACTAGAGCTTACATTAGTGAAATATGAAAAGACATAAAAAACAGATAACTAAGTAAATTTTTATAGAAGAAGGTTTTTGAAATAATCTTGCCTACTCGTAAGTAGGATCACAAAGGATAAATCAAGCACCACACTCTGCATTATATCGAACAGTGTACATACATGTTACCTTCTGTAGTACACCTTGCCATTCAACAGTCTAATTTTTCTAACAATCAAGCTTAAACAAAGGCAGAGTGAAGAGCCTAATAAATAGCTTTGATTTTACATTGACTAAGTTTTACTACTTGTTTCTAAAGGAGGCAGGCTACAACAAAATAATGTACACCTAATATGGAAAGATACGTATCTCACCGACGTAGTCTTTTTCGGAGCATATATCGCAAATATGCATCTGTTCCATAAGGACTGATATTCATATATTTGCACATATTTACTAACCGAGGCCTGAATGAAACAGAAAACAGAGAGCCATTAACTTCACTCACAATTACGTCCGCATTACAGTCAAACAGTAAAATGTTAAGCAATCATGATGAAAGATAACCTGCTGATGTTATCAAGGGTAAGCTCATCATTAAACAACTTAGCAAACCCCAAGATCTCCTCGTTAGAAACCCGTGCACCCGTTCTAACCTACACTTAGAAATAGACAGGTAAGCATAACAGAAAATATTGGAGAAAGAAAACACGGAAAGTAGACCAATGAAACTGAATTCCTCACCTTGTTTAAAAATTCATCAAGATCTTCTGCTGTTTGCTTAGTTTCTCCACTCCTTGAGTTCTGCACTTCCTTTGCCATTTCCTTGGCCGTTTCTTGAAGGAACTTAGCATATTCTATCCTTGCTTTTAGCCTCCTTTTCAATGCTTCCTACACATTGAAAACTCAGGTGGAATCAAACATTCTGCAATGAAAGGGGAGAATGGAAAGCCCCAGAAACATACTATATTTGAATACGATATAAACTGTTTACATGTATCTCCTAAAGAAGAGGAAATAGAATACAGAGATGAAAGCTACAGAACAAGTAACATACGCTGAGTTCGAGCTAAGACCATTAGAAATTTATAATCCCTACCTCTTCCTTCAATTTGTCTTGAAAAGTTGATGGCAACATGTTGGGGAACAATTTGAGGAATACTGGCAGCAAAAATTCCATGAAAGGAACAACGATGAAAACGGCAAAGGGAACTAGCCTAAAAATATCAGCTGTTGTGCGGGTTAGCTGTTGTTTCTCCCTTCTAGAGAGAGTCTTGCCACGGGCAAGCTTTAGCAGCAATCTTGAACAGATCCTTACATCAACACCCAGTAGCTTAAAACCCAACCAATAATGCTGCAATGTTGACACAATCTCTGTTTTCCAGTGAACAAGTTTTTTGGCCCAGTCCTCCCTGCAAAACAAACAAAGATGAAACCATGGTGAATAAAAGAGATAATGTACGGGAAATGAATGAAATGATAAAACCCATTAAACATTCTAACCTGCTCATGGAAGCCACAGCTTTCAAAGCAGGACCAATCCCCAAGAAGGTGGCCCATACTTTCTGCAACATGGGTTTGGCAGACTTGTCCTTCTGAGATTCTTGCAACTTTTTGGCCTTGGCGGCTTTTGCAGTACTCAAACCTTGGACAGCTTGATCGCAATCCTCTGGAGAAGCCTGCTTTTTCTTTTTGGCAGCCAGACGTTCGTTCTCCTCATCATCAATCGGTTCCGTTTGTTTAGCTGCCGCTGCTGCTGTGGCAGCTGTGGAAGCATTTCGAATCGACTGTGACATCCATCGGTGAGATAGACCCACCGTTGTCCCTGAGATGAACCCTAATCGCCTAAATTCGTCTTTTGCTACTGAAACTTTATCATCGCCATCATCATTGTTACCCCTATGCATATGCATGATGATGCTGCTGAAACCCTTGGACTCCGATTTCTGAGAACCATGGTAGTGCCCAAGCCACTGGAACCCAGGGGTTGTGCGAGACGAAGCCGTCACATAGTCCGTGACGATTCTCTTCCTTCTCAACATTGCTCTGGAAGCCATTTCCCAATTTCACTTTCAGATCTCCCTGGAAATTTGCCAATGACCACTGAAACACATAATCAACTGTGGGAAAGAAAGAAACAATGCTACGATGCCACAAGGGCTCGCGGCGTTTCGTGTTTTAAAGAAACCAACGGATTGAAATTGAAATGATTTCCAAGAAGAAGGTCAAATTGAAACTCTTGAAAGCTTGGTGTTTAGGGGTTTAGGGGTTTATATAACAATATAATAAATAATTTCAAAGAGAACCAAAACTGACCGTACCAACCAAATTTTTATCCTCCAGCCATTTTGCGCAAACCAAACCAGAAAAAAAATAATATCCAACTTGTTCGACAAGAAAATGGCGCCGTCAAGTAACAAAATTACAAGACTAGTGGCGCTAGCAATTCTCTCGATAAGAATTCGTTTCACTACATCAAATTTATCTCTACTTAAAATCAATTTATATCACGTCACTTATAAAATACATAGTTCTATTTGCGAGGAGCCCAGGTGCAGTTTTTGTTTTATTTTTTTAATTTTTCTTGACGACATTTCTGTGACTTGCATGTTGGGAATTTAGGAAAAACCCTGTCGAGTCTTCTCTGTTGTTTACATTCTCTCGGCCTTTGACAATTAAACAAAATTTTCACAAAAACAAAAACATAAAATTATGTGACTAAATGTATTAGTGGCGATAAAAAAAAACCATATCATGACTAATCTTCGTTTGCAACCAATTCCGCAAATAAAAACTACAATGGACGCATTTTGGCATATTCGGTCGAGATTCTGTGTAGGCTATTCTCACCACTCAAAGTCAAAAAACGCAGTCGATATAATGGGGATAAGAAAATCCAAAAATAAAATGCTACAAAAATCAGAAAATTAGCCTCAACTCAAACGTAAAAATTAAAATATCCAAAACTTTTTATATTCAGTGAGACAAAAGAAAAAGGGGAATGAGACACAGGTTGATGTAGAAACATGGTGCGAACGCATGCAAACACCAAACTACGTAGAAGAAGCTCATTTCTTCTTCCCGGCCTTGGCAGCATCACCAGCCTTGGTCTGCACATAACAATGCAATTCAAGAAAACGTTACAACAAAAGAGTGAAGGCACTGCGACACTGGAAACATACAAAGGCTCCAAAAAGTAAAATAGTGCAAGCTTAGCTTGTGCTGACAAATTTAATGACAATTTTCATTACCTTCTTTACTCCCCGGATCTTCTTGGATCTGTTCTTCCTTTCCTTGAGTTGCTTCCTTGACTTTTCCACCTTTGTATCCAGTCCATTCTGCAAAAGTACCCAGGGTTGAGTTTGAGAGAGAGATTTATAAAGATCCAAGAGATATGCCCCTAAGGACATGCGCATCTCAAGCCAAATCAAAAAGTGATTGTTAAACTACCCCAAGAAGATGCATATGCAACAAATAAAAGATACCAATTCACTGAAATCAGAGCATCATCATTTGACGCATAACCAATGACTGTTAACTTGGGAAAGATTGCAAAGCCTGCTTTTGCAGCATTTAAAGCCAATACTTGCCCGAAGCAGAAGTCATATATTTCACATGCAGCCAAATGGACTCATTCAAATTCCATAAATTCTTTCGACAGAGGGTGAAAGAGGATCAAAATAAACCAATCAGCAGACTCAAAACAGATGCACCCCCCTTCATAACCCCTTTGTCCACAGTTGATCTCTACAGTTAATGAATAGCCTCAAAGGGACTTTGTATCAAATTCATGCTATAAATAAATAAAATCCAATCAACGCACATTTTGAATGACTATATAGATAAACATAGGTCTATGCATCAAAAAATGCACTATACATCTAATGGGCTATTGAAAAAGAAAGTAAAGTTACCCTGATCAGCCTGTACTTTGGCTCATACTTCTTTGCATTCTCAACAGAATCATAGATCAAACCAAAACCAGTGGATTTGCCCCCTCCAAAATGGGTGCGGAACTTGAAAACAAAGATGGAATTTGGATCCTTCACTTCATACAACCTTGCTAGTTTCTCCTTCAACTCCGCCTTCATTATGACAGGAAACAGAAAATTATTGTCAACCGACAGAACAATCCACTAAGCAAGAAGAATGCACAACTCACAATATTTAAAGAAAGATTAGAGTAGCACAAGATGCTGGTATCAATAACGTCTAAAGGAAGATTATAGATAGATAGTGAAACTAAAAATGGTTGATTATACAGTGCAAGCCAAACCTCCAAACCATTGTCCAAGCTTTAAACTTACAAATAACATAGCACATTTAGCATAACAAAGCTATCGTTTTGATTCGAGTAGTGAAATGTTAACATTAACATTAGAAAATCAAAGGCCCATTGAAAAAGAAAGCGAGAGCTCAAAGACAGAAAACAAACCTTGGAAACATTCGGTCTTCCTGGATGCAGGACATCGATAACCTGCACCGGAAAAAAACACTATTAGTTAATATACCATTTATGAGTGAACATACTACGCTAGATTCACTATTCCAGATCGGAGACTCGTCGAGTTCGAAATTCAATTTATGACATAGGATTGTTTTGGTTAGTTTCTTTCTTCTTTTTCCTACGTATTTTCTAGCTGACCAAACAGGACTAGAAGACTTACGAATTGCTTTCTCGAGAGAAGACGGTTGGTCATGAACTTCCTCGTACGGATCGTGACCGCTTTGGTATCCGCCATAGCCGTGTCTACTCTAATCTCAGAGTCTGCGCCTCCGCTCTTGTTTGCGCGTTTGCCAAGGAGGAAGACAAAGGGTTTTAGGGTTACTACTAGTAGACTTGCGGTGGATATATTGGGCCTCCGCTCTCCAAGAAGCCGAGCCCAACTGATTCCGAGTGCTTAAACTCGGGCCCAAAATAGACGAGGTAACGCAAATTACTTAAGACACCCGACACCAGTGACAGTGACACCACACCCCGTTTAATTCTAACTTTTTTTTTCTTTTCATTTGTTAAGTTGAAAGCATGATTTCCAGTGGGAAGTAATATATCTTTGGGTTAATTAAATTGAGAAACTGTGCTTTGTGTGATGATACATACGGATACGATACAATGAAGCAAGGAAAGCGAAGAATATCATAAGATTATCAACGTCTGTATAATCATAGATAAGGTGAAGGTAGTGAAAATATAATCATATGTACATACAAGAAAATAAAAAGATCATCTTATTTTTGGAGATTATGTTAATAATAGGACGACCACATCCACAGAAGAAGAAGAAACTTCATTTCATTTTGATGGCAATGCTGCAGCAGCTGGTGGTGGTGCAGTGTGTGATTCAACCAGTATGGACCAGAGGACATGCACATCTTCGCATGGACAGGATCTCACATCCTTGTACAAGATATATATCCCTCTACCTGCATTAATTGTCAAATGAGAGATTACATACATACATACATGAACACATGACAAATTTATTAAGGACAATGCGATTGATTGATTGATCGATTGATCCATTTCAAAGCAAAAAAGCATAAAAACAAACAGGATTTAGAAAAGAAAAAACTGTAAACCAATATCAGTACAGAATTGAATTGAGATGTATGGAGAGATCAGGGGCAAATGTAATGCATCTAGAAAAAAGAGGGAAGATAAAAGATAAATGGGAATGAAATGAATTACGCTTTCTGTGGGTCGAGTGTAGACGATCCCAGAGCTTCTTCAGTGGGGAGACGAGGGACTGAAGCCACCCCATCCCCAAAGGCGTATATATTTTAACTAGTACTAGTTAGGTTAAGGACTGAGGAGAAGAGAAGAGAAGAGAAGAGTATGGTGTGGTGGGTGTGAAAATTAAAGTTCAGTTGGAACTTGAACTTGGAAGGAAGGAAATGGGAATAAGCAAATTAAGGAGTTGAATTTTTCTTTAAAGTTTAAATAATGAGTGAGTTTGGTCTCATGGACAAGGATGATACTGCAGGAGGCCAATCATACAACAAATATATATGACTATTGTTGAGGAGTCTTTGTCACAGGCACCCTTCTCCCCCCCGCCTGCCACTAGTGCACGTTCTTGTACTAGCAAAGAAAGAGCTAATCTGATGATTATATTACTCAGAGCTGCACCGCGCCAAAACTATTCTTCTTGCAAAGCCCTTTTCTCCATTTCTATTTATTTCTTTCTTTCTTTCTTTCACACTTGACGCTAGGCTTGTGCCTCAAGTCAAGCCTCTGTTTTTCTTAATAACACACACCACTGCACTCTTTACCCCTTCCTCTATGATATATATTTCTTTTCTTTTCTTTTCTTTTTATCAATAATAACGTCCATGTCCACTGTCCACACCCACCCCACTCCAACCACTTGTGCAGTTGTAGGGTTTTTTCTTGGTGTTGTGTCGTCAAATACAAGTATGAATTAATAAAGTATGATCCAGGCCAGGAGGAGGGGTTAACTTAGTGATAAGGTAGCAAGCAAAGCAGTCTTACAAGCAAGACCTTGGATTGGTTCTAGTACTTCTATTAGTCTTCCTCTTCACCTTGAAGCTACCTTAATTACCCTACCTTACTACCCTCACAACATCAATTAATATATGGAATAATGGAAGCAAGCTTGCTTTTGAAAAGAAAGAAAGAAAGGGCCAGCATATATATACACACACACACACTTCACCCGTCCTGATTGGGATTTTCAATCTCCATGACAAGGCAAGCAAATAAATCCAATGAAATGAATCGCTTCTGTTCCTTCATGTAGAATGGAAATGGACCTGAAACAAACAAGGCTATTAATATTTATACCGCCCGGAGGAGAGGGAGAGGAGGGGGGGCTTCAAGTTACAACCAAGCTCGCGACAATGGAAATTACAAGAGATAAAAATTAGAATGCGCTTTCATTAATCCTCCACCAACACTCAAAGTCAAATGTGGTCATCAAAGGGATTCATTCATTGGGATGCAATGATATTTTTATGGTTTACGAGGAGGAAGAGGAGTACATTATTATCTGCGGCGTATGTAATTTGTAAACAAATGATCTATAATCAAGAATACTTTTTCATACATGATTTGATTGATACATAGAAAGAAAGGAACTGTTCAGCTCCTTCGCATTGCAAGCAAACCAAGAATATGCAACTCTCTATGCTGACGACCCAATTCATTTATCCAAATCCAAAGCCCCAGACCACCGATTGAGTCTACCCCCCAAGTCCTTTACTATATTCGTATTCCTTCCCATGGAACTGAACTCACTGCCTCTTATTTATTTCCTGCATGTAATCCAATCCAATCCAATCATATTATCATGTATTACAGTGCGTCAGAAAATGAAAAATAAGCTATAACAGCTAACATCTATAGTCTCATCCAAAACGCATCTCACTCTGAGACTGACTTATACAGAAACTTCGATATTGTCTGTGCAACATTCTCTCCCCTTCATTTTAATATGTACATGAAACCTACATCTTAGGATATGCTTAGAAGAGAGACGTACCAAGGAAGCTTAAACGTGTCTTTCCACCATCCCTGCTTTGAGCAATTTGCAACTATCTTGTCCAACCGCACAATAATCTCAGAGAAAATTGGCCTAACAACAGGTTCTGGATCCCAACATTCCTCAATCAACCTGCACACATACCATAGTGGCAGTGGCATCATCAATTAAGCATCAAAATCCTTCTTTCATATATAATAATGAGAAACAATTATTGCATCATACTAAGTAAGGCATCAGAGATACTCTTCACAGTCAAATATTGTGTCAAACTAGAAACTTTCGACATTACCCTGATGATGCTAAACCTCAAGATATGACTTGACATGAATTCCTCTATATATGTCAGACTAGAAGAAGACTTTGAACTTTCTGAAAAGATAAATCTCCCAATGACAGTCACTGAGATCATTTGTGACTTGCAAAGGTACTGGTGATCGTACTGGTGATCTTATTAGTCCATGAAGGATACAACTACAGATAAGAGTTTTCTCTTCTTTCAAAGAAAAAAATGAAATCCATACCAAACCTGGATTTTGATAAGCTATCTTGCAAGGAAAAGAATAAACAGATGATAACAGGATGCCAACTGAACAAAGTCCAGGTGTCTAGGGCATTACATGCTTTATTTTGAGTTGTTAAATGGCTTTTGTATTTCGACAAAAAATAAAAAATAAAAAGGGGGCTCTTATAATTGGATCAACAAACTTCCATCAACTTGCCCAATAATTTGGACTGAACTGAATTTAAAAGCAGACATCTGAACTGATAAATTGGAATACCTTAAGCTGTAAACAATTTGATAACTTATATTGAAATCAAACTTACTCTTTTAGTACAGGGGGATAACTTTTTGATTTGGTCCTCAACTGTGGTCTTGTTCCTTCCAAACACATCAGGTTCACAGCCTCTTCTATAGGCTTGGGATGGAATGGTTGTATTCCCTCAATCATCTACACCCGTATAAAGAAAAACAAGGAACAAGTTTAACACTTCATTTCCAACTGATAAACAACTATGTTATTGTTGTCCGCATAACATCTTCCGTGAAAGGTAGAAAGCAAAAGCCACACACAAAGTGCCCCAAAACCACAAATGTTTTAAAATCAGAATCAAAAGTCAGTGTCTGCACGAGTGTTACATTGACACAGAAGTGTTTTGGGGAGAATGTGAGTTTACTTGAGTATGTGATGTATTTAAACAAGAGTCAGCATATCTAACCCCAGGAAAGTAAAAAATCATTTAGCAGTGCTAAACTGACAATGAATTAATGTTTAGAACATGATGAAGATAGTAAAAAGGAAAGACACCTCATATAATATGAGACCGAAAGAATATGCATCCACACTTCTGTCAAAAATTTCATTCTTGTAGATCTCAGGTGCCACATATAAACCTACAATGAAAGAGACAATATATAATTTCTATCCTCAAAGACAAGGATAATTTTATCTTAGAGTGCAAGTGTGAGAGATGGATCCAAGGCAGGAAGAGTACAAGAACTTACTTGAAAGGTCAGCCCAAGGCTGTGCTAGTTTTGCTTTGTCAGGTGAAATTTTTGACAACCTTATCAAGCCAAATCCAGCTACCTTCAATTGACCTCCATTATCGAGCAAAATATTTCTGGCACCTTACCAAAATTTCAAATATTAAATAACCGTACATACTGACCAGAACCATAATAATTCAATAGCCAATTGTCACAAAAATTACATCAACTTATGCATTTGGTCGTCTTACTTTGGCTTTAAATCGCAGTGGATTATTGGGTCTGGTTTACATTCATGAAGATAATTCATGCCCCTGGAAACAGAATAAGAAAAGAAAAATGTCATAATGTATACAAGCCAAAACAAGCTACAGAAGTGTTAGAAGAATAAACAAACTTGAGGTACTCATAGGTATGAATCAGATGATAAGATTTATGTGCTTGTTTTATAAACAACAAACTTTCTGAAATGTTTATAAGCACATCTATGATGTATGTAGGGTGAAATCTCTATTCGAATGAAGACCATAAGGCTTTTAAAAGAATAATTGGTAGAAGAAAAAATAATGTACATGCCTTGCAATGTCAAGAGCAAATCTTAGGGCTTTTGATGGGGATAAGCGCCCTTTCTTTTGAAGATAGCTTCCCAAGTCACCCTGAAAGATCAACATCAAAGCATTGAAAAATCATGGTTACAATATTTAAGTATATAAATGTATGTGTGCATGTTCATGACATACGCTACTACTACATAAACACAAGTCCTCCATTATCAACCAAATGGATTGGTCTGTTCCTTAATCATGACTGACAACATAAATGTATGCACCTCTAAAATGGAACATCTTTCATGGTGTGTACCCAGCCATCCCACTACATTATCAGAACCACTCTATTGGGCACTAAAAAGTCTACAGTAGATTTCAACTCAAATTTTGGTGTATGCACATGTGCATGAGAGAGAGAGAGAGAGCTTACTTTCGGATGATACTCTGAAACAATCATCATGGGTATATTTTGGGTAACAGCACCAACAAACTGAACAACATTAGGATGCCGAACCTTCTCTAACAACTCCAGCTCATTTTTGAAAGCATTACTGTTTGATTTAAGAAAATATGAAGAATAAAAAAAAAGTATGTATCACAAAAAGTATCATAGAAGTCTATAACACTATATCACTGAACTAATGGCTTCGCAACTAACTAACTAAGGGGCAGTTCAAAGAGCGACAAGATATTATTTTTTTTTTTTTTTTTTTTTTTTTTTGTTTGGGTCAAAAACAAGAATATATGATTTATATATTAGAAACAAGTATAATACTACATCACCTACATCACCACTATTTTGAATGTTTTACCCAAAGTTATGCTAACAGATACTAGATAGTAGATTGCATGAGTTCATTAGTTATTAGTTAATTGTTAAAGACACAGATAATTGGGCAAAAAATGGGGGTAGGGGGATGTGAGACATACATGCTTTCAGGGTCTGAATAGCTTTCCTTGTCAAGTATCTTTACAGAAACCTTTGTACCATTCCATTTAGCCACTTGATACGTTCCCTGTTGAGGTGGAGAGACAAACATATCTGTAATCTGTCTAAATATATTAAACATATATTTGATAAGGCACTAAAAATAACGAAATCCTTGGGTAGTGTAGCTCTACCCCGATAAAATTGCACGCAGCCCTTGTCTCCTCTAGAGATTCATCAAAACAGCAAGGGTTTCTCATTTATTTAGAAGATGATAAATTGTGAACTTCTCAGGAAATTAAGAGTTTCCAGTCCATGATATGTATGATAGTGTTTAATATTGAAGGCAAAACTTTTTATTTTGGTACAGAAAAGAAAGAATTTTTGTCTTTGCATGCATAATTTCTTCTGAAAAAGTTAGCAAATCCTAAGGTCAATCTGATATGGCTGATATATTATAAAGCTTATTAGAATAATGATGGAAAAGAGACCTTTGTCAGTGAACACTTTGAAATCAGTTCAAGAATAAGGGACTCAGACTTTCAATTTTCTCATATTGCTTATGATGACGGAAATGCAGAGAAACTGCCTTCAAGTCACCCTAAAACTAGAGACATGACATACCATTACTACCAGAGCTGCAGGAATCTATAAATAGCAGAGAAAGGGGACAACCTTTGAGATACCATCACTCTTTCGAACTTGAAGCTCTAACGGATTGAGCTCATACTCTGGAACTTCTCGAGGATTTGCAACAGTCATTGGTGTCTTCCTGACTTTCTGAAAAATAAAAACAGAGAAAAAAAAATTGGTGAGTCTGCATCCACCAGCAGGCAGGCCTGGAAATTTCAATCACAGAGAAGAAAGAAATTGATAGGACTATACCGGTACTTTGGCTCCACGTGCTTTGAGAATATTGTAAACTTCTGTATTCCCATAATACTTAGCATCAGCAGCTGCCTGTCCACATTGAGCACACTTGATATTCAATTTCCTCCAATTATAATATATAAATAATAATATGGAAACTGCAAACATGTGTTTTTCTTCTTCATTCTCTTTATATCAATAATAATTTAATGACAATTTATTAATTTAAACAAACACTGATCGACAATTAAACATAAGAAAGAAAGAAAAAACATCTGCATTCATAGCAGCATAGGAGGATGAGGCAGAGGTTTTATAATCAATCGGAAGGATAATTGATTGATCGCCGACCAGACCAGGCAAGAAAGAAGGAGAGTATAATATAAATGGAAGTAGTACCGTACTGCCCCAGCGATCACGAGCATCGATATTGGCCTTGCGGGTAAGCATGAGCCTAACAACGTCAACGTGACCCTCGCATGCGGCTATATGGAGCCCCGTACGGCCATCCAAGTCGATGCTGTTGACGTCGACGCCTTGATTGAGGAGGTCCTCAACGCCGTTGACGTCGCCACGGCAGGCGAGGAAGAGGAGTTGCATGGTGGAGTCGAGATTATCGGGGACGGAGAGATCGGCTTCGTCTTCATCGTCGTGGGAGGGGCTGCGGCGTATGGGGTCAAGGGAGGACTGCCGGCCGAAGCTGAATCGCAAGTTATTCCTTCTCGGGTCCAGCGACGACTGGCGACTGAACTGGCGACTCAGGTTCCGCCGCAGAGACCCCGTCGAGAACTGCCGCGATATCCCTCGCTTCAATTGCGCCGCGATGTGCTCCATTTTTAATTCAATTTAATGCAATTACTCTTTCTTTCTGAGTCAATTGCAATTGCAATTGCAATCGTATAGTATTTCAATTGCAAATGCAATTGCAAGTCAATTCAATTAGGCGCATGCAGCAGGTAGCTGCGGTTAATATTAACGTTTCACTCAGCAAAAAGAATAACAGGATAGATGGCAGCTAGCTAGCGACGCGTAATCATCCTTTTTCATGACACGAGGAGGAGATTCGTCTTCTTCTTCGATCAACTTGTGGAAATCAACAATGAAGGAAAGAATGAATGGTGGTGGTGGCGGGTGTGGTCGGGATCGAGAGCTTGTATGGGGATGAGCCCAGAGGAGGTGAAGCTCTCGATGCCGATGGAGGAGGTAAGGAGGAGGAGGAGGAGGAGGAGGAGGCAGGAGGAGGGAGGAGAGGGTGTGAGTTTGTGGGTTCAGAAAATGAGAGGGAGAGAGAGAGAGATGGTTGAGATCCGAGTGAGGCGCGCATTCAACAAGTAGAGAGAGAAATTGAGGGAACGGGGGTGGTGTGGTTTCTTTGTTGTTTCCAGTATCCACACACTGCCGCGGAAAAGCCGTTGGAGATTTATTTTCTTTTAATGTAGAAAATAATTGAAATTCTTTGGGCGTGTAAGACGCGGCAATGCTACAGTTTGCTTCAGTTTCTGTTATTCACGTAATTAGAGTATTATTCATCCTGAAACTGAATCTTGCTTTGTATGCAAATACTAAATAGGGTAAATACTCGTACTAATAATATTATTATGGCTATGAATGAATATCTGGCGGTGGTTGGGTGGTTGGACTTGGATTATCTTTTTCTTTTCTTTTTAGGGATAAGTTATGCATATATTAGCTATTTTTGCTCTCTCAGACTCAGAGCGTGAGAATCAGACAACTTACAAGTGTGTATTGAAAGGGATTTTGACATGTTTGTTTGTTTGTTTTTTGGGTTACAGACATGCTTGTTTGTTGGGCGTATAGGGATGGGACGATGGGAGTGAATAAAATATCGCCCCTTTATTATTGAAGTGGAGCTGGAGCTGAATGAGTCGGTCATCAGTTGTCCACTTGTATTGTAATTTGTAGGTCAATGGATCTGACCGACAAGGTCAAACCTTGGATTAATTGCACACAAGTTGAACCAAGCTGTCACTTATCATCATCAACATCTTCTCTTTTCTTAATTTTAAATTTTTAATGGGAGGGGAGGGGAGGGGAGGGGAGAGGAGGATTATCGCCGACTGAACAAGGGGAAGGACGATTGGTTGGTAACATTACATAATACATACATACATACCATACCATCAGTGTCCATCAAATGACAAAGATATTGTTGAGAAAAAGATGGATTATCCGGTGTAAACAATTTTATCGACCATCATCCATCCATCCAGAACCACATGATTCATGAAACAATCAGTCTGAAAATGGATTACAACAATCTTTAAAGTTGCCCTTTTTTTTTGGTCTCATCCACTTTATTTTGATTCCAAACTTTCTTCTCTCTCATCCACTTTCTTTTTAATGTGAATATATAATTAATTAAACCTAATAACACGATTGAGCAATTATTGAGACTCGACTCAGTCCAATCCGACTCCGTGACAATTCCATCAATTCTTATTCCACCACCAAAAATAAAAAAGAAAAAAAGGAAAAAGAAATGTTATTCTATGTTATCGCTATCCACCAAACCAAACGGAGGAAAATCCAACCATATCTCGTCCTAATCTTAACCATGTTCAACGTCTTTTATTTTAGGATTTTAGTGCCTGCCTAATTCTGATTACTTTTAAATGAAACTTTAGTGCCTGCCTAATTTTAAATGCAACCATAAAAAGTTATACAATCTGACTGACGAATAAAAGGCAAAATTAGACTAGAATAGATCAGTCTCCAGTATTAATAAGTAGAAGACAGTCTTAACTATATAAAATAAATCCATACATATAAGGTACGTGGCATAATTTCATGTTACCATACCAACAAGTTCCACCACTCATACTCAAATGCCATTTTTATATTCCAAACAACCACACTACCATTCAAGCCAATTAATTAAACCTTATTTGATTAGACAAAGATGATATCCAATTTCAAGTGTCTTCTTGGGTGTGAGAGAACATTACCAAACAATGACAACTTACTCTCTATATAATCTCCTCAGTGTGGGTAGGCTGCACAGGTAAACTTAGGGAACGTTACTATAGGAGACACAGCACAGTTAAACTTACTTTCACCATCATGCGTGAGATCAAATCAAATAAGGTGATCCAGTCAAAAGTGTTTTTCATCACAGAGTCCCTTCACTACAACTCCTCCCTACAACCCCCATCAAACAATTCAAACAAGGCCAATGATTTCCAAACCCGTCACATATCTTGAGGCGTACGTACCTGTTACTTCTCAAGGCAAACTAAACTAAAAACATCCCTGATTTCTCTGACGACAAGACTTATGCATCTTAGAAAGTTAACAACATAAAAATAAAACAAAATAGCATGTTCAACATCAACATCCAATTTTATCATCAATTTCCTATATCATACATAATAAGATTTTGCAAAACCAGACACGAGAGAAACAAGTACGAATATCATGTCCATGATCAACTCAGAACCATGGTAAAATTGTAGCAAATGCAAGCTCAAATTGATTCACTTAATCAACACCAAACATACTTGATACCAAATACTTAAAGTAAGAAATGCATGTATCCAAAAAACAATCACAGTTTAAACTAATAAGCAACTTACACAGCGTCATCCAAAAACAAACACTTTGAGAAACTTGACAAGGGAAAAATTCATACGAACCTTGAATATTTTATGACGAGTTAAACTTCTAAGTGCGACTTTTATTGCTATCTGAACTCATCAAAAAGCTAAATTCCACAGCAGTGTCAAACCAAAGCAAAGAGAATGATACAACACTATTTTCTACGCTTGTTGGGACCAGTCTTGTAGCCACCCTTTGTAGGCTTGCCCCAAGGTGTTCGAGAACCCTTCCCATGAGAACCACTACTCTTGCTCTTACCCTCACCACCACCATGAGGATGATCTACTGGATTCATTGCCACTCCTCGAACCGTCGGTCTGCGGCCTAACCACCGGCTCTGCCCAGCCTTGTAGAGCTTCTTAGGCTTATTTCCTTCACTGGGGACCGTACCAATCGTGGCCTGGCACTTAGAATCAATCCACTTTTCAACACCTGAAGGCAGTCTCACTAGACACCTTGAAGTGGGTTCTTTCAAAATCTTTGCGCAAGTACCTGGTGCTCGAACTAACTTGCCGCCTTGACCTGGGTGCACCTCGATGCTGTGTATTTTGGCATGAATATGCATATCAGCAAGCGGCATGCACCTTCCGAATTGTGAATTGATATCATAGTGAAAAAACTGATTACTTGCCCCACCCACATCTGTGGAAATATCTTAACAGTAAGATTCATTTTGGCAGCAAGAAGGTAATGAAAATGCAGCTTAGTTCAAGAATTCACTTAAAATCTCCACTTGGTCAAATTAACTCAATGGCTGGAGTAGAGTCAGAAGTCATTTCCACTTTGTACAAAAGCAAGCAACAACAACACTTACAGTCAAATTGCAAGTGAACATATTCAGGCATAAAGCCAATTTTTGAGTGAGCTTAATAAAGCAGCAAAAATCAGAGTTTTTGGTTCCCCAAAAAAGAATGGTTAAAATTGAAAACCTCATTTTTCTTTGCCCTACATTACAGAGCAATCAAACGGCAATTTGGCTTAAATCTCATCCTCAATGTGTTTAAAGCACAAGCAACCTATATATAAAGATTATATATCAGCTAATTTAAATTCAGCTGCATACGATTTTTCCAACGGTACGATAAACAAAAATATATATACAACAACAATTCTTTTTCTGGTTAAGGAAGATGTAATGAGGAAATATGTCGAAATACCGGTGGAGAGAGTGCGACAGGCAGTGGTGGTGCTGATGGCGTTGAAGTGGCCGCCGAGGAGCCTGTTGAACAAGGTCGATGAAGCCGCTCGAGCTCTCCACACAGCCATTCGACCGCTTCTAGGGTTTTCTTTCTCAGTTACTTCCTTGTACCACGTCACTCACCAGCCAAGTTCTTAGTGGGACCAACGAAGATACTGAAGGACAACGAGAAAGCTGACTTGGCTACCCAAGGGTATTATCGTCAATCTAATTTACTAGAAACAGCGGGCGTCGTTATTCGGAAGTGGTGGTAAGCTAAACTAGTAACAGCTCTTTCGTTTCGTTCCCATATCTCTGTCTCTCTCTCTCTCTCTCAATGGCATTGGCGGCGACCATTTCTTCAGCTCATCCCTCTCCGAAACTGTCTTCGTTTTCGTCGGAGCATCCTCCTCTAGCCTTAGGGTTCTCTGATTCTCTAGCGTTTCCTTCGACGGGTTCAGGTGGTACTTGGAGATCAATAAGCCACAGCTATGAGCGCAATAAGCAGCAACTCGCCGTCTCTGCTAGAAGCTTCGACGAGAAAATCGCAGAGAAAGCCTTCTCTTCAAACGGTTCTTCTCCTTCGGCCAGCCGCTCCAAGTATGCATGCAATTCTTTAATTAATTAGATTAGATTAATAATTAATGATCATTCGATTCGATTGGTTGATTTATTCTTTGATTAGATTAAATTACTTACAATGAATGAAGCAGGGTAAGAAGGCACGCGATTTCAGTATTCGTTGGGGATGAAAGTGGAATGATAAATCGGATAGCAGGGGTGTTTGCGAGGAGGGGGTACAACATCGAGTCGTTGGCTGTGGGTCTAAATAAGGACAAAGCACTCTTCACTATAGTTGTCTCTGGAACCGAAACGGTGTTACGCCAAGTGATTGAGCAGCTTAACAAGCTTGTCAATGTTCTCTCAAGGCAATATTCTTAAGCCAAATCATTGAAGATTTTCTAATTCTTTGTTTTACATTTTTTTTTTTTTTTTTTTTTTTTTTTATTTCTTTTCTTCTTACTGATTTTTCAGTTTTTTTATTTAAATCTTTTACAATGTGATGGGTAGGTTGAAGATCTCTCCAATGAGCCGCAGGTAGAACGTGAACTAATGCTTATAAAAGTTAATGCCGATCCAAGTTACCGTGCCGAGGTAGTTACAGAGCCATCCCTTCTATAAATTTGTTATTCAACATAGCTTGTTTCCTCAAGGTATTTTGTTTTGTTTCTGTTTCCCAGATAAAGTGGTTAGTGAATATCTTTAGAGCAAAAATTGTGGATATCTCAGAACACTCGGTAACCATCGAGGTAATGATTGGTAGGCCTTTCGATGAGAGCGTGTATACATTGATTTTACCAAGTTACTTAGTTTTTTTAATCATCTAGGTGACAGGAGATCCTGGGAAGATGGTTGCTCTGCAACGAAATTTTAGCAAGTTCGGGATCAAAGAAGTTGCAAGAACCGGAAAGGTGTCAAATTAATAGAGCATCAATGGAATTCTAGTCGTTTTTCTTCTCCTTCTAGCATCTCATATTAATAGTCTTTTAATGATGTATTTCATGTGTCAATATGTTTACTTGTTCTTGCCTGTAGATTGCCTTGAGGAGGGAAAAGCTGGGTGCATCTGCTCCATTTTGGCGATATTCAGCAGCTTCATATCCAGATCTTGAGAGAACAGTTCCTGTTGATGCTCTTGTGAGGGATGAAAACAGATTAGCTAATGCTGAATCTGATATATCTTCGGGGGTATTTACTTCTTCAGCCTTGCATTTATTTAGCCCTCATCAAAAGCATCTATTTTACTCTGTTTTTTTTTTTTGTTTCATGTGCATCTTTCAATTTTGAGATTGAGACAGATTGGAATTATTAATAAATGGGGACTTTTGGAGTCTTTTTTTAAACATGTACTTCATAATAAATAGAACTGTTTAATCATAAGGTCTTTCATTATGCAAGATTCATTGTGAAAGTTCCCCGGTAGCCCATTTAAATCTTACGAAAGAGCCGTCTTTGAATGCAATCATTCCACTTTTATCTTGAAACAGTGATGTATTCTATCCTTTTTTATGTGACGGAAAATCATTATTGACTCGTAGATTGATGTATATATTTGTTCATGAAGGGTGATGTTTATCCCGTGGAGCCATCTGATACCTTTACAGTCAATCAAGTTCTTGATGCTCACTGGGGTGTTCTCAATGACGAAGATGTAAGTAATCTTATTATTGATAAGATTGATTTTTTGGTTTTTCTCTCTTTTAATGGGATGCAAGTCATATACCATTTCACAATCAATGAGTTGTGTTCAAATATGTGTAGTTGGAAGCTGATATAGGGAGTTTAATAGAAACAAGTGATTAATGAGTTGTTATCTTCACTTCATATCAGAGACTGATGTGATTTACATTTGAAAAGGAAACTAATTAATGAGTGATTGCCAGTCTGATATTGAACTGATAGTGGAACCAAATATATTCCACAAACATTAAAGTTTATTTTTTAAGCGTGGTGTGTCATTGCAAAAACTGAACCAACTAGATTTAGACAGATAGTTGGGTTTACCAATTTAGCACTAGGATGTGGTCCCTGAATATGTTGTATGGCGAATACATGGACCAAACTTCTGCCTCGTGCATAATAGTTTTCTCTGAGAACAGCTCATCACTAAAGGCTTTTTATGAAATTAAGATCTTATATGTTTATTTCCCTAAAATTTCCTCATAGTTGTTGATTTATTTTTTGTTGAGCTACTCGTTTCAGACTAGTGGACTTCGATCACACACTTTATCCATGCTTGTAAATGATGTTCCTGGGGTTCTTTACATTGTTACTGGCGTTTTTGCTCGAAGGGGTTATAACATTCAGGTATATTTCTTCCGACCATTGTTATCTTCTAATACGCCATCTTTATTTTTAGACCTGGAATAGTTAATCAAGTCTTGGTCGAATTTTAGACTTAAGAATCCTTTGGAAATATCAGATATTAAATTGAGAAATTAGGTTTCCTTCTGCTGTTATTCCCTCCTTTGTCTTCTGTTGAGGTAGAAGTTTTAGGCATTTGTTTAATTGAGCTGGTTTCTCGTTTCCAGAGTTTAGCTGTCGGCCATGCAGAAGTTGAGGGGCTCTCTCGCATTACTACTGTTGTTCCTGGTACAGACGAATCAATTAGCAAGTTGGTGCAGCAGCTTTATAAGCTTGCTGATATTCATGATGTGAGAATGTTTAACTATTACAAAGAATGCATTTGTTTAATATGTTAACGTAAAATTGATTCGTTCTGATCTCTTATGAATTGTGATGAATGCAATGAGAAAATTTAATGCTACTTGGTTAATGCAAATTTGGAATACGCATGAGTTGTGTGCTCTGCACCACATATTCTTGTTCTTGTATTCACGTTTTGACCTGAATCACCTGATTGTAACCTCCCCTTCTTTCGAAGTCATTGTTATTTGTAAATGATAGTTGAAAGCCAAGGAGCATGAAGTATTACCAGTCTGTTGTTGTCTCCCCGCAACTTAATAAATCGCTCTTGGATATAAAAGAGGAGAAAAGAGATAAAGGATCCAAACCCAGCATAGAAAGAGAAAGGTATAAAAGGGTGGGGGAGGATCCATTCCATACCCAGCAGTCCAGCACTCAGATAGTTCATCTTGACTTCATAACTTCTTTGCACCCTTAACTTCCTGAGAGTAATAGTTTTGGACCTTTCTTCCTTGTGCCCTTGTTAAGGATTTATTTTTTATTTTTTATGTTTCATAAGTTCAGCATCCACAAGACTAATATTATCGTAAGTCTGTTTCTGTTAAGAATACAGTCCTTGATGTAAGCTGTGAACCTAACAGATTTCTGCAAATTCTAACTTTGTTGATGGCGGATGACTTTTCAGGTTCAAGATCTTACCAACTTGCCATTTGCTGAGCGGGAATTGATGTTGATAAAAATTGCTGCAAATGCTGTTGCTCGAAGAGATGTGCTTGATATTGGCAACATTTTTAGGGCCAAGGCTGTTGACGTCTCTGACCACACAATAACCCTTGAGGTGAATATGCCCTTTTCCTATATACAATTAGGGGAATACACCTGACATGCCATGACCCAACGTGAATTGCATGTGTTAAAGAGAATAGGCATGCTATGTATTACCTCAAGATGGTGTCTGTGGGGTGGGGTAAGGTAAGGGGCCACTTTACGTTGTTAGAGCCAAATCTCATTCTGCCACAGTTGCTTCACTTCAAGTGGTAGGGTTAATAAGGCATGAAGTCCAACCATTAATCTCTAAATTGGGCTGTGGCCTTCTCATGTTCTTGGTTTCTTCAATAAGATTTATATTTGTTTGCTGTTGGTAACTTGGTGCTGATCATATTGATCAATTTGCTTTGGTTCAGCTTACGGGAGACCTGAACAAGATGGTTGCACTGCAGAGGTTGTTAGAGCCCTATGGCATTTGTGAGGTCTGTCCTGCGAATTTAGTAGACTTTCGATTTTTTTTATAAGATTGGGTTGCATTATGAGTCTTGGCCTTCACAACTACCTGGAATGTTTGTTTTCCCACCTTTTTCGGAGACTTCTTGGTTAGTTTTTAGCTGTTTGTTTTGTTTGATTCTTGCTTTGATGTATGAATAATTCTGGTAATGTTTGTGCGTTTTGCAGGTGGCACGTACTGGACGAATTGCGCTCGTGCGTGAGTCAGGTGTGGATTCCAAACACCTCCGTGGATACTCTTTTCCTCTGTAGTTGTAGTTGGCAGATTTTGATTAGGAAACTTGACTGAGTTATAAATGTGTGCAAGGTTATTTATTTATTTCATTTCATAATATATAGTCTCAACGGAACTTGTTTCTTTGCATTACAATAAACAAGCTCGGAAGAAGATCCACCCCTGGGTAATCTTATTATTATTATTTTTTTCCAATGAGCTTTGTGGTATGGAGATGCATGTGTGTAGCAGTGATTCAGGAGAAACTACGAGCACCTGTTTAATGTTTTCCAGCATTGCGACCTGAGAAGCTTGAAGGCTACACTGTTTATTTAAAATAAAATAAAATAAAAAAAGGCCCCGTATAGCCGAGAGGCTATACTATTACTTGAAAAAAAAAGGGAACCAAGTATAGCCGGCCGGCTGCTAAATTTTTTTTTTTTTTTTTTTTTTTTTTTTTTAAAAAAAGGAACCACGTATAGCCAAGCGGCTATACTTTAAATTTTAAAAAAAGAACCCAAGTATAGCTGCGCGGCTCAAGGGGCCACGTACAGCCGGGTGGCTTTATAAATTTAAAAACCCAGGTATAGCCGAACGGCTATACTATTAATTTTGAAAATAAAAAAACCCCAGTATAACCGATTGGCTATACTGTTATCTAAAACAAAAGGACGTACCGCCGGGCGGCTATACCATTTATTAAAAAATAAACCGAGTATAGCCAGCCGGCTATACGATAAATTTTTTTTTAAAAAAAACGACCCATGTATAGCCGTTCGGATATACAATTATTTTAAAAACAAAAGGCACCAAGTACCGCCAATCGGCTGTACCAGTAATTTTAAAAAAAGACTCAAGTCTAGCAGGGCGGCCTTACGATAATTTTTTTTCAAAAGGGCCTACGAATAGCCACTCGGCTATACTATTAATTTAAAAAAAAACCCAAGTATAGCTGCCGACTCTACTATTATTTAAAAACAAAAAAGCCGCCAACTACAGACAGGGGCTATACTATTTATTATAAATAAATAAAAAACCCCAGTATAGCCTGTCGGCTATACTATTAATAAATAAAAAACCCCAGTATAGCCGGCCGGCCATACTACGGTTTAAAACAAACGAGCCAAGTACAGCCGATCGGCTATACGATTATTTAAAACCAAACAGCCGACCGGCTGTACTAGTAATTTTAAAAAATAAAAAAAAAGACCCGCGCATAGCTGCACGGCATAAATATAATTTTTTTTAAAGGACCCAAGTATAGCCGCGCGGCATAACTATTACTTAAAAACAAAAGGAACCAAGTACAGTCGCACAACTGTACTGTTTATTAAAAAAAAACCCCAGTATAGCCGCCCGGCTATACGATTAATTTTTTAAAAAAGGAGACCTAGTTATAGCCGCGCGGCTATACTATTTACTCTGAAATATCCGCCTGGCTAAACTACTTATTTTAGAAAAAGAGCCAAGTATAGCCGGTCGGCTATATCATTAATTTAAAAGGACCCCGGTATAGCCGCCCGGCTATACTATTTATTAAGAGAAAAAAAGAGAGGGAGCAACAGCACACCCCCTTTGAACAAGCTTAAAAAAACTTGTACAAACCAAGTGCATAATGTAATTATATGCCTCAAATTACACTTTACAATAATCTTCATTTTGCCATGTAGCTAGCAAGCAACAGGTTTAGATATCCCAACCCAAGTGTGATGAAATGAAAGTCACTCTCGGGAAACTACAACCAGCTGCTTGCCGACATTGTTGCCTGCAAAGAGCCCGATCAGAGCTGCTGGAGCGCCCTCAAGGCCTTCAGCTACATCTTCCACGTAGGTTATCTTCCCTTCTTTTATGGCAGGCAGAACCGTTTCAAGAAACTTTTCCATAAAGGTGATAGTAATTGAAAACCAGGAAGCCCTTCAAGTGGACCTGTTTCATGATCAGAGACATTAAATTGTGTACACCTTCAGGCTGCTCCAGGTTGTACTGTGAGATCATCCCACAAGCTGCAATTCGGCCATTCATCCTCATGTTTAGTAGCACTGCATCAATCATCTTTCCCCCAACATTATCAAAGTATATATCGATTCCTTCAGGGAAGTACCTATTTACAAAAATCATACATTTGACCTTTCCTTGTTTATCTAAATCACAATTTTGATTTAGATAGAATACCGACCTTTTCAAAGCTGCATCAAGGTCAGGTTCGTTTTTATAGTTGAAATCCTCGTCAAAACAAAACTTGTTCTTCAGCAAATCAACCTTAACTCACAGAAAAAGTATTATATTAAAAAAGAAAGCAGCAGAATTGTTGAATAGAAGAGAAAGCAGCAGCATAACAGCTAAGCTAAGCTAAGGACTAGTGACCTTTTCTTTGGTTCCAGCACTACCAACAACATGGCAACCAGACAACTTTGCAAATTGGCCAACAAGCTAACCTACTGCTCCAGATGCTGCTGAAACATACACTGTCTCTCCCTTCTTAGGAGAGCAAACCTCATAAAAACCAGCATAAGCAGTCATTCCAGGCATACCTATACATCAAAGCAACTACATGAGATGAGCCTTGAGCATCAAGCAATGAATATAAATTAGGGTAACCCTCATGTTTAGTACCAAGAATTCCAGTATAGTAAGAGAGAGGGACGTCGTGGGTGCTGTGAATCTTCAACAAAGACTGGGTTGCAGTGGCAGTGATGAGACTGTATTCTTCCCACCCGGTAATTCCCCAAACCAAGTCGCCTTCCTTAAACTTGGGATCCCCAGATTCCAACACCTTACTCACTCCATATCCGCTTATAGGCTGCCACAGCCATATTCCAGAGGGATCAACAATAACAATCTCAGTCAGATCAGATTACTTGTGTTATAAAAAAGAAAAGCAAACCAAAGCAGAGAAAAGCAGAGCAGATCAGAGAGACTGACCGAACCGGGGTTGAAGGAGTTGATGACATAACGGTTGCCACTGCCAGGATCGCAGGACAAGTAGAGGTTCTTCACCACAACCCCTCACAACCTTCTGGAAGCTTCAAATTTATACTGCCGGTGCTCACCACTTGCAAGTCAGATTCTTTGGGGAAGCCGGACACGTAGTCCTTCAGAATCACCTGCTTGTTCCTCATGATCTTGATCACTCCCTCCTCACTCGCCATTGATTAGCAGAATTTATTAATTGCTTAAGTTTTTACCAAACTAGCTGTTTCAGTTTTCTTTTACTATAATATAATGGATGCAGAGTGAGAGCCGATGAATTTAGGTGGTGCTCTGCTTCTTCTTCATCTGAACCAGAGTATTTATTTATAGAAGAGTTTGCTATAAGTCTTGTTTGTGGCACTTGATTATACTGAGATCTGCATATTTATATTATATTCAAGTGTTTTAGTTCCAATAAATTTCTTTTAAAGAATGATCCAAAATATAGACAGCTTCGAGTTTTTCTTTTCTCAAATTAAAAAATTCAAAATAAGGGCATCCTTGCCAGAGAAAGATGTATTATATGTATATGTTGTTCTTGGTATTGTTAAGGATGGATACCTTCCAAATTCCAATGACAGCCCACAAGTGACAATGATACGGAGTAGAGGAGAATAATCGACCCAAACTTTGTCATACTAAAGGAAATTACACCATATATAATTCAAACAAAAGGAAATTACAACTCTTTGCATATATGATTGAAACAACATTTATAAAGGAGACACAGTTCTCGTCAACAGAATGACGTACAAGAGCAATTCTTGTCACAAGCCAGTACAAGCTTCAGTTTAATTTCAATGCATAAGTTGCATTTACAATAGATAACACCACCATATAGCTAAAGGTTCAGAGGTATAGAGTTGGTTCAATCATTCTCGGGAAACTACAACAACCTGCTTTCCTACATTGCGGCCGGCAAAGAGCCCAACCAGAGCTGCTGGAGCGCTCTCAAGGCCTTCAACTACATCTTCAACGTACGTTATCTTCCCTTCATTTATGGCTGGCACAACCATTTCAAGAAACTTCTCGTAAAGATGATAGTAACTGGGAGCCACAAAACCTTCCATACGGAGCTGTTTAGAGATCACAGACGTTAAATTATGTACACCTTCTGGTTGCTCAAGGTTGTACTGTGAGATCATCCCACAAACTGCTATTCGGCCATGGATCCTCATGTTCAGTAGCACTGCATCAAGCATCTTTCCCCCAACATTTTCAAAGTATATATCGATGCCTTCAGGAAAATATCTGTTAAGAAAAATCATACATTGAGACCTTTCCTTCTTTATTTTACACCAAAATTATGGAATATAGGAAGAGGAGCAACGGCCGCACATACTGGAGGCCTCTCCTTATTTATTTTGCTTTGTTCATTTTATACCTTTCAAGGAGGGGTCCTACCACCAAGACATGAGAAACTCAGTATATATAGCTCCAACAGATGAAAATTATAGACAAAGAAACCCCTCCTCATTATCGGACACAGGCAAAGCTTCAAATAAAATCTCGATTCTGATGCAATGCATTTATATAAGGCTCACCTTTTTAAAGCAGCAACCAAGTTAGGTTCTTCTTTATAATTGAAAGCCTCGTCAAATCCAAACTTGTTCTTCAACAAATCAACCTTAAGTGACAGAAACAAAATATATATATTACAAAAAGAAAAGGAAAGAAAAATGTAAAAAGTTCCAGTGTAAAAGTGAACGCTGTAGAATGACACTATCAGAGTCATTGCCCATTGGATGAATATCAATTGAGTGCAGCATGTTGAAAAATAAAACTAAACGAGTTTAACACACTTGATGAGTGACTGGTCCCCAATATTTGTACTGAGGAACAAGATTTTCTCTTCTATTTTCCAAGTATGTTATTATTTTTTAACTAACTTTTTCAGGTTGAGAATTTGGCAAACATCAATATACGTACATGTTTCTAAAACAAAAACAATCTGAATCACAGCTATGAATTGCCAACTAATATGCTAGTCCACATTGACCACTAAATTGCAATGACTCACCTTTTCTTTGCTTCCAGCACTCCCAACAACATAGCAACCCAACAACTTTGCAAATTGCCCAACTAATTGACCTACTGCTCCAGATGCTGCTGAAACGTAGACTGTCTCTCCTTTCTTAGGAGAGCAAACCTCATAAAAACCAGCATAAGCAGTTATTCCAGGCATACCTATATAAAAAGAATACATTAGATGAGCCTTGGGCATCAAGCAGGACATATCTTGCATTACAAATTAAGCCTTGCATATATATCTGAAAAGTACGTTTCACAATGGTTTAAATCTATTAGAAAGGATTATTTTGTGATCACGTTCAAGCAGAAATGGGTGCTACAGATCCGGGCATATAAATTACTGCATGACAATCATAAAAAAATTGAAATTATGTACCAATATCATTCGAGGGATTAGGCCCTCACGAGCTTTGGTGTACTTACACTCACAATAATCACGCATCAACCTCATATTATAGATTTCGGAAAGCTAGCTACTAGTAGCAGAAGCAATTTTCAAAAAGAGAACTTTTAAAAGTGACAGTTGGGGGAAATAGCAATAGCAGCATACCCAGAATTCCAGTATAATAAGAGAGAGGGACATCGGTGTTGTGAATCTTAAACAGGGCCTCTGTTGCAGTGATGACACTATATTCTTCCCACCCGGTAATTCCCCAAACGAAGTCGCCTTGCTTAAACTTGGGATCGCCAGATTCCAGAACTTTAGCCACTCCATATCCAGTTAAAGGCTGCGAGAGATTCAATATATCAATGTGTTATCATTAAAAGTAGAGAAATCTTAAATTGAAAAGGATTAGCTTAAATCTCAGCATAAAGCAGAGATATTTAGATACAAGAGGAAGAGGGTTTTGGTTTTAGATCATTAAATCATCCCGAACCGAGGTTGAAGAGACTGACCGAACCGGGGTTGAAGGAGTTGACATAACTGTCGCCGGGATGGCGCTTGGTCATACGGCCCCTCATATATGGATCGCAGGACAAGTAGAGGTTCTTCACCAAAACCGCACCACTCGAAGAACCTTCTGGAAGCTTCAGCTCTGTACTGCCAGTGGTCACTTGCATGTCAGATTCTTTGGGGAAGCCGGAGACGGTGTCTCTCAGGATCACCTGCTTGTTCCTCATGATCACTTCCTCTGCTGCTCCTATGAAACTTGCAATTTCCAATTTGCTTGAGCTTTTTTTACCAATAGCTTCGGCTGCGGCTTCTCTCTCTAAATGTAAATGGGTCTGCAAAGTTGCATGCGTGCCAATCGATACGAGCAATGCCAATGGGTCTGCTCGATGATTTTGTGTCTATGTGTGACGTGTGCGTATGACACGTGTGAATAATCCATTCCATTTCGACTTTGCCGATTTCGAGTCTATCTACTACCATACAGACACGAATGCCTATTGTGAAAATCCATCTATGCATTTGTATGGTTTCTTAATCTTTCAGGATTGGAAATTAAGACCTCTTCCGACTTGAATTGGGCAGGAAATGTTACACCCGCCCTAATTTAAACAGACCAACAAAAAAAAAACCTGCAAGTTGCATGGATTGATTGAAAGATCAAAAAAGTTCAACAACATTTATTAAACAAGCTTCGCCACAAACCTTGTACAAGTAGAACAAGTATAAAGTTGTAAATGGAGAAGAAGCATTTGCTTGCATTTGCATTTACAGTAGATGATGATTCTACCATATAGGCTAGGCTAAGCCAAAGAAAGAAAGAAAGCTTCAGTTCAGACTTGAGAGAGAGAGAGAGAGGAGAGAGAGAGAGAGAGAGAGAGAGAGAGAGAGAGAGAGGCATGGAGGAGAGTGTCGAGTCTGATCAAGTCATTCTCGGGAAACTAGAACGACCTGCTTTCCTACATTGCGCCCCGCAAAGAGCCCAATCAGAGCTGCTGGAGCGCTCTCAAGCCCTTCAACTACATCTTCCACGTACGTTATCTTCCCTTCTTTTATGGCAGGCAAAACCATTTCAAGAAACTTCCCGTAAAGATGATAGTAATTAAAAACCAGGAAACCTTCCATGCGGACCTGTTTAATGACCAGATGCATTAAATTATGTACCCCTTCCGGCTGCTCCAGGTTGTACTGTGAGATCATCCCACAAACTGCAATCCGACCGTGGACCCTCATGTTCGGCAGCACTGCATCAAGCATCTTTCCCCCAACATTTTCAAAGTATATATCGATGCCCTCCGGAAAGAACCTGTTAAGCCAGTCAGTGCACACATTTAGTTCATATATAAGCAATCACCCAAAAGTAGGGAATAGATACAGTAAGAGGACGGAGACATGAGTTTCTATATAAATATGTCACTAGCCACATGCTCATACTGTATGTACATTTCACTTTCTCTTTCTCTGTTTCAGGATTGGGGATTAAATTAGGATGTCTGTTAGAGATTGTTAATGCCTTTTATAGGGCTTGCCCTTTGTAAGTAGGACATAACTTTTTAAAAAAACAGTTTAACTGGATTTTGATTAATACACCTGTAATACTGACCTTTTTAATGCTGCATCCAAATCAGGTTCTTCTTTATAATTGAAAGCGCCGTCAAACCCAAACTTTTTCTTCAGCAGATCAACCTTAACTCAAAGAAATGATATATTATACATCTCTATTTTAAATATGGAATGAATGGGTAAACAAATAGTATTCTGAAATAGTGAAAATGTAGCAAAGACCACCATCAAAGTTTATAGATGCACTTTCCACCGCAATGTATTAAGAAGCATATGCTTACGCTGTGTCCAATGATCTGGACATTTTGCCAGCGAGAGTTCTTCAATCAGATGAAGCAGCAGGTTAAAGAATAAAACTAAATGAATTTTACAAACATTATTTGAGGATAAAGAATATTGGTCACCAATATAATATTTGTACTTCTCAACATGTTCTCTTTATTTGCCAAATTTGTCCAGTCAACAATTTGGCACACATCACTAAACACTTGTTTCTAAGCCAAACATTGTCATCCAATTTGAGTCACAGCCACAGAATTCCAACTAAAATGTAAGTTGACATTGACCAATAAATTGCAATGATTCACCTTTTCTTTGGTTCCAGCACTACCAACAACATAGCAACCAGACAACTTTGCAAATTGGCCAACAAGCTGACCTACTGCTCCAGATGCTGCTGAAACATAAACTGTCTCTCCCTTCTTAGGAGAGCAAACCTCATAAAAACCAGCATAAGCAGTCATTCCAGGCATGCCTATACATAAAAGCAAGTACATGAGATGAGCCTTGAGCATCAAACAGATTTATTGCGCATTACAATTTACAAATCCATATTACTGAAAACTTGGTTGAACTAATTAGGATGGATCACTTCAGGAATCGCATTCAAGCAGAGAGCAAAGCTCCAGATCCAGGCAGGAAAATGACTGTATGACCCATTGAAGTAGAATCACTTTATGCTAAATAAATTCCCGAACTGCCAAACCACATTACTAATCTTGAAAAGGAATGTGGTACATTGGTCTGTGAAAATCTAATTTATGAAGAGTAGTGTGAGAATTCACAAAAGCAATTCAACTTAACATCGTAGAGGTCACAGTGCAGGGAGGATACAACTAGAGATGAGAATATACAAAAATCCTTTCATCATGAGGAAAAACCGTTGAACAAAAAAGAGGATTTTGACACAATCTGTTCACTTCTAACTTTAGCATGAGAATAGTCTAAAAAAAATTAAAATGAACTAATATTGGTAGACTCCGGTCGGTACTCAACATAAAAGATTGTGGACAGGTGCTTGTAAATTATTCAGAGAAGTAGCATACCTAGAATTCCAGTATAGTAAGAGAGGGGCACATCAGTGTTGTGAATCTTAAAGAGAGAGTCTGTTGCAGTGATGATGCTGTATTCTTCCCACCCAGTCATCCCCCATACCAAGTCGCCTTGCTTAAACTTGGGATTAGCAGATTCCAAAACTTTAGCGACTCCATATCCAGTTATAGGCTGAGAGAGAGGATTTCAATATCAAATGTGATAAAGTTAAAAGTAAGAAATGCTAGCCTACAACATTGAGTAGACACTATCCTGCCCTCCTGGCCTGGGTATGAGTTGTAACTTATAAACGTCTCATCCATCCGATGGCATAATACTAATAAAGCTTGGATCTTGGATGTTCATTTGTTACAACATACATAACTCAAGTGTGGATTAGATATCTGATATGGACTAGTGCAGACAATTTCGCGAACAAGAGAAGAAGGATAATTGATATCATCACAAACAAACCACAAATCATCATAATTTTTCTCTCACACATAACATAATCATTAACATACAGCCCGAAAAATCAACAAATATGATAAAATTGTACTGCCGATCCCAAAAAAATGGGACTGGGTTTCTTTTCGGATGTACATCTCAGAGAAGAGAGAAATGCTAAAAAAGATTCAACCTTGATATGAATTTGAAAGGAAATAAAGAAGGCAAACATTATCAAAACAATTAACAAGTTAGAGACTGGGCGACTCACCGAACCGGCGTTGAAGGAGTCGACATAACTGGCGCCAGGGTCGCGCTTGGTCATGCGGCTTCTCATATAAGGGTCGCAGGAGAGGTAGAGGTTCTTCACCAAAACCCCAGCAGTGGAACCTTCTGGAAGCTTCAGCTTGGTAGTGCCAGTGGTCACTTGCATGTCAGACTCTTTGGGGAAGCCGGAGACATAGTCTCTCAGAATCACCTGCTTGTTCCTCACCACGTCCTCTGCTCCCACTCCACCACCAGTACTCGCCGCCATTAACAATGCTGCTGCTGCTGCTGCTGCTGCTTTCTCTTCTTCTCTTTTTACTAATTGCTTGGCTTCTCTCCGTTTCTGTCTATTTGTGTGGAAATCGTCTTAATATTATGTTAATGCAGGCGGAAGGAAGACGATATGAACAATGATGGATATTTGAAGCGGTCGAAAACCCAAACCGAAGATTATGTATGCTAAATTGCGTATGGGAGCGTCTCTTACTCTTTAGCGTGTTGCCTGCCGTTTGTGGGTATATTATTGACACGTGTGAGGATAGTGTTATTTGGCTATTCCGATTTAAATTTAATCATCCTATTATGTAGAATTCTTATAATGTGTTACGAAATGTGAGTCTTTCTCGTGGAAGAAGGGGAGAAATTCTACTAATCCAATGGGTTAAGGGCAAGATTGGTATGTCACACTTAATAGCAAAGTAGTAATAAATGAATATAAGTGTAACGATGTGATCGTTGGCAATTTTTAACGGGTTGACACAACATAACCCGTTAAGAAAATAAGTGAAAAATGCTAAACATGAACCCGTTAATAACACGATATGACCCGTTTCACTCATTAACTGTTAAGAATATACACCCAAAAAAAAACTGAAAAAATAATATTTAAAAAAACTGAGGAAAAAAAATCAACAAGAACGCGACCACATCACTATGGTTTTTCTTTTTTCTGTTTTCTGGGATTTCTAAAAACCCAACAAAACAAAGGACCAAATTCATCCACAAAGAAAATCCAACTTCATATCTAATTAGAACGTAACAACTGAAAAGTAAGTCATTTAACTTAATTTGACTAATCCATAAAGGATTTTAAAAACTCTACAATATTGTTTGTAACTGAACTACAACCTTGAAGCCAAATTGAGAAGATTTCAATTCCTTGGTAATCTATGGACATCTTTAAGGACTTCATCGATGAGTGGTAAAGGAGGAGAAGGAGGAGGAGAGAGAGAGAGAGTCGGGGGAATAAGAGAGGAAGAGGCGAAAGAAATTGGATTGGATTGGATTGGATTGGTTTGTATGCCTGGATGGATGGATATGCATGCATGAAATTACTATTACTTACCCAGAATTCCAGTATAGTAGGAAAGAGGTACATCAGTGTCAGTGTGCCGGATTTTGATGAGGCTTTCAGGGTTTGTGATGAAGCTGTACTCTTCCCATCTGGTTAGCCCCCATACTAAGTCACCTTGTTTAAATTCTGGATGACTGGAATCCAAAACTTTAGCCACGCGAGCCATACCCACATATATTGGCTGCGCATATATATTTATATGCTCATGCATTTATGTACGATATATATAAGATATTAAACAACACAAAATTGTAAAAAAAATTTGAGGGAATTAGTAGTGATGATCAACAAGATGACTTACAGAGCCAGGGGTACAATAAACGTATTTGGTCATTCTGTGATGAGAATTATCCATGATGAGAAATCGCATCATGGGATCGCAGGACAAGTAGAGATTCTTGACCAACACAGTTGAGCCTTGTGGAGGAACCTTCAAGCTTATGTAACTGCTTGTATTCACATACATGTCTGCCTCTGTGGGAAACCGTCCAGAAACGTACTCTCTCAAAATCACCTGCTTGTTGCTCATCAATTGTTGCTGCTCCATTTTTTACTACTTCTCCCAGGCCTGGACTGCATGCACCCTCATAGTCATATATACTCTGAGTCTGAGGACGGTCCTATTTATAGCAGAAGCATATGCAGCCTAATTATTTAGTCCACGAAAGGAAGGATTGGATTGGACTGAATGTTTCATGCTTCAACAATATGACTAGCTACTTTCTTTCTGACTGTTATTAATTGCCAAGGAAAGGAAGGGAACGTAATTGCATACGAGATCGGAAGAATTCCAGGTAGGTAACCACCATCCATGCATGGCAATTGCATTTACCGACACTGTAATATATAAATCAAAGTTATCTTTCTTGAGTAAATCAACATCAAACAAATCAAAGTCAAAGTCATTTGGCAAATCCTTTTTGTCTTCTTCATTCTTTGTTAGTATACGTGCCAAACTTAAACATTAATTGATGACGCCATTAATTAGATAATATGATATATACTTTCTTTATTTCCCATCGATTGAACAGTATGCACACACAACAACACACTACTACTACTTATACAAGAAGTGAAGTGATGGATAATGCAAAAGATAATTAATTAAGATTATTCACGAGCAACAACAACGACTGCTTTTCCAGCATTGCGGCCAGAGAAAAGGCGGACGAGCGAAGCAGGACCATTCTCAAGGCCTTCAACAATGTCTTCCACATAAGTGATGTTGCCTTGTTTGATGAAGGGCACCACAAGATCCAAGAACTTGGGATAGAGGTGATAGAAATCAGGCACAAAGAATCCTTCCATGCGAACACGCTTATAAACGAGATGCATTAAGTTGGTGACTCCTTGGTGCTGCTCAAAATTGTACTGCGAGATCATCCCACACACAGCTATGCGGCCGTGAAGCCTCATATTGAGGAGCACTGCATCAAGCATTTTGCCCCCAACGTTCTCAAAGTAAATGTCGATGCCTTGTGGGAAATACCGTTTCAAAGCAGCGGTCAGGTCTGCCTCTTCCTTATAATTGAAAGCCTCATCAAACCCAAACTTGTTTTTCAATATATCAACCTAACAAAATCAAAATTAGCTAGCTAGTAGTAGTAGTAGTAGAGTTGATACTGTCATATTGATGATGTTGAAAGGGAAATAGATATGTTACCTTTTCTTGACTCCCAGCACTTCCAACAACATAGCAACCCATGAGTTTGGCAAATTGGCCAACCAGCTGACCAACAGCCCCAAATGCGGATGAGACGTACACATATTCTCCCTTCTTAGGATTACAAACCTCATAGAAACCAGCATAAGCAGTCATACCAGGCATACCTGTATACATATTATATTATAATACATTCATTAATTACAACTTTATCACAGGATGAGCTTACAAAAAGCAAAAAGAAAATTAAATTAAAGGGTTTACCTAGAATTCCAGTGTAGTAGGAAAGGGGAACATCAGTGTGGTTTATTTTGAAGAAACTTTGGGTGTTTTTTATGAGAGTATACTCCTCCCATTTTGTTATGCCCCAAACTAAATCGCCTGCCTTGAACTCTGGATGCTTAGAATCTACGACTTTAGACACTCCATATCCAACTATTGGCTGTGCGGAGGGGGAAAAAGGAGTACATATATTATTATTAGGACAATGTTTGACTCCTGATATAACAGGAGCCATTCCTCCTCAACTGAAGATAGACCTTCATTTTATTTCCATTTTGCCTGGCTTAGTATGGTGTCTCTGGCCATTTTTTTATTTTTTTTTCCATTTTTGCCTAACTTGGTGTGGCTAGAACTGCACCGGCAAATTTTTTTTTATTTCACCTCTATTTAGCATGTAAGTTTTCTCCTTCTCCTTTCTTCAACAACCATGAAAAATCTTCTTTTTTTTCCAAAAAATAAAAAAAAACCTGCAAGTCTAGAAATTAATAATAGTAAGTAATATTGATAGTGATTGATTACTACTTACTTTGTCAGTGGCAAAGAAAACAATGCGATCTTCGAGAGTGGAGGAGGCTGCATCATCACTGTGCTTAACGCCTCGCATGTAGGGATCGCAGGACAAGTAGAGGTTCTTGAGCAGCATGGCCTCTTGGCAATCATCGTCATCTGGCACTCTCAGTTTTATGGTGCTGTTTGTGTTCAAGTACATGTCTGACTCCTCCGGAATCGCACTTATGTAATCTCTAGCAAGCACTTGCTGGTTCCTCACTTCCTTCACTTCTCCTCCTGCCATTCTTTCTTTTTCTTTTTTCTAAATCTCAACTTCTCTCTCGCGCTGTATCTCTCGAACAATTAAAACCAGGTTATATAAAGAGAACAGATATATGTTATGTTACCCTTGAGGTGAGGTGAGGTGAGATGAGGATATATATATATATATATATATATATATATATATAGAGAGAGAGAGAGAGAGAGAGAGAGAGAGAGAGAGAGAGAGAGAGCAAAATGAGAGGTGATGTAAGCACTGGTGTAAGCAAGCACAAGTCCACTTTTTTTTCACTTGGCTTCATTTGTTGGATTTTTTGACACGTATTTTGCAGTCCACGCTTGAAAATGGAATTCTTGGTCAAAACCGGCTTCTCTCTCTCTGTGGTTGCAATACCTTTATCCTTATCCTGCCATTTAATTTGTCATGTGCCAGTTGTGGTATTTTAATTTGGGGGGAGGGAAGGGGAGGGGAAGGGAGGGGAGGAGGTATATGTTTTTATTTGCTTCGTTTTTTCGGTGGCTGGGTCTGGGTGGGGGGGGTTGGTGTTTTGTGTTTTTTTGAAGGGGTCCAATCCAATGCCCAAGACGTTTGATCGGTCTTTGAATAATTCTAATATAACCCTGATTTTAAGGATGGAAACGTTGTTGGGCACGCATGCATCAACCCTGAAAGATTCTTTTGGGCACGCACCGGCGGCAGCAGAGCAGTGATACCCTATTTTATTTCACACGGCCGGGCCAAGCCAACACATATGCATAGTTACACATTTCTATATGGAAAAGTTTAGTAACGTCCCTTTAAACTTCCTAAGCTTTTTTTTATTTTCAATTTTAATGAAAGCGGCCCTTTGCATTATAATGAAAGTCGTCATCACCTTGCAGGAGAAGATAAGAACAAAGCACCACACTTTATGTGGGAGCGCAGGATGGACTCATGATTTGAAATAGGGTGGAAAGCCAAGGTAAATGATTTTTTCTAAGGGAATAAAATGAATGTTTTTTGAAAAGGGGAATGTGTCACATGTGTGAGGTTAGTTTATGTTTTTCTTTCTATCAAATTTGTGGGGTTAGTTAACTAAAGAGAGAAAAAATGAGATTTGCTGTGGGTGGGATTGGGGTATGTGTGTCCGTTGTGTGGGCTGTAAAAAATCAAGTCACTTAGGTTGCCTATTAACTTTTGGGTGTAAAACATAAAGTCACCTAGGCTATAGTCCATGTTGATTTATGAAATTAATTAAAATACTTAAATACTAAATATTCATAAAATAAAGAATAATTAATATAATTAAATAAAGCTGAGATATTACTTAATTGCAAATATTAAACTAAACAGACTAATTTTGTATATAATAAAAAGTTTACAAAATAATTTTAATTAATTAATTAAAATTTATTATGTAGTTTATGAAATTAGTAAAATATTTAAATATACTAATTATTCACTAAAGCAATAATAATTAAAACATAATTACTAATTAAAGCAATCGAAAAAGACTAAGATATTACTTAATTACCAAAAAAAACAAACGCATGTTGTACAGTATAGCCAAGCAGTTATACTTTTAACATATATTGATATTTAAGGAGTATAGCCGTGCGGCTATACTCTATATATGTGAGCTAACAAAAGATTCTATAGAAGGTACAAATCTTAATGGATGCATTTGCTGCAATGCTACAAATTCCACTAAATATGTAATTCCGCTTCACTCCCACAACAAAAGTTGGCAATTCCTCATTTCTGGGCGTGGGAATTTTAAGATCAATTTTAGCAATTACACGATAAACTTCTCTCTAAAAGGAAAAAAAAATAACTCTAATGAATAGTGAAAAATAGATTCACACAAGATTTTTCAAAAGAAATTAAACAATATAATACATATATGAGTGCGCTTCATTGGCTAATTACCTAATATTTTTAGAATAGTTAATTTAAAAGAATGGTACTTATCTAATTACAACGTACCTGTGGGGCACATACTAGATTAATAATAATTGTGACAAATTGTCTATGAAAAAATGATTTAGAAAAGGCCTACTCTCTCTCTCTATTCTAGAGGAGGATAAATTATTTTTATTTAGGGTAGTTAAAAACTTCCTTCACTAGTAAAATATGAATATATTATTTATTGAAAGGGACTTAAAAGTTATCATGAATCTTAAGACTTTTAGTAAAAGAAAAAGAAAAAAAAGAAGGGCTTTTCACTAATAGGTCCATTCTAGCGTGACATAAATATAAATTACATGACATGAGCTCATCTTCTCCTTCTTCTTACTTTTCTTGCATTGCTGTGATTATTGATATATATAATCAAGTAATTCCTCATCAGGGGCTAGCTTTAGCTTGATTGAGTGGAGTGATTGATGATGAGTATGTTGTGACGGTGGGAGCAGCAGAGGGCGAAACTAGAGTCTCCAGGTATAAAGCCAGTTGAGAAGAATGAATATCCCCAGAGAGTATGGTTCGAAGTGTTCTGTGCCCCGGATTGTAGATGACTAGCTTCCTTTGATGCAACAGGATGACAATTTCACCGTTGTTTAAGATACGCACAAGCGACATCAATCCCAGGTATTCAGACTCCATCTTCTGTGGAATGGTTGTGAAAATAGTCCAAGACGCCTTCACCCCGTATTCATTCATCAACCACACCTCATAATCCGAGCCATGGGGGCTGTGAAGCATACTCAGGCATCCTCCCAAAACCCCCAAACCATAGAAGGAGAAGTTCTTGTCGCCCTCGCCTGGCAGGGGCACGTATCGGTACGTCTCCTCCGTTACATCAAAAGAAACGATTGAGAAAGGCCTCTCAGCAGCAGCAAGCCGGACGACCCAGTGGAGAGCCCCGTTCAATAGGGTGCCCACCACATTAGACAGAAAGTAACAAGGGAGGGTTTTGATGGCAGCTCTCCACGAATTGGTGTTCAAATTAAACATGTCGAGGTGGGTGGCAAAATTGCCATTCCTACTGGAACAAGAGGCCCTCACGATTTTGTAATCGTCGTTGCAGGAATCATAGCCAAAGCCATAGAAGTAGTCCTTACCCGAATAATAATTATTGGTTGGCGGTGGAGGTGGAGAGGGTACTGATTGAAGTTGCCTGGTGGATGGATTATAAATCATCATATCTTGAGAGTCAAGCAGCAAACATAGGAGGCCATTACAGGATCCAACAATCTTCATGTCTTGAACTGCCTGGTGCCTCATCAGTGACTCATGTACCTCCTCCACGACTACTACTCTAGTACTAGTTGTGCGAGCTGCTCCAGCTGCATCTGCCTCTGCTGATCTGGCTTCAATTCTAGTATCGAGTACTTGTACATGTACTGACTTAAGGAGGGGCAAGGAGGAGGAGAGCATGACTAGTGCTTTTGATGATCTAGTTTTACCATCATCATCGCCCTCATCTTGTTTTGTAGAGTGGTTGTGGAGGTGTGACTTGATGAATTTTGGGTCGGAGATGAGAGCAAGCCATGGCTTGCATACGCATCTGAAGCGAAGCAGCGACTTCACCGGCAGCTGCAACAGGATTTGCTCTACAATCTCACAAGGAAGCTGCCGCTGATGATCTTGTTCATCTTCTTCTTTATTGTTGTTGAGATATTGAAGATCCAATAATGAGGTTTCCATCGATATTGTCTTCACTTGTTGTTCTTCTTGTTGAGTGGATTGGAGGTTGAGAGTTGAGATCGAATGTTGATCCATGTCCATGTGCAGCAGGTTGAGACACTCCATCTAATCTATTCACCTACCTACAAGTCAAATATTCTATGAATTTCAGAGTAGCTTAGTGTAAACTGCACTGCACGCGCATATTTATAAATTAATTTGGGAAGGCTCCAGTGCTCCACTCCCAACTTTGGATAAGTACACACTAACTGACAGCAAAACATATATTATTTATAATGAAGACAGTTTATACGTCGTCTACTTGTGCTAGTTGCATAATTGCATAATTGCATAATTGCATTGCACCTACCCCAGACCCCAGACGACGTAAGATTATTTGTGTCCACCAATGGAATTTTTACAGGATTCCTAGCTTGTGCGGAGTAAGGATAAGGAATAGCTTTTTCAGTAGAATAAGTTTGATACATAATATGCATTAATTGGAAGACTAAGCTAACAATAAATAATTAAAAAGAATATCCATCATACATATTCACATACAGACAGCCATGAATCCGTGAATCCATGATCAGGAGTTAGAGACAGGAAGATTATTGATAAACAAGATGATTATTGATCAAGTTAATAATTCTTGCCTAAAATGCATGCAAATTTAAAGAAACAAAGAAGAGTTAACCATGAGCAAACCCCTGATCAGTTAACCATGAGCAAACCCCAAAGAAACAGATTGCATCTTCACGAGGTATATACAATACAATGCAATCAACCACTCGTGGGCCGTGCCAGTCCCATATTTAAACAGAATCTAATCTAAATATAACATCTGCTGCTTGTTTTGATCCTCTATATATGTATTAAGATGGGATGGCAAGTTTAATTACCGGCCGCTGATCGCTGATGGATGGAACAAATTAGGCGCTCGATCGCTGGGTGTGAAGCTGCTGCAGATTATTCTTGTTCAAACTGCTGCATTTCCAGTCTCTCTCGCTCTCTCTCTCTAAGTCTATATTCTACATATAGACATATACATATAAAGAAAGTGTAAGAGTAAGAGTAGACCCCCCGCCCCGCGCTGTTTAATTTATACTAATATCTAAGTTGTCAATGTCAATTGATTGGGAGGTCTGCCGAATTGAGCGGATATTTTGAAGCCTACTTGGAGTAATTAAGTATAAACTGGTCCTTTAAGTATTTTTTATAAATATTTTCTTTAAATAATTAACTATGTATGTAGGTGTAGGCTGTAGCTCATTTCATTTTATTGAATGAAATTAATTTATAAAAGGCATTCGTCAAAGGAGTCTATTCTCTATCGATGAAAATGTCAAACCAAATGGCGTGAGAGGCTGGCTCAGCTTTTTCAGCTATAACTTTCAGATCATCTTCTGCCACAAAGTAATAATTCACCAGGCATATAAAGTCAAAATGGTCCTCCTTTGGAAAAACAAAGGGCAGCAATGCAATAGTCAAAAACAAATAAAGGGTTTGTGTTCGACAAAAATTCTCTATAGATAAGAATAAAATATATAGAAAAAACCTTATACAATTGTCTTGTCTAGTGTGCTAGCTAGCTATATATTACATTATATTTTTGTGTTTTTCTTGCTGATATGGAATATAATTTTTCATCTTCAGTTCACATACAAACCATTACCATTACCCACCACTACCACTAGGATAATTTATGATAATATATTAATGTGCATAATGCATCCATATTGCAAGGATGGGATCCCGTGACATAGCACATACATGCCATGCCATGCATGCACCATCATCATCAGACATCATCAGACATCAGCCATCGGGCCAAAGCAGAGGTAGTAGGATATTTAAGGATAGGCTCTGGGATGGGGTTTAGGCTCTCTCCTCCCTCTCTTCCTTTGTATTGTAGCTAAACTGGGTGTGAAATTGAATTCCCAAACTCAAAGCCGACATTTTTGAATGAATTTATTAAATTGGCCAAAGTGGGTATGAAAATGATTGACTCACCTACTTTCCTCTTTTAATTTGTGTGTGGTGTGTGGTGTGTGGGGTGCGCGCGCGTAACTGGCTGCTCCTGCTGCTCACAAAGGGTTTGCTTGGTCCGATTCGGTTGCCATTTATCATTGACTTGAGATACTGATAAGGCATAAAGGACGTCTCCTATCTTATCAACTTTAAGGTGTAACAAGTTTAATACACACAAATTTTCAATTATGTGTACTTTTGCTTCATAAAGCACCAGAGTTATTGAATCAATCAATCAGCACGTATTATTATCCAGATTGAAGAAATAAACAGGACAGAGAAGCATCCAATCCAACGGCATGATTGAGATTGACAATGCAATTTAACCAAAGCAGGCATCATCACACACTGACAGTACGTTTCGTTGCGTTCGTTTGCTCTACTATACAGAATACAGAATACTTACCTAGAATAAGCACAAATTCACATCCATAAACAAAGTAATAAACACACTTAGCCAGTTTGACATTTCTGTGCTATGAAAATAATCGCTATCAGATTTGATGTGAGAGAAATTAGCTGTGAGATAAAGCAGTTTGGCGTTTGGTAAAATTTTTGTTAAAAGTATTATTGATATTGATTTTATGCATAATCAAAAAATGATTGCCGCACAATTATTAAACCCAACGCCTCTTCGAAACTGATTTCTGCATAATTAGAAAATGAAAGCATCTCATTAGCTGCTTTCCCTTATAGCTTTCTCCCACAGCAATTTTTAACAATAAGTGATTTTCTCATAGTTTACCAAACGGGTTGGGCTCTTCAAAATTTTTTAAAAATCACTTATCACCCCAAATAAGCAATGCCAAACTAACACTAAGGGCTAGTTTGGCATTGCTGTGCTGTGAAAATAATCGTTGTCAAATTTGCTGTGCGAGAAATCAGCTGTGAGATAAAGCAGTTTGGCGTTTGGTAAATTTTTTGTTAAAAGTGTTGTTAGTATTGATTTTACGCATAATCAAAAAATGATTGCCGCATAATAATTAAACCCAGCGCTTCTTCGAAACTGATTCCTGCATAATCAAAAAATGAAAGCACCTCATTAGCTGCTTTCTCTTATAGCTTTCTCTCACAATAATTTTTAACAATAAGTGATTTTCTCACAGTTTACCAAACAGGTTGGGCTTCTCAAAATTTTTAAAAAATCATTTATCACCCCAAATAAGCAATGCCAAACTAGCACTTAGGACAACACCCAAGAATCAAGAGGCACATTGAGATGCACGCACCGGCACAATAAGATATACAACAAAACAAAGGCCATCCAACTATTTAATGGGACACTGAAACCACTTGTTTTCCAACGTTGCGGCCACTAAAAAGTCCAACCAATGCTGCAGGTCCATTCTCAAGCCCATCTCTAAAATGACCCGTGGTGCTCCTGTGGGGACTTTCATACACACAAATTTTCAATTATGTTTACTTTTGCTTCATAAAGCACCAGAGTTATTGAATCAATCAATCAACACGTATTATTATCCAGATTGAAGAAATAAACAGGAGAGAGAAGCATCCAATCCAACGACATGATTGAGATTGACAATGCAATTTAACCAAAGCAGGCATCATCACACACTGACAGTACTTCGTTGCGTTCGTTTGCTCTACTATACAGAATACAAAATACTTACCTAGAATAAGCACGAATTCACATCCATAAACAAAGTAACAAACACACTTAGACAACACTCAAGAATCAAGAGGCACATTGAGATGCACGCACCGGCGCAATAAGATATACAACAAAACAAAGGCCATCCAACTAATTAATGGGACACTGAAACCACTTGTTTTCCAACGTTGCGGCCACTAAAAAGTCCAACCAATGCTGCAGGTCCATTCTCAAGCCCTTCAGCAATGTCTTCTAAATATTCCACTCTTCCCTCTCTTATGCAAGGCAGAATATACTCCAAGTACTTGGGATACAGGTGATAGTAATCACGGACTGTAAATCCTTGCATATGGATCCGCTTATATATCAGACACATCAAATTCGTCACACCTTCCGGTCGATCAAGATTGTACTGTGATATCATTCCACACACTGCAATCCGGCCATGGACTCTCATGTTAAGGAGCACCGCATCAAGCAAATTTCCCCCAACATTCTCAAAGTATATGTCAATGCCTTCTGGAAAGTACCTGATAATGGAAGCAAATGTGAGTTTACTATGATCCAATCCAAATCACTGTAGTCACATGATAGTTTCATCTGCAGTCACATTAATTCTCATGAGACTTTTCTTCACTTTTGTGTCATGATTGTCTGATATGTTGGCTATCACATGTCATATCGGCATACCAAATTGTTGATAGTGTGATGGGCAGTATGCATAACATCAACAAAAAGAATGGAAATCATCCAGATGGCAAAGTTTTTTTATATCCCTAGTGTGTGTGTCATCCACATTAACTTCATTCCCTGCACTATATATAAAGAAATCATGGAAAGTGGCACAGTGCAATCAATTCTCATTTTTTTTTTTTTTTTTTTTTTTTTTTTTTCTTGGAATTAGAAGATGGCTAAACCTCATTGCATATGCCTAGTATATACCTAAACTTAATGTTGCACAGCATATTTGCTAGTTACTTTTGCATAAAGTTGCAGAGATAGATGAAGGCCCTCCAAATTTGTGTGGTAGATTGTAAAGTGTTTATGGAAGATTGACAGAGATGTATATGGATGAAGCTGAAGCTGAAAATACACTCTTCACAGGACATATAAATTATTAAATGCGCATTCTTTGAGTTTCAGAGCACAATTTAGTCTCCATTTGCAGCGAACTATGCACTGACCTTTTCAAAGCTGCGTTCAAGTCATGCTCTTCCTTATAATTGAAAGCTTCATCAAATTTAAGCTTATTCTTCAGAAGTTCAACCTAGTATAAAAATACGAAGAAGATTATAATTTTTTGAAAACTATATACAACCAGACACCCCCACAAGCCACATGCAACAATCTTAAACTCCCATACTCATTATTTAAAATATTTAAGTTAATCTTGGAATAAATAACTCCATTGTTAAAAATTTGCACCGAAAGTGAAAAATGCTTTTGGACTTCTGCATTAGAATTTGCACCCAATAATGTAAAACGGGACTTACCACTACTCAAATATAAGCAAGAAAATCCAACTAAACAATCATACTATACATTCTGGATAGCAGCCAGCCGTAGAAAATGGCACCTAAGTTGAAATGAAAAAGTGAACTGAAAGCATACATTTTCCTTACTTCCAAAATTTCAAACAAAAGTCAATAACGAAGAATTTTCACAAAGAAAACTACAAAATACTCCAACAATGTCAAGCATATCTAACTAAGAAATCATATGATATGTTCTACTCTTCCAGATACCAGCAAAGATAGGGCAAGCAAACTGGGGAAAAAGATGCCAACTTTATACCTTTTCTTTACTTCCAGCACTTCCAACAACATAACAACCCAACAATTTTGCAAATTGTCCAACTAGCTGACCAACTGCACCAGATGCTGCTGAAATGAAGACATATTCTCCCTTCTTAGGAGAACAAACTTCGTTGAAGCCTGCATAGGCAGTCATGCCGGGCATACCTATGGAAGAAGGAAAACAGAAATGCGCACAATTTACGGGGGGCTTTGAGGGTACAAGTATAAGAGCATGAAAGAAGCACACACAGAGACTGTCCTAGTAGTACGTCTTCTGAAACAATTAAAAAGATAAACACAAGACTTCGCTTTACTACTCGTAAGTCCCAACTCCACCATAGTTATCTAGGGGGCACAACTGAAGCCGATATCAGAATGTCTTTTATAACTTGTGCAACAAATATAAGATCATAAGTGGTCATCAATACAATTTCCAATGGCAAACCACTAATTTAATAATACAAGTGCAATATTGTTGTGTCTGCTTTCTAGAATTCACCAATGAGCTACCATCCCACCCAAGAATTGAATTCCATCGAAGATGTGTAGAGAAAGGTATCATTAGCAATAAATGATTCACAGACACCCCTTACGTATGGTCGTTTGAGACACAAAGAAATGGTCAATCCATATGAAACTAAGCAGAGCAGAGATCATCAATCCAAACATCATGGAGGAGCAAACAACTTACCAAGAATGCCGGTATAGTAGGAAAGGGGTACATCAGCGTGTTGGATCTTATGGAAGCTTTCTGGCGTGGTGATTAGGCTAAAATCTTCCCATTTGGTTGTGCCCCAGACTAAGTCACCTTCCTTAAAGTCTGGATGCCGGGAATCCAAAACTTTAGCCACTCCATTGCCACTCAAGGGCTGCCCAATGTTTTTCATCAATAATTGATTGCTAACAACTACAGTCTCAACACTGTATTATACAACATCAACTTGAAATTTCCAAACACAACAAAAATGGAATCAAAGGTTCTTAATTGGGATAAAATTTCTGCTTCAAAATTAATTTTAAAAACAGATTAGACGCATTTTGTTTTCAGAGAAATGAAAGGCAACGGGAAAATAGAGAATAAGTGATAAGTGGTGGTCTTACAGAGCCAGGGGAAAAAGGTGTAAAATAAGAAGAAGTTTCGTCTCCAGGTTTCCTCATACGGATGCGCATCACAGGATCACAGGACAAGTAGAGGTTCTTGACCAAGACGGAAGGGGAAGCTTCTTCTTCGTGAGGGACTTTCAACTTGATAGTAGCAGTATCGCTAATGTACATGTCTGACTCTTTGGGAACGCCTTCCACATAATTCTTGAATATCACTTGTTTGTTCTTCACTTCCGCCATCGTCGCTTTATCTGTCTGCGTCTCTCTCTCTCTCTCTCTCCCTCTCTGTGTTTTCTGCTTTCAGAGTCCCATCCAAGCCCGAATTTATCTATACTTCAAGTCAAGGTTTTTATTTATTGAACACACAACCCAACCCAACCCAGCTCTTGTTTGATGCGTTAAATTAGTTGGGCCAAGGATTCATTGGAGTTAGCTATATTTATTATTTATGATGCATCTCATTATCATATGTCCATCTGGAATTAGAAACTGCAATCAAAATCAAGAAAACTAAAATAGAAAACACATCTCAATTCTCCATCAATAATACGCTTACTATTATATTAATTCAGATCTCTTACAAGTTACAACACTCCAATCCATTCAAGGGGTTGGATTGGGTTGGGTTGGGTTGGGTTGGGTTGCTTGGCCAGGCTCCAAGGAAGCCCAATCCAATGGGCTGCCAACACCGCAGACTCAAGCAAATACTTTATATCACCAACCACCTACCTAAGTAAACATCTTCCTAACCCACTTAATTTAATTAAATTACTACTACAAAGCCTAGCTAGAAGCCCTAGAAGCCTAGAAGAGGCTACAAGCAACTTGAAGGTTGAACCGTACCGGCCGCTGTTCCGCCTGCATACTTGCATGATGCTTCAGCTGCTTGGTCCTTGTAAGTGAGCTTCACATCCTCCAATCTGATTCCACTACAAGGGTATTTGGAACTACAATCGAATTTCACAGCCACTTGTGTTGCCGATGTACCATGAATGTCTTGGTATATCACGTCGCTGATTTTAACTCCAGAAACCTGTACATTATTAATACAAGCAAAGCAACACAAATTAAGGTCATGAATTAATTTTGATAGATCATCAAGTCACCAAGCAAGTGCATGCAGCATGCAGCTTGCATTCTAATTACCTGACCAGGACAATCTTTGTTTCCAGGGCAATAATTTTGATCAATGACGATGGGATTTTGAACATTGACATTTACAACATGTTGGAAAAGAATGTTCCTCGCAAATCCAGTGCTAGGTCTCCCCCAAGACTTAATTCTTACACCATTCTGAGTACCAGTAAAGGTAACCGTTTTAACTGTCACATTTTGGACACCCTCCTCTTGTGGCTCCTTTCCTAAGCTCCCAATACTACACCAACGAACAGCCAAACAAAATGCTAAATTAGTTTATTATTATTATTATTATTAATTCACATGTGTAGGACGGTGCAGGGGCTAGTTACGTACCTGATTCCATGGCCGGGTCCACATGCAACGTTTTCAATCCACAAATTGGTGGTGCCAGGGCCAACTGAGACACAATCATCACCAGTTGCAATTTTGGAGTTGAGAATGGTGACTCCAGAAGACATTTGAACGTGGATGCCATCGGTGTTGGGGCTGTTACCGGAGGCGGAAACCTTCACACCTTGCATTTTCACATTTTGACACCCGTTGATCACTATGTGGAACATTTGGCTGTTTAGGGATGCTAATCCATTCACCACAATGTTGTTGGAGCTGGAAAAACCCAGTGTCTGCACATACATACATAACTTAATTGATAGATTAATGCTCTTAATTGTAATAATTAAGAAGGATGATCAGTTACCAACTCCCCATATTTATTAGAGGTGTAAAAAGTCATCCTTAAATTTTAAAACCGTCGGCGTCAGAGGTAGTTTGCATGCATGAGGGGCATTTGGTTAGGTAGAGACAAGCTCAAGTAAAAATATATATATATATATATATATCAACAGTACGTAACCGCTCAAGTGAAATAAAGAAAAGGAATTACTACTTACGGTTGCTCCGCTGGGGCAACTCTTGGTTGAGGCCTTGCAAGCCCACAAGCCAGTGCCCTGTCCGTCGAGAAGTCCTCCAGAAATGGTGACCCCCATTCACATGCTCAAACAAGATCCAGTTAGGCTCGTTTCCAATGACGCGGTAGTCGGAGGGGGCCACGAGGGTGCCGTCAATGCGGAAGGTGATGGCGTTGTTCTTGCAAGGCCCGCTGAAGGCAGCATTTCGAAGCAGGAACCTCCCAGCGGGGACATAAATCACAGCGGGCTGCACGGACGCACAAGCTTTGGACCAGGCAGAGAGGAAGGCCTTGGTTGAGTCAGTCTTGCCATCTGCTATGGCTCCTAAGCTGCTCACGCTGTAGGTTAGAACTGCAGCATGCGCACCGCCCATCATCAAGACTAGTTGTGAGAGAAGGAGGAGGAGGAGGGGGGTTTTGGGGTTTGCCATTTGCTTTCACTAACTAACTATAGGCTATAGCTCTAGCTAGAGGATGAGTTGAAGGAGGAGTCTGGAGATGTGGAAGTTGAAACGGTTTGAGCGGTATTTATAGAGAGAGAGAGAGAGAGAGAGAGAGAGAGAGAGAGAAGGAGACAACCTTGTAGTTATTAGTTAGTTACTAGTGCATAGAGCATTGAAAGAAGAGTAGAGATACACAAGGAAAGAGGGGTCAATCTTTGGCTCTACTTTACCAAAATGACCTTACGTAACTAACTAAACTAACTAGCTGGGTGGTTTTTTCGCTTCTACTTTTGAATTGTAATCACGAATACGCAATGCATGCATCACATTCTAAAGCTCTTGCTAGCTTCCAATCACGCGTAACTTCTGTGCCTTCAATTCATGCGCAAATTCACGTACCTCTTTTTTTTTCTTCATATTTTGTCATCCTGCCGTTTTAAAATCCAGAATGAAATCATTGTTACATGTGAATATATGTGAACAATTGATTACCCAAAACAATAAACTTGTCCTCGGATCCGTTTCTACCAAAAACAAATTGTGGTGGGAGTTGAGCAACCGCATATATGTATGTATATGTATATGTATTTGCAGTGCAGGATCTCCTAACCTTATCATAGTCATAGATTCATGCAAATGCAATATTAACGGACCCCATATGTATCAGGTTTTGAGGTTGACGTCATATTTTATGAGTACATGAATTAAATCATAAAACTGGAGGGTACGTACGTGAATCTAAGTCCTTATACAAATAGGAGGGGAAAATCCAACGCGGGGTAGACGACGTGACAAATGCGAATGTATCGTAGAAAACGGAGACGCAAGCGGCGGTGTCATGCCCAAAACCCAAGGCTCGCCTCCTCCATCATGTTTGAGTGTGTGTTTTTGTTGTTGTTGTTCTTTTCAGTTTGCTTTTTGGTTTGGAAGGGTTCGATTCCCATACTATTAATAAAATATAATTTCATACATTCCCCAAAGCCGAGGATACCTATAAAAACTGCCTAACTATAAAAAAAAAGTAGCGGCTAAACTGCTTCATACATATTATAATATATGCACCTCTCTCTCTCTCTCTCTCTCTCTCTCTAATATTTTATAAATTCCCCAAATCTGAAGATAACTATAAAAACTGCCTAACTATAAAAAAAAAAGTAGCAGCTAAACTGATTCTTACATATTATAATATATGCACTGGATGCAGGGCACTTGCGTATGCGTGTCCTGGTATATATCCAGCATGGATGATCGTGTCATGTGCTTGGAAGTAATTAAACAATTTTTACAAAGGAGCTAGAGGGAGGGAGAAGATTAGGATAGGCTAATTATCATGTCAAGATAAGTAACTGTTAATTAAATTTGCCCACAAAAATGCCGTGTGTTGTGCAGATCCATCGATAATTAATTTAATGGCGTGATCACCAAGAGATTGCATTGCAAGAGCCATAGTCGTTGATGAGAAATGTACTGTATATGTACGGTGTACTAATTATGTTTTCCCATTACAATACAATTTACATACGCTAGCTATAAGCTGTTGGCTTACTAGGTGTCATGTATTTATGTATACTATTAGTGCATGCATTTGCATCTGCATCTCCTCCTTTAACGTTGCCCGCTCACATGCATCAGGATCGATAATACATTTGGAATGAATAAAAATGCCTACTAGGCCAATTAACAATTGACAGATCAGATTACAATCACAAGGAGCAAAGGGTGGTAGGAATGTTTTATCTGGAAGATCAAGTTTTTTAGCCCATGACACGATGCATGCATGTCGCCTTATTATAATATATATAGCTGCAACATGAATATATTTGATCAGTGTTTTTGGGATGTCCATGTTAGGCAGCAAAGCTCATGAATGCTGGTTGCTGGTTTCAAGGGATTCCCTGTTTCAGGCCATTTTTCTTGTGAAGAGCTACCACCATGTGATTAGTGTTGACCTTTATACACCTCGACATATATACAAGTTTGACAATTTGAATATTTGAAATACAATGTAAAATAAGCTCACAAAAGTATTCCTCATCAACTTATATTTGACGAATTTCTCAACTAAAGCTTTCTCTCATTATGTATATATAGGTTAAGACATATCAACTTATACAAACAAGACAATAAAAGTGCATATTCTTAAAATCAACGGAGTTTTGACACTTGTCAAATTTTAACAACATTGACAAAGTTTCAACAAAAAAAAGTATATAAGACGAAAACCACATTGGTTGTAAGGAGAAGCTCCTCCTCAATCTTAAGGAGCCAAGATTATCTACTATAACAAATGAGATTTTGACACTTATACATTTTATTTAACTTTTTCTTGTTATGAAATTCTTTTAACTCTTTTTTGTTTTGGAATATCACGAGTGTCAAAATCTTATATGCATTGAGAAGGAAGGAACTCCTTAATTTTAAGGAGCCAAACCTTGCTCCGCAATTAAGTTCTTCCCAGTTAAGGGAGAAAAAGGTGAGGGAAAAGACCGTGATTGGGTCTTAGGAATGAAGAATAATAGAAAATGAGGGGCACCATCCAACTATTTTTTCCTTGATGGATGGAGAGGTGACGTTGTGTAAAAAAAGTAGTACAATTAAGCCCACCTTTTGAAACGGCAGTGCAATGCATGATCTCAATTATTTTAACTAGTATTCTACGGATCGAGATGACATTGTTTACGGTCCATAGTCATGCCAAATTATGTCAAAATCACATGATTTCTTACCGAACCCCTGTGTACTGTAAATAGTCAAACTAAACAAATCTGGCGCCTAAATTAGCGCAGCCAGCGGCGAACCCACTAAAAATTTTATCTATTTATTTTGTAACATTTTTCTGCAATATATAATGAGTGCTATTTCGACTAATTGAAACGCATTACATTGTTGACTACGGGCCAGTTTGGCATTGCTGTGCTGTGAAAATAATCGCTGTCAAATTTGCTGTGAGAGAAATCAGCTGTGAAAGAAAGCAGTTTGGCGTTTGGTAAAATTTTTGTTAAAAGTGTTGTTGGTATTGATTTTACGCAAAATCAGAAAATGATTGCTGCATAATCATTAAACCCAACACCTCTTCGAAACTGATTCCTGCATAATCAGAAAATGAAAGCACCTCATTAGCTGCTTTCCCTTATAGCTTTCTCTCACAGCAATTTTTAATAATAAGTGATTTTTTCGCAGTTTACCAAACGGGTTGGGCTTCTCAAAATTTTTTAAAAATCACTTATCACCCCAAATAAGCAATGCCAAACTGGCACATCTTTTATACAAGTGGGTTCCGTATATATTAGTGGGGTCTACCTTTATTAAAAAGATGATTAGCAAAATAGTCAGTAAATGTTATTCAAATAGCATTATTGATATATAATTTAACGCAAGATTGCGATAATGTGTTATGAGCTGACTCGCCCACAAACGTGTTAAAGTGGGTAAGTAAATGAGTGGCTGCTTTGAGTATTGACTTGTAGAATGGGTTCAATCAAAAGTTGCAAGCCACAGCGAGGGAGGGAGGGAGGGGGGCTTCGCACAATGAGACAAAGATAGCCTAGCCATGGACTGAGCCTTGCATTTGTCTCAAGTTCAGCCCACATTTCTTTAACGGGCCTTATGACTAAATACTAATGTGTTAGGGCTAAATGCTAATGTTTGCTTGAGAAGTGATCTAAAAAGAAAAACCCTAAACATCTTCCTTAAATAAAAGCTAGCTAACCCACGATCAGACGCAGGTAATTAAGTTACCGATCTGTCAAGAATATGCATGGATTCATTCATATCTCATTCATTAGTTTAGCTCTTCCCTCCCTCCCTGTATATATATTCCTCCACTGTCCAAAATATCGAGTGTTGTATACTCAAAAATATTCGGGTCCGCTGTAAGCCACCCTAGCACAAGATGCTCCGATTCTAAGAATTCCCCACGTTGTCTCTTGGATCGGAGACATCCATTTTAATTTGCATCCAAAATTCGATAAACAATAATAAGCTAGCTGAATTCACATCCCAACAAGACGCTTCATGGTGTCATGACATGTATATTAGCGTTGGTGTGTGACAATGGATAGCTGATGATCATGTCATGTGTGATTATTCGTAAAGGATCTATAGATTGAATTTTACATAACTGTGTCTGTCAGTAGTACTACTGCACCACCACCACCATTGGCAATTTGGCACCATATACCTACATATATACGACCATCACATTAATTGTTGAGTACAATTTGTATAACAAAGAGAGTCACATTTAAGTTAACCATTATTAATGAAACAAACTGTCGGTCCAAAATATCTTAAGTAGCATAATTATTTTATATATATGGGGTTCAATATTACTTTTTGATTCATTCATTCATCAACTTCTTAATTAATTTTCATCATCATCATCACTAGCAATCAATTAATTAAGGGGAGATGGCGCCCAACATTGCTTTCACCTTGGTGTTGTTGATAGGATTGTTTGAACGGTGCTCATCAGCTACCGCGGCGTACAATGTCGTGACCTTTGGTGCAAGAGGGGATGGGAAGACAGACTCAACCAAAGCATTTCTTCGGGCATGGTCAGCGGCATGCTCCACGTCGGTCAGAGGGGCAGCCACCGTATACGTTCCTCGAGGCAGTTTCTTAATAAAACCGGTGGTGTTTAGCGGGCCATGCAGAAGCAGCAGAGTTACGTTTCAGATGGATGATACCGGGACCAGTCTCGTAGCCCCATCCAATTATTGGGAACTCGGAAACTCAGGAACTTGGATTTTGTTCATTAAGGTCACCGGCCTTTCTGTCTACGGGGGAACAGTGGATGCGAGGGGACATGCGTATTGGCAATGCAGGAGATACGGAAAGAGTTGCACGGCAGGAGCAAGGGTACGTATATATATATATATATATATATATATATATATATAGTACATGGACACACACATATTATATATACATTATACCTAGTTCAGCCAAACATATATAACATATATATATTTATATATGCAGTCAGT